ATTAATTCCAAAACTAGTAGAAGAGAAATGAGTATGAAAACTTTTCATCTTTTTTCACTACTTAGTAGATTCGCCGCCTTCGTGGAATATGGATTTTCATCACATGATTCTTACTCACGTGCGTGTATTAGCGACAAATCTCAACACGTTTTAAATTGCAATCGTCCAATGAGATTTATTCAAGACAGGATTAAAAGCTCTTTTTTCTGATTTGTTTTCAGAATACTCAGAAATTTATTTTTTAATTATTGGGGCGAACTACATACATTTTGAAAAGCGAATTTTTCGAATCGACCTTCACAGCACCCAATTCACCCCATTCACCCGTACAAGCATCTCCATTCATTCGAGTGGAGTTTTCCCAAAGCCATATTCGAAAAAATTCGGGTGAATGAATAGGATTCGGAAAAAAAACCGAATAGCTTCCTACCCACAGTACAACACAACAATGGGAGAATATCTTTCTCATGCGTGCAATTATTATTATATGTATATATATATATAAATACTAAACTATCTAAACAAATAGATACCAAACTTAACGTTCATCAATTTACTTAAAAACCAAAAATGATAATAAAAAAATAACTTAAATGCAAAAAATGTGTAATAAAAAAGGTTAGTATCAATAATCCAAAAGTTGTTTAGTTTTCTTCTTTGAAGAAGAATTTCCATTTCCATTAACTTTGGGTTTTTGAATACGTCCAGCACCGGTACCACCAGTAGTAGTAATAGATTCACTTAATTTATGTTTATTTAACAGCATAAATTGATTACCCTTTTTTTCTTTCGATTCTCGATCAAAATCCCATAATAATTTCTTCCATTTACTTAATAATTGATGTAATTCAAATAATTTTACCAATTTTTCCTTCTTAGTACTAGTAGTATTATTGGTGGTTGATTGAAGGGATAAATATAAATTAGAATATTCTTGATATTTTGATTTAAATTTCATGGCTAAATTTGTATAATATTCCAATTTTTTCCCATGAGAAGAATTCGGAATCGACGGAGTTAATTGTCGATTGCTACCAGATATTGGAGTTGATGGAAGAACAGTTTCATCTTCTTCTGATGATGGGGAAGTAACGTTACCAGACGTGAATTCTAATTTGATCTTCTTCGACGAGGATGTAGAACCGGAGGAACTTGAAGAAGATATGGACCCATCATCATCGGATGAACCTATACTTGAACTTGAAAGTTTTCTTTTGTTTGATTTAATTGGAAGGGATTGAGATTTGGTCACATCCAATCTTATTGATGATTGTGAGTTCTTTAGCTTATCGTCATCATCGGAAGAATTAGATATTACTCTCTTGGATACGATTTTTGATTTCTTTGAATTTTTGGTATTACTTCCAAGTATTGCCCCACCTAATCTAATTGATTTCTTATCTTGATCATCTTCACTATTATTATCCAATTCTGATGATTCTGGGGCAGGAGGTTCACATAATTTTTTTCTTAATGGATGAGTAATTGAATATCCCAATCTTGATAATGCTCTATTTATATTATTAATAATTAAATTCCGTTCATAATCTCCATAACTTGTCCATTTCCATACTAATAAATCTTTATATGATTTATCTTTTAATATATATTGTTTTGAAGTAGATAAAGTGGCTCCATTGGGGAATATATCATCTTGGATAAATGTATCTCGAGGATCATAAATTTGAGTATATTCATCTATTAATGGTCCAATATTTTGATAATTTAGATATTGAGTAATTTTATTATATGAAATAGGACCAAGTGCCAATAAATATATGAATTTCTTAACAATCATATCTTGTGAATCATTGTTTATGCTATAATTATTATAATTAATTTTTGTCGGTTGTAATGGAGTTGATGGAACAGAAGGTATTGAAGGTGTAGTACCTATCATAGGTGATGCAAATGGTGTTGATTGAGATGAAGTGGTGGTAGCAGCAGCAGCAGCAGTATTGACAATCTGCTTTATCTTTTTAGAATCAGTTATTACATTTAATCTTGTTTGAATTCTTCCTTGATATTGACTTGATTTACTGGAGTTAAGGGAATATAAATCGACATTTAAAGTTTCAGGCAATTTCATACATGGGAATTCCAAATTATCCGATATCCTAATTGACTAGAGTAAATGAATTGTTAGTAGTTTGTTTTATATAAGGAATCAAATGTTGGGAGATACATACATAATTACCTTGATTTACTATTAATTTAACATTATTACCATTAATCAGACTATTCTTTAGATGAGTTAAGATATCTTGATTCAATTTTAGTAGTATAGGTATTGGAGATGCACTGTGATTGTCATTCCCATTAGAAGGGGGCTGTAGACTATGTATAGATATGTTAGACATGGTATCAATATATACAAATTCGTGGGATGTGTGTGGGATATGTGATGCTAAAAATTCCAAATGGCTGAAAAATTAATTAATTTAAATGATCTATAATAAATTGGACAATGGGATTGGGAGTTAGTAATAGTTGTAGTTGTAGTGAGTATGTATATATGGATGAGTAATTGCTGACTGAGCAGAAGAAGAAAGAAGTAAGAATTAAAATGTAAATGAAATGAAATATATAAAGATGGAAGATCAGATTAAGTGAGTGACTAATATAATTTAAGTAACATAGAAGTAAAAGGAATAGAAAATTAAAAGTGTGTGGGAAACAGAGAATAAAAAAATAATTAAAAAATATTTTAATTAAAATAATTATTTTTTTTTATTTTTCTTGTTATAGAATTTCTTTTTTTTTATCTTACAATTAAATAATTTAAATTTAACAAAAGGATTCTATTCAACTCCACAATTTCTATTCATTTTTAATTGTACAATATAAACTTATAAACTAACCGTTATCTAAAATAACAGACTTAAGAGAGTCAATCTACTTTGTTGAACAGACTGTGCTGATATAGTAGCAATCACAAAGTAGAAAGATATCCTAATGGGACATATGGACATACATTTCGAATTGTAAAAAAAAAGAAGAGAAGTATTTCTTGAGATTGATCCTTTTTTTTTAGTTTTTTAGCCGCGTGGTTTTGTGATTCCAGAAAAACCAATTATATGAAACTCTGTATCATTTCTCACAACATAATCATCAATTAAGAACAAGTATTGTCATTTCGACTAGTTCTTCTTGTAATAATCTCCTGATTTTTGAACTTACATAAGCCATCGTCAGTACTATACAACTCCTGACGCTGTTTTTGCGAGAATAGTCATAAATATAACACAAAATACAAATAATTAATTTTTAATACAAAGAGATAGAACAAAAAAAATATTTAAAGTTTTTTAAAACGAGAAAGAATGGTCGTGTGGTAGGAAAAATAATACCACCGTAGTAAACCCCAAAAAACTCTCCTTCCTTCCCTACCCCCTTCTAATTTCCATTATGTACCATTGACATCACTACCGAAGATTCAAGAAATATAGAAATAGAATCATCACTCAGAACTCATATTCTACTAAGGTTTTGATAGCCTTCCCCAAAGCCCAATCCCAATAATGAAAGTAGAAAGCTTAAAGCAATGAGGTAATTAAAAAAACCGTCATTCCGCGTATTCCTTAGAATTTTGTTTCAGGAAATAAAATTATTTACTCAGCCAAAAAAAATGTAAGAGAAAACAGAATATCCGTCAAAAAAACCATCGGTTTTCTCTTCAAATTACTAAAATGCCCCCTCCTCCCAACAAAAAAAAAAAGAACGAAAAAAAAAAAACCACTCCACCCCACCATACCATCTCCCACTCAACTCTTTCCTTAGATACCTACCTCTCCGTTTTATTAAAATGTACAGTAATTATCAATTTCATTTTCTTAACACTCGTACATATTGCTAATATAGATATGAATCTATGCTTTGGAAAGAATATCGTAATTTGCTTCATATCTAACCTACGCGGACTCTTTATTTTAGCATTATTTTTATCCCACAACATAAAATAAAATAAATTTGGTAAGGCGCAAGGGGGGAAGTTTCGGTTAATTTCGAAAGAAACTTTGTTTGTCGCGTTTTTTGGAACCACCAGCAATCCTGTCTTGATTCATCTCGGTTTAAATGAGAAAAGTACTATACCTTTAATGTAAATACATTTCTTAGACTCTAGATTGTGATACTCTATAGGTTTTGGTAGTATTTAGTTCAAGATATTCAAAGAACTTGGAATCTTAGAAATTGCTGCAAAAAAGAGATCCCAAAAATATACTAATTAATACATGTACTTGAGTAAAGAAACGAAAATCTTCAGTCCATTGATTTGCTTCTATAGTCCAATAAACTATAATTTTCCAAACCTGCTTGCTAAATTAACATAACTAAATTTCTTAAACTTGGATTAAAAGCTCGAAATGATAAACAGAGGACATCGTTATCCGATAGAAGGCAAGATATTTGGAAGAAAATAAAACAAACGATGGATCAAGTATACAAAGCATACTGGTATTCATGGTAAGTTAATCCAAATGGACATGTTTGCCAGTGTACATAACGTATTCATCAAGGTTCAAAGCATTGACTAACCTTTGTGCAATAATTGATCCTAAATTAAGTAGAATCTTGGTGGCAATTGATTTCAAACGGGCAGACGAAAAAGATCCAATACATACATTCCTTGGAATTGCGTGTGTGGGATCTAACACATTATTACAACAATGTAATTATAAGGTTAAATTCAGGGGTTCTTCCGACCGTTGTTATGTAATACTTAATAAGCTTGGCAATCATAGAACTATTATTGACATTCTTCTGTTTCTTAGATCTTCAAATTTTTCTATCGTTTATCAATAGCACCATGCCGGAAACACTACAGTGTCTCAGGGAACTCCATGACGGGCCCGTACTGAATGTAATGTGGAATGTAATACGGTTGATTGAAGAGTATACACTATGAGTGTTGATGTGTTCATTTTCATAAGCTTTCTAAATTGCAGAAAATTAACACAAATAAGTAAACTTAATAAAAAAATAATAAAATCTACGGGAGATACCAATATAGAAGGGAAAACAAGATTTCAATCCTGATAATAGATGAGTTAGATACACTAATCTTCAAGCAACGAATGGTAGTTGCAAAATAAAAGAGTTACACAAAATCAGAAAACGATCGTCTTAATCAGACGAAAATTGTCTTTACTACTAGTTCATCTTATACGGTTGTTACTTGCCAAAAGCCAAAAAAACCTATCTGATGATAGTATGGTTCATGGTATCGCAGAATAGGCAATGTAAATATGACGTAAGATGGTTGGTTTAAGTCTTACATATGACATTTTTGAAAGCAATATTGGAAGTGTCAAATTCCCTTCCTTCATCGCAACAAATGAGAAAGCCACAAGCCTTTCCATTGTAGAACACCCTCCTTCTTTATTGTCTATGAAATCTCGGTCTCGGTCTCTGCGGGATTCCACCCAATACAGAACAAACTTAAGGCAACAGATGAGATTTGAAATTCGACGGGGGGATCTAAAATCTCCTCCTATGCGTGTAGTGTATAATCTGCTATTGTTTATTTTTTTGTCATACACATAATTGCTTTCACGCACACACAGACACGTACTGAAACGAACAATAATTTTTTAACCATTTGAAGAGTCCCCTTGAAAGTTTTTCTTGTTGCCCATAATAAAAATAATAATACCAAATTTTTTTTATTCAACCACACACTACTCTACTCCTCCTTCCAACGCCATCCACTCTTTATATACAAAACAATAATAATAGGAATATGCTTAAGTGGGTACAATCAGGACTTTCAGTCGTCGCAGGAACAGCAGAACCAGAATATGGTCCAGATGCAATTCATCCAATTACTAAACGTTGTTTAGAAACTTCTGATTCAGAAGATGAAGAAGGCGCATCATCGATTTATCGTGCTACTGTAGATAGTGATTTCAACTGGCAATCACCAAATTATACCAATGTTGAAACTCAAACTTTCTATTTCACCGATTTGATTAATAAAATCGCGGGATTTGCTCAAATTATTCATTCTAATGTTATGGGAGTTCATACTACTGCACAATTTACATTTAGATTATATAAAGATTCCCAAGAAAATATTTGGACTTCTACTCAATTAGATAATTTTAGAATTGAAGGGAATAATTTTTATGCTGATGGTGTTAGTTTAGAAATTCAAGATGGCAATACTTATGTTTTAAATAGTACTGTTAATAAGGAAACTGAAGTTAATTTCACCGTAACTAGAATGACTGATGGGGTTATATTCGGCAAAGATGGAATGACCTTGTATGGAGAAGATCCAGAACAACCATGGGGTTCAATGAGACATTTATTCTGGCCAAGATGTAAACTTATTGGTACTATCAAGACCCCGACCAAGACATATTCAATTGATAATGGATTATCGATGTTTGTCATGGCATTACAAGGGATGAAACCTCATCATGCTGCCAAATCTTGGAATTATATGAATTTCCAATCGGAAAATTATTCCGCTGTAACTATGGAATTCACCACCCCAAAATCTTATGCTAATACAAGAGTTAATATTGGTATTGTTGCTAATAATGAAAAAATCTTATATGCAACTATAAATAATAAAGTTGTTCATTTAGATTCATCAATTGATGAAATCGGTTGGCCAGTTCCAAAGGGGATTGAATTCAGATATATTAAAGGTGATGAGGAAGTTGCGGTTGTTAAAGGAGATTTAAAGAATCTTGTTGAAAGAATTGATGTTATGGCTGAAATTCCTCAATTGGTTAAGAATATTGTTAGTAGTGTTGCAGGGGCAAAACCTTATATTTATCAATATTGTAATGAGTTTGATTTTGAAATTGAAGGAAAGAAAGATTCTGGTTTGGGATTCTGTGAAGTTACTTTTATTTGTGAAGAGTAATAGAGAGAGAGTCTACTTTCCCAACTGGTGTGTTCATTTTTAGGGACCTTTTATAATCCCGTTTTCACTTGCTTTTTAATAAATCTTAATAGTCTTTTAATTTAAAATAATCTTTACGTTCTTGTATTGTCAGTTCGCCACTGTAGAGGAGTAAAAGCGATAATAGAATCTCTGTTATAAATCATAAGACAATACTGACCACGAAGCTATAACCGAGGTAGAAGATCTACGAATAGCTACTTGGCCATAACAATCTCTCTCTTCATTTTTTTATGAATACAAAGAAGTGTTGCAAAAAAAAAACATCAAAAGAGATGGTTGCAAAACTATCGATTAACAGAAAGAAAGTACAATCATCATTTAAAGTTCATACAAATAGAATTAAACAAAGTTACCTACTTAGAGTCCCTTGGTAGCAAAATCACACAACATTCCACAGAATCCTTTAAACCCATTCCAACCACTGAAAACAAAACTTGGACCAAAAACATCAACATCATCAGTTTTATTAAACCAAACATTCCCACCATAAGATTCTTGAGAAATCTTAATTAATCTATTTTTATCTTGATTAAAAGGGGGATATCTTACTTTTAACAAAAAATCATTCCATAATTTTTGTTCCATGGTTGTTCTTTCATGAGTGAAATTTCTGAAAGAGAAATATCCATGATATGATCCCATACCTGATTGACCAACCCCACCAAATGGTGCATTCACCAATGCACAGTGCATCAAGACATCATTGATGATTACTCCCCCTGATCTGATTGTGGTTAACACTTTGTCTAAATTGGTGTTATATTTACGATTGGTTGATCCACTGGTGAATACATATTGAGCTAATGGAGTATCATGATGTCTTGTGATTTGTAAAAGGGCATCATCGAGGTTGTCATAAGTTAAAATAGGTAATACTGGACCAAAGATTTCCACTTGCATTGAAGAATCTTCCCAAGTTGCATTATCGATAATAGTTGGTGGAATGAATCTTGAGGTCGGATCAGCAGTTTCTAAACCTCCAACTAATACTTTCCCCTTTGTTGTTTTGATAATCTTGGAAATGGATTCAAAAGCACGATCATGAATAATATGGGTATAACTAGTACATTTTTCATCAAGATTTGGATAGAATTCATTATTGACAATTTTAACTAACGCTTCAACTAATTTATCATGAATCTTAGATGGGACCAAAATATAATCAACAGCAACACAAGTTTGTCCTGCATTAGTGAATCTTCCCCAAATAATTCTTCTTGCCACGGTTTCAATGTTCTTATCTTGTAAATCATCCAATAATATAGCAGGAGATTTCCCACCTAATTCTAAAATGGTTGGTGTTAAAGTTTCAGCAGCTTTAGCAGCGACAATTTTCCCAACCATATTATTACCAGTATACATTATCTTATCAAATTTTTGATCCAATAATAATGTAGTTTCAGGAATTCCTCCATGGATTACGGCAAAGATATCTGGATCTAAAGCATTGGTTAAAATATTCCCAAATAATCTTGAGAAATTAGGGACATATTCTGATTGTTTTAAGACCACACAATTCCCAGCCGCAATTGCACCAACTACAGCAGAAAGGGCCAAAAAGAATGGATAATTAAATGGAGAAATAATCAATACAACCCCTAATGGGATTCTTTCAATATATATTGGATTTGTTCTCATTGCAAGTGGGACATCAGTGACTGTTTCTGGTTTTAACCATTTATGTAAATTACCCATAATATGAACTAATTCATTTATGGAGGTATTAATTTCAAGATTTTTTGTTTCAGAAGGAGATCTACCAAAATCTTTATATAAAGCATCACATAATTCATCAATATTTTCATTAATTGCAAAATAAATATTTCTTAATTGATTTAATCTAAATTGAATTGAATGAGTTTTTTGTTTTTGGAAGAAACCATTTGATAATCTTTGAATAGTTGGTTGAATTTCAGAAAGTGGTGTATACCATGATGGTTGAGCTTTAGGAACCTCGGCATATGATTCTCCTAATGTTGTGGTTGATTCGTCAGTTTGTTGAATAACTGGCTTTTCAACAGTGGAAGTAGGATTGTCAAATGGATTGTTGGCAATAGGAGGAGCTGGAGGAGGAGATGAATGTTTATTGGATCTAGTTGAACTAGAACTAGATTTACGACTTTTCAGATCAGATTTTGATGATTTTGATTTTGAAATTCCATTCATATTGCCAATATATTTCTTCATTATCTATTTTATAAGATTAAAAACAGAAAGGAATAGCAAAAAAAAAACCTTTAAGGGCTTCTTCATTAACCTTTTTATATTGAACTAAAAAAAATCACAGGTATGTCTATGGCTTGTTCGTAAAATCAAAAATTTTTTTCCGGGTCGGAACTTAACCGATTAAGGAAATTTGTACTTTGAAAATGGGGACAAAGCCAGGGCCAAGGCTCCCATATTAGAGTAAGTTTGCTACTTTCATTTATTGGGGTAACTACAATGAGATTAGTTTATTTTAGTGGGGGACTACCACCTAACATGTGATAAGAAGTGACATCTATTGTATGAGCGGAAGCTTAGACTTTAGTTCCGTACCGTTGTTTGTACGGACAAAGCAATATAATTGTAAACTCCGTATTGTCTAGAGTCCAGACAGGCCGGGATGGGGCAATTCGGTGGCGGAGATTGGGTTGGTTATTTCCGCTGGCTGCTAAAAAAAAAAGAGAGAGAAAAAAAATATTATAAGACAGCCACCTCGGTTTAGCATATGACAGATTCAAGATTTTTGGAGACAGATTACTTTGTTATGCTCGGAGATACCTCGAATACCAAGAAAGATTTAGTTTATTTTGACGGGGTTTACTGTATATCTATTTACAAAAGTCTCGATTGAAGTATTTTATTTATTAATGAGGCTTTTTCTGATTTTTCTGTATTTTCATTTCTCTTTCTTAGTCGACTAACAAAAAAACTATTGTACAGCATTTGTCTTGAGTAAAATGAAAATGTTTCTAATTAATGAAACAAACAAACACATTTAACACCCAAGGATTCAATTGTTATAAAGGTGTAATTTATAAACTATTGGTATTTACTCCTATAGAAGNACACCCAAGGATTCAATTGTTATAAAGGTGTAATTTATAAACTATTGGTATTTACCCCTATAGAAGAAGTTGTTGGGTAGCGCATTTGAAGATTTAGCAACAGGAGGAAATAAATAAGGTTTGTACAGTACCATATAAAATTATTTTTCCGTTCGAAATATTACAGTGGCAATAAATTTGACGCCATTTTTCTTGAACTAATTAACTAATGAAAATATCTGACAACGTGGATTAGGTGATGATGACGATGACCTGATCATTATTAGGTGAATATCAGTCTGAGAAACACAGAGAGAGACACTTGCTCTATAGAATTTACCTATAAGTAATGATCATTCAAAACAAACAAATGATGACCATCGCCCCCCCTGACAAGAAAAAGATTAAGTTGTTGCAACTAAAAAAAAAGCTTTGTAAGTTTTAAGTCAAAAGGATAAAAAATGAAACATCCCCAGCCAACATTGTAATACCAATAGTTAAGAAAAAAATATAGAAAATTTGAGTGAGTGACTGGAGAAGAACATCCATTCTTACATAATAAATCACGTGATTAACTATTTTATTTTTATTTTTGTGTTTTAAAAATAAATAATTAAATTTGTGAACAACGAAACAATGGAAACTTGGAAACTTACTTTCCTTTTCACTTCCTTTCTTTCTTTCCTTAATTATTTATTTTTAATGAGAAAAATCATTTTAAATTAATTTTTTAATCATTTTCATTACATTCCTTAACAGATTGCTATAATTGTACAAAAGTCAACTCAACTCAACTCAAGTTTACTTTTTAGCCGCCCATCCTTTTGTTCTTGACAAAGTTTGTCATCCCAAACTTAACTACAAAATAGTCAGACGACCATTCACCAAATTTTTTTTTTTCTTGTATGATGTCATCAGACAGTTATAATAACAAAGACAATAAGAAGTCGATAATAGCCGCCCAAAAACCTCCTGACCAGGAACAAGAAGAAGAAGAAGTTACAAAACCCCAGTTATTAGTTAATACTGGTAAACATCCAACAACTACAACAACGACTACAACAACTAGTTCTACACGATCATCATTATCCCCAACAGCAACCCCTAAAGATTCTCCCTCTTCACAGAAAATACTACATTCGCCAATACCAACCAAGCCACCACTTGCAAATCAATTTAAACCACAATTAGGTCCATCTCCAAAAGAACAAACCCCAAATACAACCACAACCACAACTATGACATCAACCGCAAAACGAGAGAGAATGCCATCTTTAGTAGTTAAACAAGATCCAACATTAAAATCTTGTTTATCTAATTCAACAGAACCAATAAATAAAATTCTACAACAAGAACAGCGACCACGACATCAATCAAATCCTTCATTATTAAATAATGAAGTACATCATTTAGAAAATCATCATCCACAATTCTTAATAACTACAGATAATATAAGTCCAAATATGCATGGATTAATCGATTTAAATAATCCAGGTCCATTAATTGGTGGTGGTGAAATGGCAATTGATGAAATTACAGGTAACCAGATCAGTTTTACGCCGATAAGTCAAGCCGAAAGTATTTCATCTAGTATTGCATCACCTAATTCAAAATCTGATTCTTCACCAGTTCATCAAATTGATATAATAACAGGTGGTGGGGGCCCACCACCTTCAAGAATGAATTCTTTAAGATATAGTGAAGATAAAAAAGTTTCAGATATACTACGTCATTCATATAATAATTCAAGAAGTTCATCAATTTGTGGAATTCCAGGTGTAGGTGCAGGAGAAGATATACAAATGTTTCATCAACAAAATATAATATGTGAAGATAATAAAATTCATTTATTATTTGGTATAACTGGTTGTATAACAATTCATAAAAATATCTTTTTAATAATTGAAAAATTATTTGAATTATATACTCGTGAGAAATTAGAAATTCAAATTATATTAACAAAATCAGCTGAATTTATCTTACTGGATAAATTAAATAAATTGGAACAATTGGGAGTTAGTAAGATTTGGTTTCATGATGATGGTGAGAAATTCTTTTTAACTTCCCCATTTCAAAAAATGATTCTGAAGGTTGTTAATAATGCCACCACTACCAGCGCTGTTGCCGCCAATTTACAAAAACATAGATTAACTCCTCAATTATTACTGCAATATAGTTTATCTTATGAATTACAAAAATGGACCGATATTTTATTAATCTGTCCCTTGTCTGCAAATACAATGGCGAAATTGGTTAATGGATTAGCTGATAATTTATTAACTGAAGTATTACATGTATGGCCAATCCCCCACATGCAACTACAGCCACCACCACCTCCACCAACCCAACAACTACACGCACCCCAACAACAATCACAATTACAACCCCAGGGTCTGAAGGTTGATATTTCAATATTGGAAAATACATTACCTTCTCCTAAACCAATAATTGCCGTTTTGGCATTAACAAATGCCATGTATTCCCATCCAATAACCAAGAAACAATTGGTATTGTTACAAGAAACATATCCTAATATGAGTGTATTAAAACCAGTGGAGAAATGTATTGATATTGATGGGAATATAAGTATGGGAGGTATGAGAGCTTGGAGAGAAGTTGTGGATTTTGTTTCCCAGAAATTAGGACCTCCTCCTGAGCCTGAAGATGATGAAGATGAACAGGGTGAGGATGAAGAGGATGAGATTGAGGAGGAGGATAATACTAATGATGGAGAAGATCTTGATAATGATGATGAGGATGATGATGAGGATGAGGAAGAGGATGATTCTGAATCGATTGAATTACTGGAGAATTTTATTGTTCAGAAAAAGAAATCAAGATCAAGATCTCCGGTGACAACATTAACCCCACAAATCGCCCAATTAGAGATCCATAATGAACATGAAAGATTATTATCACCAATACTTACAAATGAATCAAAATTACAAGTAAATGACAAGAATGATGGTATCAATGGTGAAGTCCGGCGTAGAAGTAGTACTATCAGTAGAAAAGAATTAGAAGAACATGAAAAACTTGCAAGTGCAAATGCTTTATTAAATACTGGAATTAGAATTGTTAGTCCAAGTGGAAATCTGTGACCTTTCGTTTGTGTATGATTTTGAGGAAGTATGTGTATATTTATGTATGTAGTTGAATGTATAGAGAAACGCGTTATTTCGTTTAATTTTAGACTACAACTTAATCTTAGAATCTTAGAATCAGCTGCTTTTAAATGGAATGGAAACGAATGGAAATGGAATCATGCAAGTTCGCTTCTATGAGCCCTTTTCCACGGGGCTCATACGGTTCTCGTTTTAATATTTTTTTTTTCCTTGGGGGAAGAGGGATATTTTCTAGTGACTCCAGTTGTGACCCCATACGAAAAATTTCACACCATTTTTCTCTTTCTTTCTCTTCATTAACCCATCCATTACAAGACAATTACAAAGTTAANGAAAAATTTCACACCATTTTTCTCTTTCTTTCTCTTCATTAACCCATCCATTACAAGACAATTAGTTAATTAACTATGAAATTATTTGATTTTAATCCTGAATCATTTTCAAAAGTGAAATTCAATATTGGTGGTATTTCCACCTATGTTTATAATTCTGAAAGTTTAGCTCCATATATTCAAACTTTCAATGATAAGAATCATCCTCATGTTGAAGAAATTCCGATTAATGTTCTTTATTTAATTCATCAACGAGGTGGGAATTATAAATTTACTGAAGCAATAGCGTATAATATATTAGATCAATATTTCACCAAGAACCCCGATGCAAAATCAATCGAATCAATTCCTTTGATTTGTGTTACTTTTGATATTAGAAATCATGGAGAGAGATTAATTGAAGAAATTAGAAATGAAGATTGGAAACATGGGAATAGCAATCATGCAATTGATATGGTGAGTGGAATTGAAGGGAATATTCGTGATTTAAAATTGATTATGGATTATTTACCAAGTTATTTAAATTTAGATATTTATTTACATCCAAAATTTAGAGAAGTTAGTCCAAATTGTGATATTAAATTTAATAATATCTTAAGTGGATATTCTCTTGGTGGTCATACTGTATTTAGATTTACAAATGAATATCCTGAATTAGTTAAGATTATTAATCCAGTTGTTGGATGTACTGATTTAACTAGTTTATTAATTAATCGATTAAGACAAACACCATTAGATTCAGATGATTATGATAAGAAATATTTTTATTTTTATTATGATGAATTAAACTTGTCAGATGAACAAAAACAATTGAATTATCCTGAAAGTTTTCATAAAATGATAAGTAAAATTGATATATCAATTTATGAAAATTTCCCCATGAATAAAATTAAAATGTTTGCTTGTTTTGGTAAAGATGATAAATTAGTTCCAATGAAAGTAAGTTCTGTTTGGTGTGATTTATATATAAATACAAATGATGATTCTGAAATATTTATTCAAGATGGTGTTGGTCATGATGTTACTCCTGAAATGATTGATAAATTTACTACTTGGTTAGTTAAGAATATTTAACCTGTTATCTACATATAAAAGTTTTGTAATTCAGAAGTTACAGTATATTGAGTGTTGTACATATAGTTTAAAATATATAAGTTATTATTGTGTAATTTCATTGAATGCCGTTGACGAAATGGGAATCGGCTAGGATGTGTAGACTAGGTTGCTATCTACCAATAGTATTACCGAGAGCTTGTGTAGAGTGCCATGCGCTGTGGTAAAAGAATCAATCTGGTCTCGATATACTTAGAAAGATGTCGTTTCTAAGCTTGTTTTCAACTTGCAGCCTTGCAACCGGGGTCTACCTGACTACATCTTTACTATTCTTTTCAAAACGACAAACTCTTAGAAGAAAGGTAAGCAACTCAGAATATCTTCTTTGTCTTTAGAGTAATACAAATTAGTTATCAGTTTGTTGTAACCAATTATGATTACTTTATAGATTTATTAAAGTAGTAATTTGCAACCATTTAAATAGAGTTGTCATTTTTTTCTGTTTCTAATATTCCAAAGTAAAGGGTAGAGATAGAGGGTTGTTAATTAATTGACCAGGAAGTATTGTCAGTACGACCTATCATATCCAGGTAAAAGATAGTGATAGGATAGTAACATAGGTGTAGATGAGCAACCAGCTACTTTCTATATAGATTATTGTATATACATATACTTTAATATGGTAAAGAAAAAGATACTAAGAAAAGAGAAGAAGAAGAAGAAGGATGTAAAGAATGAGAGAAGAAATTGAAATTGACTATTTTTTTTTTTCCTGTTTTACAGGTAGAAGAGAAGAACAACACAACTTACAAACTAACAACCAATTTATTACTTCCCCTAAACAATTACACACTTTTTATAAATACAACAAATATTACAGTTTTTATTACTAAATCTATAAACAATTAAAAATACAGTTTACTTTCTTAATCAATTTACAATTTATTTATCTATAATTAATTGTCATATTCAGATTCATATATTTAAAATTAGTTTTGTTTCTTTACTTCCCCCCCATCTCAAAAAAAGATACACTATATCCACGTAGTTTAACAAACTAACAACAACAAATCAAAAATGATGAAGATTCAATCAACTGCTCCTATAACACAACATCTATCAAGACAATATACTAACAGTTTAAATACTGATGGAGCTTCTGTATTAAGTAGTATTAAGAATTCGGATGAATCAGTTAATTTTATCACTTTTAATCAAGATTGTTCATGTGTTGCTTTAGGATTAAATAATGGGTATAAAATATTCAATTGTCAACCTAATTTCGGAAGATGTTATCAATTTAAAAAGGATGAAAGTATAGGTATAGTGGAAATGTTATATTGTACTTCATTAGTTGCCATAGTTGGATTAGGTGAAGAAATTGGATCATCCCCTCGAAAATTAAGAATTATCAATACAAAGAAACAATCAACAATATGTGATTTAATATTTCCTTCAAGTATTTTACGAGTTAAATTAACTAAAACTAAATTAATTGTGGTATTAGAAGATCAAATATATATATATGATATTTCAACTATGAAATTATTACATACAATTGAAACAAGTCCAAATACATTTGGATTATGTGCAATATCATATGATCCAGATAAACAAGGAAATAATTATTTAGCATACCCTTCCCCACCAAAAACAATAACTCATGATTCTTTATTAGCTAATGGAATAAATACCAATGGTGGAACCAAATCAATTCAAAATAATATTCATTCAGTTAGTAATGCACCAAATAGAATTGGAGATGTAATAATATTTAACCTTTCGACATTAGAACCAATCTCGGTCATTGAAGCTCATAAATCAACTATAGCTGCCATGGAATTTTCTCAAGATGGTACATTATTTGCTACTGCTTCAGATAAGGGAACTATTGTTCGAGTATTTTCCGTGAAAACAGGTGTAAAATTATATCAATTCAGGCGAGGTACATATCCAACCAAAATATATTCACTTCGATTTAGTTCAGATAATCAATATGTCATAGCTACAAGTTCAAGTTTAACGGTTCATATATTTAGATTAGGTGAAGAAGAAGCTTTAGCTAATAAACAAAAATCCAAAAGATTAAATAATGATAAACGGAAATATGAACCAATTGCAGAAGAAATTGAAGAAGAAGGTCAAAATATTAAAAAAGTTTCATTACCTTCAGGTCCATCTTCTCCAACTTCTCCAAAACCAAGATCTATAAATAATAATAATAACAACAGGAAAAGTTCTGTACTGGAAGAAGATTTTGAGGAAATAAGAGATGATGGTGATGATTCAGATGCAATGGATGATGATGACGATGAAGGGGAAGAACAAGACGAAGAAGGTGTCGACGACGACGTCGACTCATTAGATGTAATCTCATCTACTAAACATAGAAAACTTTCACAAGGATCAACAAATTCATATGCAAGTATAAATTCCGAAGATGTTGCCGGTGGAAATAAAGACCTTTCTTCCTCCTCATCCCCTAAAACCGAACCATTAATTGATCAAACCAGATTATCAATGGCTAGATTAATTAGAAGATCTTCACAAACATTAGGTCGCAAAGCGGCACAAAAAATGGGAGATTTTTTACCATCTCGATTTTCATCAATTTTAGAACCAACTAGACATTTTGCATCATTGAAAATTAATGCAATTAGTAAAGATGCAAAATCAATTGCAGTTATGACTAATGTTTTACAACATGATTTTATCCCACAATCTTATAATATTAAAGATAATGATTCTATTAATAGTGGGAATAATCGAGAATTGGTAGAAGTTAATTTATTACATATTTATGTGGTGACTTCGGAAGGTGTATTTTATATTTATGGATTAGATCCGGAACGGGGTGGGGATTGTATTCTTTTGAATCAATACTCACTTTTAGATGAATCTTAGGGTAGTTTGTAATAGTAATTAGTTAGTAGTGTTTATAATAGGTATTATATAGGGTTCTTTTGAAAATTGATTTTTTGATGCATTTTACACGAACTTATATCTCTTTCCTCCAACTTTCTGTCAACGAGTTTATAGGTGCGAACAAGATTTGTAATTTTTCAACAGTTGTCAAATTTTTTGCCACTAATCATCAAATAAGGTAAACATTGACTGAAGGGTTAAAGATGTCTACATTCATTGGTATGTATAAATGATATTGGTATTATTGCTTTGAACCGTTGACTAACATGAGCTTTTTTTTAGTTTCCATCAAAAATGCAGGAAAGGTTTATGAAATTGAACTTTCTCAAGATGATAATGGTAAAATTTTAAAAGAAAAGATTCAACAATTGACATTAATTCCCCCAGAAAGACAAAAGATCTTAGTTAAAGGTGGGAAATTACCTGATGATGTAATTGTATCCACTTTAGGATTAAACCCCAAGGTTCCAATTATGGTATTGGGAACTCCTGATAAGAACTTACCATCAAAACCAATTGAAAAACAAGTTTTCCTTGAAGATTTAAATAAAAATCAATTGATTAAAGTTAGTAATGATCCTTCTGGATTAGTTAACTTGGGAAATACTTGTTATTTAAATTCTACTTTACAAGCATTATTTCAAGTTGAAGATGTTAATAAAAGATTAAATGATTATCAATTAACAAGATCAGCACTTTCACTGTCACCAAATGATGCATTGGTTGTTTCCATGAGAAGTCTTTTCCAACAAATGGCTAAAAAACATGAAACTATTACCCCAACATTATTTCTTACCCTTTTTAGAAATCTTTATCCTCAATTCGCGGAACAATCTCATGGATTTTATAAACAACAAGATGCAGAAGAAGCATTTTCACAAATCTTAACTTCTTTAAGACAATCTTTGAAAATTGATGATTTATTTAGGATTACTTATAATACTGAAACTAAATGTATTGCAATTCCTGAAGATGTTGTAATTGGAACTGAAGAATCGTTTAAATTGAATTGTCATATTGATATTAAGACAAATTTCTTAAGAGATGGAATATTGGCCGGTTTAAAAGAAACTATTGAAAAACATAATGAGAATTTAGGTGCTAATACTGATTATGAAATCACTAAAACAATTACAAGATTACCAAAATATTTAACCGTACATTTTATGAGATTCTTTTGGAGAAGAGATATAAATAAGAAATCTAAAATTTTAAGAAAAGTTCAATTCCCATTTGAATTAGATTTAGCAGAAATGTTAGACCCTTCAATAAAACAAGATAAAGTAATTATTAGAGATAAAATTAGAAAAGTTGAAAAAGATAATTTGGATTTAGTTAGAGATTTCAAAAAGGCTAAAAAAGATACAACTTTAAACCCATTAGAACAACAAGAAGAAGATGAAATGAAGATTATATCAATTAAAAGTAAATTTAAAGATGATTTAGTTTCAGTATTACCTGATAATATTGATCTTGATAAAACTACCGAAAATCCTTCTTCAGTATATGTCTTAAATGCAGTCATTACTCATATGGGTGCAAGTGCCGATGGTGGTCATTATAAGGCATATGTCAAAGATCCGGCGGATATTGATGGGGAGAAATGGTGGTTGTTTAATGATGATAAAGTAAGTTCTGTTAGTAAGGAAAAAATAGAAACATTATCTGGAGGTGGTGAATCTGATTCGGCTTTACTTTTAATCTACAAAGGATTAGGTTTGTAGGTTGGTATATCTATATATAAATACGATAATAATAGTAGTGTAATTTATTACTAAAAATGGGTTATATACGAACTAAAGGGTGGGTTGGTTGTGGATTACAATTCTTTAACTAATTTTCTAAAAGTTTCAACTTCATCCCAACAATTCAAACTCTTTCCTTGATTTTCATTTAAGCATTTAATAACTTCTTCTCTTGAAGCTTTGACCGAATCTGATACTTCAATTTTAGCTAATTTAATATTTTCTTGTAATAATTCAGTCAATTTGGTGATTTTTTCATTTAATGAAGGTACTGAAGCTAATTTGTCTGCTTCTACTGTGTTGCTGTTGTCATTGTCCTTTATTAATGCATTGCTGGTAGTATTTCTAAACTTTTCAATTGTTTCTGCTTCTAATTTGGTTAATTCAGCTGCCACTCTTTCTTGAATATATTTTTCAGTATGTTGAGCACGTGAAAAATCGGACTATAACAAGCAATTGTTAGTAAAAATACTGATGAATCTGAACAAACGGCTATATGAGATGTTAACATACCTCTTGTGATGATTCTAATTGTGATAAGAATGAAGCACTGAAATCAACTGGAATATTTGGAGTAAATACTTTAGTTTCTGGTTTTGAAGTGTTTGATCCCATTGTTATGCTATATGTATATGTATATGTAGGTGGAAGGTAAGTTTAACTGCTTGATATGTTCTATATTACACAAATGAATAAATAATAATACTGGATAGATATAATCCCCTTGGTTATCTAGTCAGTAGTTTATCAAGGGTAATCCTAGTAGCGTGAGAGTTATAAGATTTCTGGGAGATCCAATTTTTTTTTTCTTCTGGTCGAGGAGGTCGTGTACATTTAACCAATTCTGTTTTATTGGTGAGATTTTTCTGGTGTTGGCGCTTCCAGTTTCGGTTTCGAGAGCTGAGGAGGAGATTCAAAAAAAATTCAAATTGTCATCACCGAATAATAACCCCATCCGTATTTAGGGATAGAAACAACACTACTTTATCAGTCTATATCAAATCATCATGCCTCCAGTACAACAATATCAATACGGCCACCAACCATCCAACTTCGACAAATTCAAAATGGGTCTTCTTATGGGATCTACAGTCGGAGTTTGTGTTGGGGTATTATTTGGTGGATTTTCAATTATACAAAATGGTCCTGGTCCAAATGGGGTTATGAGAACTTTGGGTCAATATATAATGGGTTCAGTTGGTACTTTTGGGTTATTTATGTCGATTGGATCTGTTATTAGATCTGATTCGGGTTATCAAGCTATGCAAACTTCTATGATGGCATCTCAAAGAGCAAAATTAAGAGCTATTTACAGAGATCAACAATAAGAAAAAGAGAATATAAGATGAAAACAAGACGATTATTTAATGAATTTTATGTGTGTGTGTTTCTTTTTTTGTATATTTTATTAATTGTGCTGGTTCCCCTGGACCCTGGAAAATGGGATTTTAGGTCTGAGGAATCAGGCTCTTTGAAGTTTGTGTATAATTGTGTGTGATCTTCATATTCTGTAAATAGATGTTATACGTTTGATGAATCCTATTTCCATTGTATATAGGTATTCGGAAACCAATCTGGTGAAAGCCATGTAGTGATACCTTCATCCTCTTTAGTGACATACCTTTTACTTGTATTATTTAAGTCCAATTCTTATTTCTTCAAGGAAGCTAGGCAATAATGATATGACTGTTGATATCCTCGAATGAGGTATAACTACCTATAGAATTCTGGCTGTTATGAAAGAAAGTTGGTTTTGATAGCTCTCTCTCTGGCCCATCGCCCAATTGGGAATTTGACCACTTTTTTTCTTTTTGGCGATCTATTCAACAATGTAAACAACAAAGCTATTTACCCCCAATGACTTCCACCAGTTCCCCCAGTAGCAGCAATGCTCTGGCTAACGATGTAAAAAAAGCAGCAATGAACAAACTAACAGAACGGATTGCTGCTGTTGATCCTGAGGACAAAGAAAACGCGGAAAATGTTATGAAACACTGTAAATCAATCCTTCCAAACTATGTTCGAGATTATTTAGAAAATGATGCCAAAACAATCATTAGCCAGCTTTTAGAGGATCCTACTAATGTCCAAATCCCAGTTGATGAAGATTTTCATCCTTTGATTAAATCATTTCTTAATCTCCCGAAAATAAAGCATGAGTTTGCAACTTCACATCCATACTTTTTGACGTTGGTTAAATATCCAGAAATTGACTCCGGATTTCGTAGTAGAGTGTTTGATCCAGAATATCTCGAGAAAAACTTTGATGAAACACAACATAGGAAGCATTATGGCTTGATTGAACAATACAGATCAGAAATTGAGCAGGAGAGCGAGAGAGAGAGCGAACCGCAAGAAACAGGAAATGGAATTTTTGTAATTATGGACTTCAATAAGAAAGTTGCTAATAATACAATAGCATTTGAAAAACCTCCTCCATTATCCGTACAATTACATTCTGAAGATATTGACGCTTCATCCCGACTACTCCTGTTTTTCTATGGGGATATCTTACTGGAAAATCTTTTCCAAAAATCTTGGACAAAAGAAATGACATATGATCAAGTTGTAAATTTCATGCAAATATCAATGAAATATTTCAATTGGCATCAGAGAATTCGAGGAGTTGGGGTTTCAAAGTATTATATTTGTATAAAAAGTATCCCTTCCGCGACAAATGGCAAATATACTAATTGTGCGGCGAAACTTCTCATGAAATACAAAAGTGAAGATTGCGTGAAAGTAACCTATACTTGGGGACATTCACATTCATATTTTTATTCTGGGAGATCGAAATTATGGGCCACTATTGAGAAGTCCTTGATGGAGCGATATGATTGTCAAATTGATGAAATGGATTGGATAGATCCGTATGAAGAAGAAATTCCACAAGACGTAATACCGCAAACTTCAGGAATCATAGGTGAGTTACGTGAAGCTTTGCAGACTCTAAATCGATACAAGGAGAGGACTGAAATAAGTGCGAAGTTAAAAATCGACGAATTACAAGCAGTGATCAAAAGTACACAAGAGGAAATCAAAAGGATAGAATCAGATCTAGTTTCAGTACTGGAATCATTGAGAATTGAAGTTCCCGCAGAGATAACGGATAGTTACTTGCAAGCTGTACAAGTAACCTCAGAAAAATATAAGGATGCCGCCCTAGATTTCGAAAGAAGGTATCAAAGAAAGCGGAAGGCCAGTGGCCAGCTTCGATAGCATAATTTCGATGTGCACTAATGTATCTACAATTGTTTTAGATTGAATATGTAGCTATTCTGATGCATTTATTTATTCTATTTTATTTTCTTAGACGTGAATTTCTATTTCTGTCTTGTTTTGAAGGTCATATAGATATGTCAACCCAAACTCAGGCACCCTAAAATATGCTGATTTCCCCAACTTTTCCGATAATTCAGTCAATGTCTCCCTTGGTTCTAAGATAGGTTCACTACTTAATTTAAATGTCCCCCAATGAATCCCCTTCATAAACGTAGCTGATAAATGTGAACAAATCTTGAGTGATTCTTCCGGGGAGATATGTCTTGGTTTTTGATGCCATGAAGGACAATATTGTCCAATAGGTAATAATGCGAGCGTTACAGGTCCTATTTTGCTACCAATTACATCAAAAAGTTCCTTCAGATATCCGGTATCTCCGGCATGATATACTATTGACTCTCCATTCCGTTTTATAACGTATGAACACCATAATGATTTGTTCGAATCAAATACATATCTTCCTGACCAATGCATTGAAGGTACACATTCTATTTCATATTTTCCGGGGAAATTTTCATGATTTGATATATATTTTGTGATATCTAGTGTATCCCACCAATCCATTTCAATTACTCGATAGATCCCCTTTCTGTTTAATTTCTTCTTTAATCCCAATGGTACAATCCAAGTAGTTTCATTTCTAATCTTTTTAGCTAAGTCATATTCTAAATGATCTGGATGGTCATGTGATACTAATACAAAATTAAGATTGTCATTTGATGCATATTCAATATCTTCAAATGTCATTGCTGATTTTGTTAATCTTTTAGGTCCAATTTTTGGGGTGATTAAATGGTCACTTACAATTGGATCCGTTAAGAAATTAATACCACCAATTTGGAAAAATGTACATGATTGTCCTAACCATGAGAATAATAATTGTTGATTTAATGAAGGTAAAGTTGGTTTAGCTAATAACCAAGATTTACTAGCTTCTGTAAACAACGGTTTAAAATCATTCTTTTCACAACATTCTTGAAAGATTTTAGAATTGTTTCTAAATCGTTCTAAATCAGGTTTAAATACTTTTAAAAGATCTTCAACCTCAACAGCACCATCATGAGGATGTGGTAACTTTTGATGAATTTCAATTCTACTACCATAAATACTTTCAACAAGTTCCATGATCCTTACAAATATGAATTCAAATGCAGTTTGAGGTCGATATTCTTCAAATGGATTAACAAACATTCCTGACACCAGTTCTGATTTGAATTTACTAATATCTAAATCTTTGAGATCTTTATTATTGGCTCTAAATTTCTCATATTCACGATGACGACTTCGAATTAGATACTGAGTTCTAAGATGCATATAAAGTTCAAATGAAGTATATGTCGCCAAGAGACCCATTCCAATCTTGAACTTTAGGGATAATGGTGTCAAGCTACTCATGGTTCGTATAGATGTATAAGTTGCTTTAGCTACAGGAAGATAAGGGGAAGATTGAGATTGCATTGTTTAATTAATTGTTGTGAATTCGACTCTTTTTTCCCTGGGAGAAAGTGGAAGTTGTGATCAATTTTATATGACAGAATTTTACGTGGGGTAAACAAGATCAGAATTACATGATACCCGTTGAGGGGTGACTCGGCTCCAAAGCGAGTTGTAATCATATGTCAAAAGATGAGTTTTGGTTTGCACACTGCCAAGATAGAATAAAGAACACCGGTTTTTGACTCCTGAAGCACCTGGCAACCCATCTCACCTGGTAGCACTACTAAAGAAGTTAGGCTCTACAAGTTCGCTTTTAACGAACGAATAGATCTCTGTTAATTCCTCTATAAACTCAAACTAAGAAAACTAATGCTTTCTAACAACACCGGCAATATCTGCACTTTCCAAGATATGTTTCTTATAATCATAAATATTCCCTGGGAATTTCTTAACTGTATTATCTTCACTAATCCAAATTTCATTACATACTTTATCAATAATAGCAACATCATGAGAAACCATCAATACCCCACCCTTGAAATTATTCAATGCATCTGCAAGAGCATCTAACCCTTGAGTATCCAAATGATTCGAAGGTTCATCAAGAATCAATACATGTGGAGTATTAAGACACAATGCGGCAAATGCAACTCTCGATTTTTGACCCCCGGATAATAATTGCATTTTTTGTAAACCAAGAGAACCAGTTATTCCAAATGAACCTAAATGACGTCTATATTCTTCATCTGTCTTACCTGGGAATGCAGTAGACATCCAAGATACGGCAGAAAGTGTAAGATCCATGGCATCAACATGATGTTGGGCAAAATAACCAATTCTTACTCTACCATTTCTGGAAATAAACCCACTTGTTGGTTTTAATTGTTCCATTAAAAGTTTTAATAATGTGGTTTTACCAGTACCATTACCACCTACGAATGCAATTCTTGAATCCATTTGAATATCTAAATTAACATTACGAATTAATATTTTATCAGGTGTGTAACCAAATGTAACATCTTGAGTTTGTAATATTGGTGGAGATAACTTATCAGGTTCTGGCCATCTAAATGTAACAATTTTATCATCTTCAGGTGGTTCCAATACTGGTAATTTCTCCAATTTCTTAATACGTGATTGTGCTTCTTGTGCTTTTGCAGCATTATATCTATATTTATCAATAAATTCTTGTAAATGTTTTCTAACCGCCATTTGATTTTCATATTCACGACGTTGATTTTTGATTCTTTCTTCTCTGGTAGCGTAGAAGGAATCAAAGTTAGAACCACGATAATAATCCAAACGTTCAGAATGTTGGTGAATGATATCGGTTGCAACTTCATTTAAGAATGCACGATCATGGGAAACAACCAAAACGGTAGATTTATAGGTTTGTAAATATCTTGCCAAGAATGTAATGGAGGGAACATCCAACATATTGGAAGGTTCATCCAATAATAATAAATCAGGTTGACAGAATAAAGCTCTAGCAAGTGATAATCTCATTCTCCAACCCCCAGAGAATTGTTTTGTTGGTAAGTATTGAGTTTCTCTAGTAAAACCCAATCCATATAAAATACCAGCAGCTCTACTTTCTGCTTTATCAGATTCCATTTCATTTAATTTATCATTAACTTCTTGTAAATGAGCATCTAAATCTTCTCTTTCATTATCTAATTTTTTAACTTCATTTGATTCTTCATCAAATTCTTCTCTTAATTTTTCAAGTTCGGCAATTCTTTCATTTATCTTGGATTCTTCTTGAAGTAAACTCTTTCTCCAAACATCTGCATCCAAAACACTTTGTAATGCTGGGGTATCATCCCCACGAATTTCTTGTTCAACATGTAAAATCGTAATATGTTTAGGTACCAGTAATTCTCTTCTTGATAATGCTCTTAAAAGGGTGGATTTACCAATACCATTTTGACCGACTAAACCATATCTTCTACCATATGCTAAAGTTAATGAAGCATCACTTAAGATTCTTTGACCATCACCAACATAAAGATCGAAATTATCAATTTTGATATCTTTTGATTTCCCAGCACTGGAACCAAAGTCAAGGGGATTGATTTCAAGGAAGAATGAATCATAATCATCATCTTTCTTTTCATTTAATAATTTAGATGCTTCATATTGAACAAATTGATTATTTCTCTTTGCAACTTTTTTAGCAATTTTACGTTCTTGTTTCTCCAATTTCTTTTTATCAACTCTACTTTCCATTTTTCTACCCGTATGTTCAATATCATTACTTGCAGAAAGTAATGCTAATGAAGAATGGATATCTCTTTTAGAACTATTTTGTAAAATATTAATATCCAATAATCTTTTGGAAGTATCTCCAGTAATGGCCAATTTTTCCATATTATTAGTTAATTTGGTATTCAATTGTTCTGAAACTGTTTTAGTTAAGTTTGATACTTTTTCATTAGATCCACCAGCATTAATTAATAATTGTTTAATGAAATCCATTTCTTTATCAATACTGATTTGTTGAGCCAAAACGATATCTTCTGTTGAATTCGAAACATGTTGGATATAACCAACTGCGTAGTCTGCGACCACTGGATCTATCGATGGAACAGCTTGTCTGACTTGTAAACCTACGTTAGACATAATTAATCCTTGATTGTAAAGTAATCTTTAAGGTTACTAGAATTTAGCAACGCAATCGAAAATTTTCAGATGGACTGAACAATTTAGTGAGAAAAAAATTTTGTATGGTGAAGGATTTATTTGCGAGTGAACTATGAATCTACCGGCAACTCCTCTACAAGGATACAATTATTGTAAGTTGTAAGTAATAATGAATTCGTTTTACTGTTCTATATTGAAGATCAATGAGGGAAATGAGACTATGAAGAACGTAAGATCAGTCAAAAACTCAAAGCCCGGGGCCAACCCTGTCTCAAAGTGAGACTTAAACAGTTAAAAGAAATAAGCTATTGTTACAAGGCTATAATTATGTTTATATTATAAAGGCAAATCTGATTTGTAAAACTAAGAACTAATCTATAAAACAGCTTTAATCTTTTCATCTAATTTCTTGGCTGATTTCAAAGCTTGAACATCTGAATTACCACCAATATGTTGACCACCAATAAAGACATTAGGGACGGTTCTTTGACCAGTTAATTCTAATAAAGCTTCTTGAATTTCAGCTCCATCTTCTTCTTCATCTAATTCTAAAATATAAGCATCTTTTGTAATAGCATTAATTGTTGCTTTAGTGGCGGAACAATAAGGACAATAAGTTTTGGAAGCAATGAAGATTGGTTTAGTTTTGATTAATTGTTTAACCTTTTCAGTAGTTTGAGCAGATACCATTCTTGATGTACTTATATAACGTTTAATTAATAATCTTGAGAACATAAAAAAAGGTTAAAAACTTTCGATGTTTAAAAAATTGGGGAAATGAGGAAATTTATATAAAAAGATTATTAATTGTTTAAATTGTTAATAATAATGGATCCCGAAAAAAATGATGGAATTACATTGCGCTTATAAAGCATTTACTAAATCAGAGAAGACCCGAAAGCTTAAAAAAAATATTCATTTCTCGCACGGGTTTCTTTTTCGATTCATCGTTCTACACACTCCGTTTGCTCCACACCACCGCCACCACAACTGGTACCACATCCACCCGCACGGATGCCAAAAAAAATTGACTCAGACAACAAACTTATTTGATTAATAAACAAACGTATACATAGTATGAATACATAGTATATGGGTTCTAAAGCTTTGGGATTAAATCATGTCCTAAGATTTCAGTTGAATATCCATCCGGATCTCTAATAAAAGCAATTTTCTTAATTTTACCTTGATCCCATCTTAATGACCAATCAATCTTATCACCAAATTCTTGATCAACTTCTTCACAAAATTTAGCAGGATCTTTACAACTAACACAAATATGACCAAATCCTTGTTTAGCCCCATTTTCAGTACTATTACCATTATGATATCCTTCAAAAGTTGGATCTGATTCAGTACCCCAATTATGAGTTAATTCTAAAAGTGATTGTCTATTTTGAAATGATTCTAAACTATCTTCAACAAAGGATGGATCATGTTCATAACCTAAAAAGTAAAGAGTGAATTTTGGTCCTTCGAATTTCTTTGTATGTAATAATTTTAAACCTAAAACGTTTCTATAGAATTCAAGGGATTTAACAGGATCTTTAACTCTAATCATTGAATGATTGAATTTATAACTGGTTGAATTGGTTTGGGATTCAACTTTACCTTCACCGTTTTCAACCAATTCAATCCAATATCCATCAGGATCTAAAGCAAAAGCAATATTCTTTTGTCTACCATCAGTTAACTTCTTCTTAAATTTAACTCCACTATCAATAAAATGTTGTTCAGCAACTTGAATATTATCAACTGAAAGACAAATATGTCCAAATCCTCTAAAGGTTTCTTCATTCCCATTATTAAGAGTATATGTATCATCATTTTCAACTCCATGATTATGACATAATTCTAAAACACCTTCTCTTGCTGACCAATTCAAATCCTTATTGGTTGAATTTTCAAAATTTAACATATATAATGTAAAATCATTAAATTTAAAAGTATCAATTAATTTAAATCCAAGAATATTGGTATAAAATGGAATTGATACTTTTGGGTCTTTAATACGAAGACAAGTATGATTCATAAGAAATGAATTATCAATTGATGGCATTTTGAATCTGATAGTTGTTGTTGCGAATGTTCTAGTAATCCAATTGATTGAATACTTCTGATGTTTAATTGACGAAAGGAGTGAACGTTTTAAGGGGGAGATTATTGGAACTGAAAAAATTTTGAATGTGTAATTGTGGGAGTATATACTATTTCAAAATGTGTATTTCTTGACTGAAGTGTGTGAATATAAGTTATAATGACAAGATATCCTTCAGTTGATCAAAAGAAGAGGAAGAAGAAGAAGATCAAAGAAAGAGAATTAAAAGTTGGTGGGGAAATTTCATTCAATTTAAATAGTAGCCTGGAAATAGCAACCGACAAAAATAATTTGAACACTTGGCATGAACAACAATTCTTTCATTTCCGATTAACAATCAGTAATTTGTTCGAACAACATTGGCAAGATTACTTACTGGAAGGATGAAGATCAGTTGGTTATTATATCTGTCCCGTAGGATATCCCAGTAATGTATAATTATTAAGTAAATGACATACATACAGGGTCCGGAATAATCTTTCGGAAAAATGATTATCCGAAATCTAGTTTTGCAGCAAGATTTAATATGAATGTAATTAACTACTGCAATTGATTTTCCGTGAGTTATCATTGGGGTAATTACACACTGGACTGGCGGCTGAGAGGGGAATGATGGGAAGTGGTTTTCTCCTTTGAAATCAACCACTTTACTTGACTACTGCAACGGGTATGCTTATTAAGTGTCTGTTCCATTTACTTGATTATGGCAACGAGTCTGCTTCTTAAGTGCCTGTTGCAATAGTCTACGTTTGTTGAGTTTATCATACAGTGTGTATTTGCCTAGAAAACATGCCTTCTGCAAATTCTACAATTTATAGCTCTGACAAGAACCACCACTTTACGAACTATTCATTACAATATAGAGTTCATACATTATTCATTTGATATTTCATTGTTAATTTCCCAGCAAGTACTTTCTACCAATGAACGTCTTTCACCCATTACGAGACCTTTAGCCAGAAAAATACACTAAATTAGTCATAGAATTGTTCATCTGGTAATAAAGGGATGAGGGGGGTTAGCCAGTCCCTTGTTACACTAACTTCATTTGCAATCTAAATTAATTCTACACATTTATGAATTGAACATCCGAAAGTTCCACAAAATCATTAGTTCATATAAAAAAGTGCCGAGGAATGAGCCTAATTTATAATTTTTTTTTTTGACAGAAAGAGAAAAAAATTGCAATTTTTCAACTTTTGATCGTATAGAATTAATTAATTTACTCACACTTTCTCAAACGAGCTGGCACGGCACAATAATATAAAGAGAAGAGAGTCTCCTTGTCGCTTCTAGGAATAGAAATAGTTCAACCTATAACGTTAAGCTTTTCAACATGTTTAAAACTATCAGATTTTCAAGAGGTTACCTTAGGAGTCATATAACTTCAATTCAAGCCATCAGATACTCATCATATACCCATTACACTCGTAAGACATTAGCAGACATTGCAAGATTATATCAAAATGGAGAGCCTATTTCAATGGTAACTAGTCATGATTTCTTAACTTCAAAGATGTTAGAAACCGCAGAAATTGATATCAATTTAATTGGTGATTCACTTGCCAATACATCTTTAGGATATGAATCAACTAATGAATTAACATTGGATGAAATGATATATCATGTCAAATCGGTACAAAGAGGGAATGGCCACTCATTATTAGTTGCAGATATGCCATTTGGAACATTTGAACGTTCTCCTGAACAAGCAGTAGAAACTGCTGTTAAATTGGTTCAACAGGGGAAAATTCAAGCAGTTAAAATTGAAGGTGGAAATCCAGAAATTATACCTACAATTGAAAAACTTATATCAATTGGTATTCCAGTAATGGGTCATGTTGGATTAACTCCTCAAAAACATAACACTTTAGGTGGATATAAATTACAAGGTAAAAATTCTCAAAATGCTATACAAATATATCAAGAATGTTTAAATTTACAAAAAGCAGGAGTATTTGCAATGGTATTAGAATGTATCCCCAATAAATTATCGGAATTTATTACTAATAACTTATCAGTTCCAACAATTGGAATTGGAGCTGGTCCACATACTTCTGGTCAAGTTCTTGTTATTGCTGATATGTTAGGTATGGCAAATCCTGAAGAAAGTCATACGGCAAAATTTGTCAAAAGATATGGAAATTTCTTTAAAGAAGGTGTTGAAGGATTAAAGAACTATAAAACTGAAGTTAAATCAAAGGAATTCCCAGTACCTGATATTCATGGTTATAAAATGAAGCGTGAAGTATTTGAAGAATTTAAAGAAAAAGCAGAATCAATGACGTAATTGATTGATTGTCAATTCATTTCTTTAGTGTATTTTTACTGTACAAATTATTTATTTATTTTTATAGACAAATTTAATTGCATTGAAAAGTTGATGTCAAGAGTCAAGAGTAACATGAAGATGATGTAACACTGACTCATGGAGTTCATCCCTCCATCTCCCCCCCCCCCTCCCCCCTTTGTAACCCAACGTGTGTTGACCCCACCATCAGATGATTTTTCTCAACGGTTTTTATTTTTATTTTTCATTTTATTGTTCCCACATGGAAAAATTGAAAAAATAAAAAAAGAAATCCATTTCTTATCAGAATTTTCCTTGCATCCTTAATATTACAAGAAAAAAAAAAACCATGTCATCTTTTTATTCTTTATTGAAATACTACTATAACCAGTAACAGTAACTACCATCACCCTATATACACACAATAACTATGACAGTAGACATCGCTAGCAATGAAGATCGAAGAATCACCAGAATCTTTATAGTAAGGCATGGACAAACCGATCATAATGTTCAAAAAATATTACAAGGACATTTAGATACAAATCTAAATCAAACTGGACAAATTCAAGCTGAAAAAGTAGGTAAATATCTTTCAACATTACCTATTGATTATTTCTTATCTTCGGATTTGTCAAGATGTAGACAGACACTAGATCAAATTCTTGTACACCAGGAAGTGACGGGTAATAATATAAGATATACACCAAATTTAAGAGAACGAGATATGGGGATTGCTGAAGGAATGTATCTTAAAGATGCACTTGCACAATATGGACAAGGATTCCGTAATTTAGGTGAGAAGGAACATGAATTAGTTAAAAGAGTTGAAAGCGAATGGGATAGTTTATTAAAATTGAATCATAAGAATGTTTTGGTATGTACTCATGGAGGTGTAATTACAAGATTTATTAATCATTTATATGTTGATAGGAAATATGAATTACATGAATCCATAACTCAACTGGATTTAAAAGTACCGTTTAATACTTCGATTTCAGTTATAGATTATGATAATGAAACTGGTTTGGGGAAAATTCAAACCTTTGGTAATACTTTACATTTAGGTGGAAATTTTGAAGTTAAAGATCAACAATTGAGATAGATCGGTAAAATAGATCGATAGATAGTTTAGTTTTTAAAAGTTAGGAGATTTGATAAATAAATATAGAGGTTATTAATTTTATAAATGACATTGATTAAAATGTAATATCTATCCCTATAGAAAACGAAATATTTACGAACTGAAAAACCAACAATTAAAAAGGAAACTATAAAAGACAAACTTATCCATTGGATAAGTCAATTAAGATCTGATTTTGTATAAATTATGTATTGTAATTTGTAATATCTTAAACAACGAATCTTGCATTGTCCATGGTATTAGATCTAGAGAAGGATGCATATCTTTCGAATGGATCATTTCTTTCCAATTCATATTCTGGATTCTTAGCCTTTTTAGCAACAATCTTACGACCCAAGATACGTTTACCCCATTTCCAAGCTTCAGCACCAACTAAAAATAATGCACTACAAGCAACAGCAACACCCCATTCCCAAGTAATTGGTTTATGTAAAAAAACTTTAGTATTAATCACTGGAATATAAACCACGGGGAAAACACTAGCACATCCAATAACAACCGACCAAAATAAGAATTGATTGCCCCAAAGATCAATTGCAGTTTGTTTCCACCAACTATTATCAGTTTCTTGTCTCATATGGAATAAAGAATTGTATGGATGAATACATTCCCAAGCAAATAATAAGGCACACCATGTCATATTGGAAAATGATGCTGCTCTACCTCTAAATACCAAATCACAAACATCAACATCAGCATCAGTTTGATTACAATTAATTCCTAAATCTCCATCTCCATGAATGAAAACAACAATAACAAAACAAAGTAAACATGAAGCCGCCATCCAGAATCCATAACCTATCATATCAATAATAACTTCCCAAGTGAAAATTGTATTAATTGGTGGTTTTTCTAAAATATCATCAGATGCTCTTTCTTGACCTAATCCCATAGCTGGGAAACATGATGCAACAACAATAGTCCATAACACTTCAACTGGAGATAATGGGAACACCGAGAAACCAGAGTCATCCAAGAATGCTAACCCAACTAATAAATATAACCCTTGGGCAACATTACTTGTTAACAACATCAAGACGAATTTTTGAATATTGGAAGACATTCTTCTACCTTCTTCAATAGCATTCAAAATAGAAGCGAAATTATCATCAGATAAAACAATATCAGAAGCTTCTTTAGCAACATCAGAACCATTAAGACCCATAGCGATACCAACATCGGCTTTCTTCAATGAAGGTGAATCATTAACACCATCACCAGTCATGGCTGCAAACTTCTTTCTTCTATGTAAGGCATCAATCATACGAACTTTGGTTTGTGGAGCACAACGAGCAATAACTAATGGTAACACAGGTAATTTATCAATTTCATCGTCAGTTAAAGCATCAAAATCATGAGCACTCATAACCATAACTTTAACAACTTCTTCACTATAATGATAAAGATTATGAGGTAAAATACCAACTTCTTGGGCAATAGCTTTAGCAGTACCCGGATGATCACCAGTAAGCATATGAACATTAATACCGGCTTTGTGACAAAGTTTAACTGAACGAGCTGTTTCTTCTCTTGGTGGATCATAAATACCAATCAAACCTTGGAAAATTAATCCTCTTTCGATTGTTTCTCTATCTTCAAACGATACATCAGAATCCTTGGGGAGAGTTTTGGTTGCAAATGCAATAACTCTTAAACCTTGACCAGATAATACATTCATATTACATTCAATCATTTGTCTATCTTCATCAGTTAATTTGAGTAATTCTTGAGAATCAACAGCATCAGGAGAAGCGTTAACACCATACCAATGATCACATAATTTAAGAATTCTTTCAACAGCACCTTTGGTATAAACATGATATTCGCCATCTTCTGTTCCTTTATAAACGGTTGACATTCTCTTAATTGCAGAATCAAATGGGAATTCAGCAATATGTTCAAATCCTTCAGAAACATCTTCACGAGCATAATTCAATCTACTGGTGAAAACTTGAACAGCAATTTCAGTTGGGTCACCATGTGGTTTCCAAACTAATTCTCCAGATTCTTCATCTTTAACTTGATGAATAGTAGCAATATTGGCCATGGTAGCAGTCATTAAAGTATCATGTAAAGTTGTTGGAATTGGATCTGAAACGGGTTTATTGAAATCAATTTCTTCATCAGATTCTTTAATGTATAATGGTGAATAGGCAACATAATTAACTTGTCCAACAGTTGGATTAAACGGTTCACCGACATGTTGGGCTTCAAAAGTACCGACATTAGGTAACCAAAGCTTCTTGGCAATCATTTTACCTTGAGTTAAAGTACCAGTCTTATCTGAACAAATATCATCAATACCACCTAAAGCTTCTAATGAATCTAATTTACGAACAATGACATTCTTTGAAACCATAACTTGAGTACCAACAGCCATAGTGATAGTTAAGACAACAATAAGTGCCGCTGGGATCATAGAAAGGGCAACAACAATAGCATAAATGGCAACTTCTTTATTGACTCTCATCTTTTGAGAAGCCATAACAACAATAGCAGAAAGAACAGCAACAAAGAATAAAAAGATAGCTAACCATGATAATTTTCTTTGTAATGGAGTACCAACATTAACACCTAAAATATTACCAACAACATTGGAAATGGTCTTGGTGGCAGCATCAGTATATTCTTTCTTGGATGGTTTTCTGTCTCCCGATCTATCAACTCTTTTGATTAATCCAGTGTCAGTCTTTAAGGATTTAGCAATATTACCAATTTCGGTATTTAAACCAGTACTAAGAACAATACCTGAACCTCTTCCTTTTGAAACAATTGAGGATGAATAAGCCAAATTTAAACGGTCACCAATTGGAATAGGAACTGAGTAATCATCATAAACAAGTTGATGGTTCTTAACAACTGGTAAGGATTCACCAGTTAATAAAGCTTCATCGGTTTCTAAGTTCAATGAATCAAATAATCTTAAATCTGCAGGAACAGTATCACCAACTCTAATATGAACAATGTCACCAGGGACAACTTGTTCTGCTGGAATCGTAATATCATCACCATTTCTAGAAACTCTGGCAGTTGGAGAACTTAAAGTTCTAAGAGAACCCATTGTCTTTTCTGCTTTATATTCTTGAATAAAACCAACCAAGACATTTAAAAATACGACGAATCCAATAACTCCACCAGAAATCCAATCTTTAATTGCAAGGGCAATAACCATACTAATAATCAACACCAAGATCATGGCATTGAATATTTGATGGACTAAGATCTTTGTGAATGAAATCTCTTCACCATCCCCGAGGGAATTAGCTCCATGAATCTTGAATAGTTCGTCGACTTCGTGAGTGGTTAACCCATTGACAATATCGGTTTTGTATGCTTCAGCTACCCTTTCGACTGATAAACGATGGGCTTCAAATGTGGGTGAGCCTGCTTTTTCAGAGTTTATGTCTGAATAGGAAATTTCTCCATTCAGGTGTTCCTTTATTTTGTGGTTCGAATCTTTGGAGGAATCCATTAGATAGTATTATAATTTGTAGTATTTTTATTTTTTGCAATTTGTAATAATAAAATCAAATAAGTAATTAATTAATTTGTAAATTTGTTGTTTCTATTGGGGAATTGTTAATGATTTTAAAATTATAGTAATTTTAATTGGTTATCATTAAGATATTAAAAGTTAAATTAAATTTGAAAATGGTTTTTGAAATTATAGGTTATTTAAGGTTATATTTATATACCTCCGCTTAGGTTTGCTGCTAAGACTCATGATGCTCCTGCTGCTGCACATGTTATCCAATTAAAAAATAAAAAGAAAAAGGATAATCTTTGTGTCCTGAAAAAAAAAATATTATTTGAAACACATAATAATGTTTGAAGCGACAGCTTATCTCCATCACGAAATGGTTCATTTCTTAACCCTCACATGACCGTTCTCTATAAGCAGGCAATATATGTGGATTTTTTTTTTCTTAGCATTATAAAACGATTTTGTGTCATTTAGATTTACAAGTTTATTGCTGATAATTAATTATTTTTTCCGATTGTTTTTCTTAGGTATTGGGATGGGATTTTTCTTAATAACTCTAGAGTGGTTATTCTTTCCAGTTCTTGTTGCTTTTCAGGGGGGGGGGGGGTCGATTGTCACCAAAAGAACGACACTGGATCTTTAAGATTTGGAAACGGTTTTGGTTGTGTGTTCAATTCCCAGGGTTCTTGGATATATCTGGAATTTTTGCCAAGACTTATGTGTTTTAAGGCTTGGTCGTATCCGCACGTGACCGCATACCATCTTTTATTCTCCATTTCCTCCGTGAAATGCACTGAACCTTAATTTGTCTGACATCAATATTAATAGAAATGTAGAGGTTAATAATAAGGGACGAATCATCATGTCATGGCTTAGATATGGCTTCGACGGAACAATTTAATCATGCTGACTTGATTTTTCATTGATAATTGTCTAAAACCGTTCGGTGACAGATTTCCGGAATTTTTAGGAATACGGATCATTTCAATGGTGTTTTTTTTTTGGGATTAATTTTGAAATTTGATAAGTTCTTTTAAACTTTTAAAAATAAACCAATGTTGCATAAATAGTTTTCTTGTCATCATGATTTTTTCTTGGTTTATGATAAAAACGTGGGTATACCGGGAAATCGAATTCCTTCAGGTTCTGGAAGAAGTTGTATTTAATACTTCTGATCCATTCTTCCGAATGGATATCATTTCCATTTTATTTGTGACATTATTCTTAAGCACATCGGAAGTGTACATGGACCATACAGATAAGCTAATTCTCTAATTTGATAGCCGAATTTTTTCTGATTGTGTTTCTTCTAGAAGCTCTCATCCCTTGGATTCTCGCTCAACTCTCATGAATGCATGTATAATTACGTCAAGAAAAAATTAAATAATATTTTTTGGGAAACTCATAGCGAGATGTGTTGATTAGATTTTTTTTTTTTTGGTTCCTCATATTTTGAATCATCAAATTGAATCATATCAGACGTTTCTTGGGGTGGGGAATGATTCTTGGGGATAGATGAGGGGCGCCAGTGGTCGATGGCGGCAATAGTCCTAATGTAGTAACTTCTTCCCGATGGAACGGAAGATTGACGAGATGTGTTTGCGGTTAAAAAAAGCTTCTGTTTCTATAGATTTCAAATAATCCCCATTGTTCCTTAATTTTCTTGTCATGTTAGCTTGTCAGGCGTTCAGGATTATCATTGTGGTATCTCTCTCTCTTATCGCGAATATAAAGGCGATTTTTGACAAAAGTGTGGAGGTTCTGAGGATTTGCCAACTCTAGTTCTTGATCCCCTAATAGTGCCAAGAAACATTAGAAAAAGACATTGTGTTTTTAAGTTTGGAATGTGGTTACCCCGGGATTAGCTTTTTCTCTCTTGGACGGCATTCCTGGAGCAAATGTTTCCAGTCAAATCATTTGGTAGCTTAAATTATTCGTTTTGTTTGTTGTTGCTGAACTGGAAAGTTGGTTGCAAAAAAAAAATGGAATGACTTTTGATTTTTAACAAAAACATGTCAAGCTTCATGAACCAATGGAATTTCTATTGCTAGACTGTATTGGATGTTACTCAGATGTGATGTGATCCAATCCTTTCTAATACATACTTCAATTCAATCCCTTACTTGTATCTAGTGGACATCGGAACAGTTTAGAGGTCCATCTCAAACTTAGTTAGTAGAAGAGAAAGGAAAAAACCTCTGAGATCTTTCCTCACACTCAAAAGAGAAGGCGGGAAAAAAAATTCACTCCAATTGAAAAAAGAATTGACAGCACAGTCTATTTCAATCTATTTCAATTAATCAATCAATCAATCTCAGAGAAATACAATGGCAACTGATGCCGACAAGGAGTTAATCGATCTAATAGATCGTGGCTCGTATTCACATGCCAAAACGTTAATTGATAGGAGACTTGTTAAATTCCCTCAAAAAAGTCTTTATCATATTCTTCAAAATAAAATCCTTTTAAGAACTGGTGAAGAAGATTTAGCTATTAAAAATAATGTTAAATTAATGAAACAGATACCCAATGATCCAATGTCAGTCGAATTGTTAAGCGAATTTTTTGCTGAGGTTGGAATGGATAAAGAAGTTAATATTGTTTATGAAAATGTTATTAAGAAATATCCAATTTCATCAAAAGATATGTGCTTACATTGGTGGAATAATTCAATTGAGAAATTCGATTTGAAATTATATAATCTTATTTTTATGTATTTGAATAAGCATGAAAAATCAAGATTGTATACATTTTGGTATTCATTTAGTTATTATTTGTTATTGAAACAGAATTGTCTATCTGATAAAGAAGTGACATTGTATCGTGCATTAGGTAAAAAATTAATTGAAGGGTTACAGCCATTTGAAAATACCCAAGAGTTGTATGTATACACAAAATTCTTACTTGAAGAAGAGGACTATCAATCTATAGTCGCTGTCATTGAGGCTACAACCTTCAATTTGGATTTAGACTTAAAAATAATCTATCGTGATGCTATGAAACATAGTGAAAATTTCAAATCCTTATATGAATATACTGAAGATTTATTATTTAATCAAAAATTTAATGATTATGATACTTGGAAAGCATTGATATTTGCCGCAAAACAATTAAACAAACCCTACGAAGAAATCAAAGATGTCCTTTCTCGTCAACCCTACAGTAGAAATGGTATGCTAGCACAAATTGAATTGGCTAGAGTATATGATCAAGATACCAATGATCCAATTAAACAATATTATGAAAAGACGAATCACAAGTTATGTTGTTACTACGATCTTGCAAACTTTGAATTATCAGATGAATTCTTTGAAATGGTAAAGGCATCGACCAATGAAATATTAGAATCATATCCAACTGATGTAAATCAATTAACTAGAATGATCAATAATCAAAAATTCCAATTTGAAAGACGAATTGATGATGAATTCTCCTGGACAAATTGGAGAATCAATAAGATATATGCCAATAATAAATCAATTCAAGGTGGAGAGTTTGATAATAATCCGTTACATGAGTTGAATTTAATTTCTATTATCCTTGATTTATCTAAGAATTCTTCATCTAAGAATTTGATCAAATGCATTGGTATAATCAATCATTTGTTACAAGAAGATGCATATAATCATAAATTACAATTATGGCTTGTGAAATTATATTCAAGATTAAATACGAGTAATTTAATCTATCCAGTTTATCAAAACCTAAAAATCAAAATGACTCAGCATGAAACTTTATTACATTATTTAACAACAATTAATCCTTCAAAAGATACTCTTGACGGTTTGGTAAATATTTTCCGTTTCTATTTGACAGCAAAGCATGAAATTAAATCTGGTATTGAAAATGGATTCCAAGAGGGAGTGTTTAACAAGCTTGAAAGTTTTATTAATTTTGGAAAACGTTTACAAAATTCAATATCATTGAATTTCCTTGTTTCTAAACTCTTACAATTTGTGGTTGTACTTGGAGATTCAGGGTACTTAAATTACTTCATTCATTATATGAAATCGAACAAGAAGTCAATCTTGGAGGACTATTCAGATAATCGAGATTTTACTTCTGAGTGGAAATTGGGTTTAAAGGTAATTGACCAGGATTTATTGAAGATTCCTGTTCAAGATACTAATGTGAAATTGAAGCTTTTAATCTACTTGATTATCTTTGAAGAGAAACCAGCCGAAATTACAAAATTATTAAAATTATTCAATAAGATCATCTCCAATGAAAAATCATTTTCAAGGTTCGATAGTATATTATACAAATTATATTTCAACTTATTAAAGATTTCCAAAACTAATTTGAATTCTCAAGAAGTACAATCACTTTTTAATTTCATTCAAAAGAATTTGAAATTTGATAAATTGAAAACCATCTTAATCCCAGAAGATATATTATCTGGTGAATTAAATCAAAATTTAATCAATTTATCTGAATTTATTAAGATAATTCAAATGATTTCCAGACGGAATTCATCTTCATTCATAAAGCAATTAGTCGCCATAACTGAAACGTTACCCAAGGATATTAAACTGTTGAGACTTGCAAGTTTGCAAATTGAGCAAATTGATTCCATGGACTTTGAAATTCCTTTCATTATAGACATTGGAAAAACTAAGAAGACTCTTCAGGATTCAATTGACAAAACAACAACATTCATTTTAAATACTTTATAGAAACAAAACCTGTAAATAATTTTGGCATTTGGCTCTGAAGTGAACTTTTTATTTGTATTGAACATGCATACCCATACTTGCACTCATATGGTTTATTTTATTAATCCCTAATGATAATAAATATTTCCTATAATTTAAATCAGTTTGTTGAGAATTTGCTCTAAATTCATCTCGAATAAATCCAAGTAATGCTTCCTTTTCATGATTTTTATAAACTTGTCTTAATAAATCTCGATAAATACATTTCACTCTATTTCGAAATAAAAACTCTTCTAAGGAAACTGCATGTTTTAATTTCGTTCTACCTTTTAATAATCTTGAAGTTGTACTCAATTGTCTTATAAAGTTATTCATTATACCTTGATTGAAAGTTTAAAAAAGTGAAATCAAAAACATGGGGAAATCCATCTTTAAAATTGGTGACATAAAATTTTTATTAAAATATGTCAAACTAAAAAATCAAGGTCGTGGGATTACCAACTGTGTCATGTGCTATACACGTGATTGATTGGTGCGGCTGTACCTTCGTGCCAAGATACTAATTTTAATAAACTTCATTTGATATCAAACATTCCCTTTTAAATCGATTTTTTTATTTTCTATTTTATTTTGCTCAAATAACGACATGGGATTTGGTATGAAAGTAATTCCAGAAGGTGGATTAAGTCCTAGAATGAGGTTTTTGTATACGTGATGGATTATGTGTTTTCTGATAAAATGTCTGCAAAATTTCAGTTGCAAATGGTTGCAATTTCCCAAAATTTTGAATTAATAAGCTTGAATTAACTATTTAATTATAAGCAGAGAAATGCTAGTTACAATAGAATTATGCTAGTTACAATAGAATTACAAGCTTATAAAGTTTATTACTGTTCAATATACATCCCTTAGTGTTTTGAACGGGCAATGGAAGAAGGAGATTTTTTTGCAGCCAATCATTGACACAGTAAGTCATTGCTTGAGTAAGGGCCCTCAAACTGGACATAATCCAGAGAATTATTCATGAACTAGAGGAAATAAGTTGTTTATTAAACTAACCATACATATGGTGTTGATATAGCACTCGAATTTTTACTACTAAATTTACCTAAAGATACTAATTAATCAAAAAGAACAGTAATACCCCGCGTTAATTTCACAAGCACAGCAAGCTAAAAAATGAGCTTACCAGAGGACACTTCTTCCTGGCTTAGCGTATTAACTCAGCCAAAGTTAAATTCATAGCAGTCCAAACTGTCATTTTTGTTCCATTTGGATGTATTTCCTTACTTGTCTTATAAGCATGCATAGTGCAAGGTTTATGGACACATTTTTCAAATTTCTCATCCAAATCAGCAATTGAAGTGTATACTTTTTCAATCCGTTCAACCCCAAAGAAATCCAAAACATCCTCCTGATCAATATAGATCGAAAGAGTATTTATACCACACAAAATGGGTTGCTCAGGGGTCCATGTGGAATCAACCAATACTAATTCTAGCCCTCGAATAACGGGATCCAATATTGCCGGTTTTCCACGTCTCGTTTTGACTTGCTTACCACAAATCAATGACCAATCAGAAGGAATGGTACCAGCAATAATTGCATTGACTTGATAGGTTCGGTTATCTTCAGTATCATCAAGTTTTAGAAGGTCCGAAACTGAATATGCCCGTGAAATCGGTCTTCTGGGCACAACTGTGTTGACTCTAGAGTTTGGAGCAGGTGAAGACGCATAGTCCTGGGGGTGTTCAATGTCATCTATAAAGGCAGCATATTGAGATTCAGTTTCTTGTTTTGGTTGAGTCTCGTTCACATGTACTTCAGTATTGGTTAATTGAGTATTAGCATTCCCCGCAAGTGGTTGAGCATAACCTAATATCTGGGTACCACCTTCTTCATTTCTTGGATTATCCCAATATAAACGAGGAACAATTCGTCTTGCAGTAGGGTTGAATTCAAAGAATTCTCTTGGAAAATTCCTTCCCATATTAGTAAACAATTTTTCTAGAAAAGGGAATTGACTTGAAGTTACGCTTTCCAGATTTAAAATCTGATGATCATAAGAAAGACATTCCAAAGAATCGATATATAATTTTAATTTCAAATTCAGACTAACAATTAGAATTTTTTCAAGTATGAAAAGTCTATTCAATCCACTTGCATTTGTCCACCAATCACATATACCCAAATCATCATTATTTACGGATTTGTACAAGTTATCAAGTGTTGGAAGTAATTTTGGATATACTAAAACTCGAAGAATTTTGTCCTTGGGAATATGGATATTCCCTTGATATTCTTCTCTCGGAATAAATGTTGTACCTGATTGCTTGTTTGTTGTGAAATCAGTTACATACAATGTAACAGGTGCATCTTTAGACAGCTGCCTCTCAATATAGAGAACAAGGAATATCAGACCGACCCTGGGGTACTGTATTCCACCGGCAAGGGGGAAGTCTGATACTTGGCGATACAATGAATATGAAGCCGGAACTAGTGACATTATAAATCGCAATTTTTTAATGAATCAATCAATGAATCCAGTCAACAATATATGAGGATATAGAACTTTAGATTGTCTTTAGTTGGACCTAAGACGATTTTTCAAAATCGAATCATGTTTACACGTTAATCTCGTACTGATTAATTATTTTTCCCCCCCATACAATTGACCCAGACGCGTTCTAAAATTTTTTTTATAAAAATCTAATACGACAGAACGGAACGGGACCTATGAAGAGAGAATAGGTGAGCACTATCATCCAGTAGAAATCCAGTGTAAAACTCAATTAGAAGAATAAGCTGTTACATATTTCTATTCCAAATAATCTATATCTATTTATTTGTAAATTTCTGTTAACAGAAACAAGTAAGTCATAAAAATTCTAATCTACGTAATATAATCTATTTACAATCCAGTCCAAGTGAAGGTCTTCTTAGTTGAGAATTCACCTTGAACAGAGATGTTGTCAGAACTGTTACCAACTAATACCTTGTAAGTATCCTTATCAGATTGCCACTTGTTAACAAAACTGTTCCAATAAGAGGTAGCTTCCTTAACAGACACGCTCAATTCAACAGTCTTAGTTTCACCAGCCTTTAAGAATACCTTACCAAAGTCCTTTAATTCTTTGATTGGTCTGTTAATACTTGGGTTAACTTGTTCAATATATAATTGGACAACTTCAGCACCATCAACCTTTCCAGTATTAGTAACATCAACCTTGACATCTATCGAGGTTTCACTGGTGTCAAGTCTGAAATTCTTGATATCAAATGTAGTATAAGATAAACCATAACCAAATGGATATAAGACATCACTACCAACCTTTTCATAATATCTGTAACCAACAAAGACATCTTCACCATACCAGACTTGTCCCTTGTTGGAACCAAAGTTAATATAAGAAGGCACATCTTGTAATTTCTTTGGGAAGGTCATTGATAATTTACCTGATGGGTTGTAATCACCAAATAAGACATCAGCAATAGTGTTACCTAATTCATTACCGCCAAACCAAGCTTGCACCAAAGCCTTAGTCTTGTCAGCCCATGGCATAGTAACTGGAGAACCAGATTGGTTGACTATAATAACATTTGGATTAACCTTGATAACCTCTTCAACCAATTTATAAGTATAACCTGGGATATCCATATCTGGACGATCGAAACCTTCAGATTCCCATTCTTTAGATAAACCAACAACGAGAACAACCTTGTCAGCAGATTGAGCAACTTTAACTGCCTTGGCAATTTCATCTTCGGGATTAGACTTAATACGAACACCAAAGTAAACTCCACCAGGTTCAGATGCATCAATTTGAAGAGTATAAGTAGGAGAAGTACCAAATTCAACCTTGATATGATATTTCTTACCCTTTTCTAAATGAATAGAACCAAGTTCTTCTCTGGTACCCATACCTAAGAAGAAAGCATCACCCTTGACTTGTTTGGTTTTGTTGTCAACAACCAACTTACCGTCAACAAAGACTTGGGCAGTTCCGAAGGTAGAACAACCAAATTCATATTCAGCAGTTTCATCAGGAGTGAAGTAACCAGTGAAATCAGCATAGTATAATAATTGTTCTGGATCTAAATTGTCACTCTTGAAATCGTTGAGGAATAATCTTGAGGTATTTAAAGATAATTCTTCAAATGGTTGACGGTTTGGAGTACCTGGAGCAGAGTGGAAGAATTTAGCAGTAATTAAACCCTTTTCACCATGTTCATTTTCTAAGAGTGCAGCACTATCTGGAACATTCTTATCTAAGAAAGCACCAAGAGCATAAGTTAAATTAACTGTGTTACCACCTTCTTTAACCTTCTGTTCAATTCCACCATATGGAGTAGTCTTGTAGGTTGGAGTTAAAGAAGCAGAACCACCACCAGAATCTTGGGAGGCCTTAGCATTTGGTCCGATAACAGCAATAGTTTCGGTAGAAGTCTTAGATAATGGTAAGATATTATCTTCATTCTTTAATAAGACAATAGATTCATCACCAATCTTTCTTAACAATTGTCTAGCTTCTGGCGAATCATTAGCGGATTCAATAACATCGTCTGGAATACCTGCTTTCAAACCGGCGTTAATTAATTTCAAAACTTGTCTAACGTTTTCGTCAATGACATCTGGATGAATCAAGTTAGCTTGAACTTTATGAACAGTTTGAAGAACTTGTCTAAATCTAGTTGGACCTGGCATTTCCAAGTTTAAACCAGCATCAAGAGAGTCCTTGGTAGAATAACTACCATACCAATCAGACATAGTACATCCATCCCAATTCCATTCCTTTCTTAAGATGTTTTGAAGGATTTCCTTTGATTCAGAAACATGAACACCATTAACCTTGTTATAAGCAGTCATAATAGCACCTGGGTTAGAATCTCTAAGAGCAATTTGGAATGGCTTCAAATAGATTTCTCTTAATGATCTATCAGTTAAAAGTGTGTCGACACAACGTCTATCTTCTTCTTGATCATTACAAACAAAATGTTTTAAACAAGCAACTACATCTTCGTTGGCAATACCTTTGCAAATACTGGCAGCAGCAACACCACCTAAGAATGGATCTTCAGAATAAGATTCAAATGATCTACCACCAAGTGGAGAACGAACGATGTTTGTAGTTGGACCTAAGATAACATGAGCACCTTTCATTTTACTTTCCTTACCCATTAATTCACCACCTTCTACCAATAAATCTTTATTGAAAGTAGCAGCTAAACCGGTACCACATGGGAAACAATTGGATGGAATACTGTTGAAGAATTTGGTACCTCTAATACCATTTGGACCATCTGAAACTCTGATACTCTTAATGTTTAAACGTTCAATAGGAACAGTATGCCAGAAATCTTTACCAGCTAATAAGGAAACTTTTTCTTCAAGAGTTAATTCTTCAAGTAAATATTCAATATCTAATTGTTGAGGTTTACCATTTGATTGTTGTTGCGATTTGTTTAAAGTAACATCCGTATCTGGAAGCTGCATGTTGGGCTTTTCTTTTCGTTAACGTTACTTCTTGTGAGGAGAAGGCGAGAAAGAGAAAGAAGAAAGTCGTTTGGTAATTTAAAAACTTATTTATAAGTGGGAAGCCCAACGGTATCTAACGTTGAACCAACAATAGATGAGGGTGACTTTCCCAAATAGGAAGTCTCCCAGGATTTCTGGATAAATTTCCCAAAAAAGAAGGCATTCCCTCCGGTGGGGAAGAACAATTAGAAACACAGAATTTTAACAACCAGGAACAGGTGCATCCCATACCACATTCAACCCCCTGCCGCAAGCATCTGGGGTGGTGGGGAGTTGTGGTGGTGGAGATTCAATCTTCCAAGCAACCCATCGCTTAATTTGGAACCGATGCCGACGATGTTCATATCCCTGTTTCTTTCAGCCATTACTAAGAATTCACTTAATATAAAAACCGAACCAAAAAAGAAATCATGCGAGGATTTCATAATTATTGGCCGATTTTCTGTGGATAAAATATTTTTTGAGTTGAAGAATTTTACAGTTTTCTCAATAATTGAATTAATTATTGCGCAATACAGATACGGACAAGAATAAGAAAGTTCATAAAGCTATTGCCAAAACAAGTAATGCAAGTACAAATGGTTCCGCATCTCATAAGATTGGGAGGTTTAATTAACCCAAGATTGTATTTCAAGACTTCCGTTGATTTAACATGCACTTTTAGTTTTTACACTTCACCCCATCCATCTTAAAAAATAACCGTTGGGCGGAAAATAGTAGAATTATTTTTTTATGCACAATAGTTAAAAATTAAATTCTTTTTTATTGTCGGAAAAAATAAGTTAAATTAGACAGGAAAAATAAATTGACTAAAAAATTCGACTTCTGCCGATTTCGGTGAAAAATTGACTTATGTCGGTTTTATTCGTTACTGCAACCCAATCTATATCGCAAGAGTAATTACTACTGAAAACGAAATACTTAGATATCAACTCTCATATATTACATAAAAATAAACAAGGGCACCTCTATAAAACCTAAAAACATTCTATTCTAAAAAGCTATTTAAAAATTAAAAACCAGTATAATTATTTTCAACACACACTAAAGAACTTAGTAGTCCTTTAAGATAGCATTTAATTCATCTCTCTTAACAGTGTTTTCGAACTTGAAAGAAGCAGCTAATTCATCTAAGTCTTCGAAAGATAAACCAACGAATAAGTCAGCGTATTCGTGTTGAGAAATTTGGGAGAATAACATATCCTTACAGACTCTGTAAACGTAATCCTTAACGTGCCATTGGTGAGGGTATAAAGCTCTGTGGTACTTTTCTGGAGTGTTTTCAAGAATGTGTTGAACTAAGTCTTCGTATAACTTGTCATTCTTTGGGTCGATATCGTTACCCCATCTGTCTAAACCTAACTTCTTCTTCTTTAATAACCATTTACCGAAGATTTCGTACCATTTAGATTCTGGAGAAACATAAGTTAAACCTTGGTAACCAATATCCTTGTAAACCCAAATAGACCAAGAGATTGGAGAACCGTCACCAGATGGATCACCTTGCTTGTAAATAGCTAATTGATCCTTTAAGACATTGTATCTGTGTCTGTTAATGAAATCTGGGTCTTCGTCACCTCTTTCCTTAGAAGCATAAACTGGACCGAATTCACCATTCCAAACTGGAACTTGGTATTTTTGCATGTATTCCAATTTTCTTTCGTATTGTTGTTTCAACTTAGCCTTTTCTTCTGGAGTACCCTTGTATAAGTAACCATCTAAGGATGGGAAACCGTAGACAGAGTAATCGTGGATAGCGTAAACAGCGTTCTTGATGAAATCAGCAGGTGGGAATTGTCTGAAATCCATGGAGTAAGTGTTACCATCAAGGAAGAAAATATGGTTTGGATCAACCTTTCTAATTTCAACATCGAATCTCTTGTAGATATCGACTAACTTGGAGTGATCTGGAGTAGCAGGTTCGTTCAATGGATTGTAACCAGCAACCCAAGTGTTGTCCTTGTAGTGCTTAGCTAATTCAACCCATAAGTTAACAATACAGTCTTGGAAAACCTTGAAATCCCAGAAGATAGACTTGTGGATAGCAGAATCAGCGTGCCAATCTTGGTTTTGACCACCTGGAACAGCATGTAAATCTAAAATGGTATAAATACCGTGTTTAGCACAGATGTCAATGACTCTGTCTAATCTTTCAAAACCCTTTGGGTTGATCTTGAAGAAATCACCTTCATCATCAATGAAATGACGGTAGTTGAATGGGATTCTTAAAGCATTGAAACCTAAGTCCTTAGCGAAGAATTCAGCATCAGCATCAGTCCAGAAGTATTCGTAAAATTTGTCAAAGAAGAAGTCAAACTTTTCTTGACCAATGACCTTCTTTAAAACCTTCTTGTGTTCGGTTTCATGACCTGGGTAACCAGTAATGAAGTTTTCCATATTTAAGTGACCACCAATAGCAGTACCCTTTAAGACAACCGGCTTACCATCAGCATCGACAATCTTAGTACCTTCAGCTCTTAAAAATCCGTTAGACATTTTAGTTTTATTTGTTATAATATAAAGTTAATGAAACTTAGTGAATAGAAAGAAAAGAAAAAGATGAATAAAAAATTAAAATTTGGAGGGGAATATCCCCAGGTTTTTATAACAACAAAAATAAAGCCAAAGTCGGTACTCCGGAGAAGAGAGGAGAACAAGAGTGAGGAAAACGTTTCTTAGATAGAAAAACCGTTGACCGAATAAATCTGATACAACCTACCTTGTATATCTGCTGGACACAAAACCTGGAGAAAAAGAATAAAAGAAAACTTAAATTAAAGTCCAACCGACAAAAAAGAAACGATTGCTATGAGAATATGCACAGTCGCATATTTAGATTTCCACACATTTCTTTAAACTTCTCTTACCAGCAATGTAATGTTTGTTAAAGAAGGAAGCTTGTGCCACGATGACTTTGTTATAAAACTTCTATTTGATAACGGTTTTAATTTGGATTTGTGTAATTTTAATCCATTTAAAGAGGGGGGAGAACACAATAAAAAATTCTTAGCATTTGTGGAGTAATTGCCCCACTTGAGACTGTTGATGGTGTTTCTGCCTCTACAATCTTTTTTACTAAGTGATTTCTAAAAATTAATTTACAAAATTGCAATTTTTTGACACATGCTGCAAAAATTGCACAAAAGTTTAAAATATTTGGGAGAGAAGGTGAAACCGGAAAAAAATATTTTTTGGTCTGGTGGTTGCAGATTTATTTTTAAGTGGCCAAAAAGAATTGGATTAGAAAATAAAAAATAATTTTGCAAAATCCCATATACCCTTGCATGTTTGATTTACCTTCCTTGAAATTTAAATTGCAAATTTAGTCCAAATCGAATGTATACCGACTTTGAAATCTGACATAATTATCAAAACCCTTTTTTTGGTCACGCCCAGTCGGCAAGACAGACCCTGCCTGAATCTCTTCTATCCCAATTAACAGTAAAGATAAATTACTTTTGGTATCGTTATCGTTGCCAAGCTATGACAAAAAATTATTAAGGAGACCATTCTCTTCTTGTTTCTCGTCTGTTAACAAAGAGGATAGCGCCACCTAAACTGATATTTTTAAGTGTGGTCAAACACTATAATGCGTGGTTAGGCTTCTAAAAACGGAATTATAGTTCCTTCGGAGATATTGTTCCATCTCCAGGTTTACTAAGCCACAAATCAAAAAAATAACTGCAAACTGTAAATTTTGGAGCCTGCTTTGTTCGCATCGTAAACCCTGGGAATTCACCTTCCTTTTGACTACGATGAAGCTGGGGTAACAATTGTGTTTTTAAACGAAAAAAATCTTTGGTGGGGTGGTACCATGGGGGAGGAGAGACTTCCTGATTAGTTAATGAAACCGCTAACAGACGACGATTTACCTCTGCCATGCCTTTGTTCGATTTTTAGAAAATAGATATGCCAAGAATTCTCTGATTCTAATCAGCTAGACTCTAAGATTGCGCTTTCCTTAATCAAGACATGTGTGTCGGGCAGCTCTATCTAGAAGTGAGTGTTTGTCTTAATCTGATTTGAAGTAACAAAGGGATAGAAAAACCCCGAGGAGAAAGACCTGGTCATTTTAGATAGCATCGATTGTTCTGTTCGGTGGGGTGATCCCTTTGTCAATTTACAATAGAAGAGAAGTTTTTTGGAGTTGCAAGGCCATTTGTTTGTTAAAATTCAAGGGATTTTCGATCTTCGCATTGTACAACCACACTTAACAAAGATAAGGATCATCCTACTCCACTCTCATCCCTCAATTCACATTCTCATTGTCTTTGTTGGGGAATTTCGATCTAGAGAGGCTGTTCTCTATTTGAATGTGTAACCATTCAAGTATTGTACCGTGTTATTGTAGTTTTAACGATGGATGTGGAGGCTTGAACAATTCCAAACATGGGATTTGATTGCTACTGTAAACCTAGGAAGGATATCCGTTTTTGGATTGTAAGATTTGAATAACGGATATGGTTACCATTTAGGATATCACTCCTCTTATTTTGTCGCAACTTTCGATATTTGGTTTCTTTTGTATTGTTTAGTAAGCGAATACTAAGTGACTTGTCCACTTTGTTTTCTCCGTTGTCTCCGCTTTCTTTCTGTTTACGTGAAGTGTCAAATTTGTTTTCAATAATGACTTATTTACGATCACAAGTTTGCATTGTGTAACCCAATAACACCGAAATGTATGCAAGAAGGTTCCGGTTAAGACTACTGGGACATGACTGGACCTAACTTGCAAAAATTATATGATTTTTTGCAGATTGAAAGGAGGGGGTCAATATAGGTGAACCGAGGGGAACTGGGTCTGAAAAAATATTGCGATATTATTTATACGTTATGTGTAATTTCTTTGTTTCGGCCGATATAGAGAATAATATTCCCCAGTATTTTTTGTTCGCGGGTAAACTGCAAAATTGGGGTTGTTCGTTAGAAATTAGTGACTGCAAAAGAAACGGGATCTGAGATGATGTGGCAAATTTAAACTTTCTTAATGCATAATCGGCAGCAATTAGAACTGGGGAACGAAAAAATAAATTAATCTTTGCGAATCAAACCATTTCTTGGCACATACTATTTATAATTAGTTTTGAAAGCTTGAAAAAGACTTTCGGTTCTCTTAGAGACAAGTTGTATGTTACTTCCAGAATAAAATGTCTTGAATCTGACGGTGTCATATTATTAATAAGCATCAACAAATGAATTTAAAAAAATAACAAAGAAGTGTGCTTTTTTAAAAACTTTGTTCTTTTTGTGTATATTATTTGTACGATTATTTTTTATGTACGAAATCTCAAAGTTTATTCTAATTATTTTTTTAATAAATTTTATTTTTTAAGTTGTCAATAAATCAATTTTTACACTTTTTCTGCATGTTCTTATTAATGCAAATTACCATAAAATGTTTCCATCATAAGACGATCGCTCATACAAACTAGTCGAATATAAATACATGTTGAAATCTCCGTTTAATTTCACAATTCTGTCTTGTTTCTTTCCTTTCTTATCATTATCAATTCTTCAATCTATATCTCCAACATCGCTGGTCGGTAATAATATTTTGAGAAAAGATTAATTAGCTTCATTATGTCTGATTTAAAAGAACAACATATCGCTGATCAAGAGTCTGTCAGTGATCAGATTGAACTCCAAGGTCACATCTTAGAAAAGGGTGACATTGATGAATACCTTTACTTGGACAAACCATGGTACAAGTACAAGCATTTCCTTATTTTACATTTTTACGTTATGATTATCACTTTAACTTCTACCAATAACGGTTATGATGGTTCTATGTTGAATGGTTTGCAAGTTTTACAAGATTGGAAGGATGCTATGGGTAACCCTCAAGGTGCTGTCTTAGGTGCTTTAGCTAACGGTAATACTTTTGGTGGTATTATTTCTTTTACTTTTGCTTCTTGGTTTTCTGATAGGTTCGGTAGAAAGACTTCCATTTTCGTTGGTCAAGCTTTCTGTATCTTAGGTGCTATTTTACAAGGTTGTTCTACTAACTATACTTTCTTCATGTGGGCTAGAATTATCTTAGGTATGGGTTTCGGTCTTTCTACTGTTTCTTCTCCATCTTTGATTTCCGAATTGTCTTATCCAAAGTTCAGAGATACCTGTACCGCCTTATATAACACTTTCTGGTATTTCGGTGCTATTATTGCTGCTTGGGTTACTTTCGGTACTCAACCAATTCCAAGTTCTTATGCTTGGAGAATCCCATCTTACTTACAAGGTGCTTTACCAGTTGTTCAAGTCTTACTTTTCTATTGGATTCCAGAATCCCCAAGATTCTTAATCTCCAAGGGTAAGGATGACAAGGCTAGAGAAATCTTAATGAAATACCACTGTGGTAACGATGGTACTGAACAAGCTCATAGATTAGTTGAATTCGAAGTTAAGGAAATTAAGGCTGCTTTAGAATTAGAAAAGATTTATTCTAACGCTTCTTACTTTGACTTTGTTAAGATTCCAACTTACAGAAGAAGATTATTCTTATTGATTTTCACCGCTGTTATTATGCAATTATCCGGTAATGGTTTAGTTTCTTACTATTTGAATAAGGTTTTAGATACCATTGGTATTACTGACGCAAAGAAGCAATTAGAAATTAATGGTTGTTTGATGATCTATAACATGGTTATCTCTTGGATTGCTGCTTCCGTCTGTCAATACTTCAGAAGAAGAACTTTATTCTTAGTCTGTATCGCCGGTATGTTGGTTTGTTACATTATCTGGACTATCTTATCTGCCAGATTTGCTTTAGGTGGTTTCCAAGACACTGGTTTAGCTAACGGTGTCTTAGCCATGATCTTCCTTTACTACTGCGCTTATGATTTAGGTGCTAATGGTTTACCAATCTTATATGTTACTGAAATCTTACCATACTCCCACAGAGCTAAGGGTCTTAATGTTTTCTTCTTTTCCCAAAACGTTATTTTACTTTACAATGGTTTTGTTAACCCAGTTGCTATGGATGCTATTGAATGGAAGTACTACATTGTCTACTGTTGTGTCTTAGTTGTCGAATTAGTCTTAGTTTACTTATTCTACGTTGAAACTTCTGGTTACACCTTAGAAGAAGTTGCTAAGGCTTTCGGTGATGATCCAGAAACTACTTTAACCCATCTTTCTTCTGCTCCACAAAAGGCAGCTGTTGAACATGCTGAAAACAGCACTGAGAAATTAGTTTAGAGAGATTGGTTCTTTAATTTTCTTTAGTTATTCAATTCTTAATACATTTTGTTATGTAAACCAAATCAATTAATAAATTTTCTTATACAATTAATCAGTATACTAAATAAATAATATAATTTCCATCTAATTATTTGAACAATAGACTTTGTACATTCGTAACATTTCCATTGTCTCTTATGTTCTGAAACTCGATTTTGCTTTCACCTTCCAACTCTTTGTTAAGGCAAAATTTTGGGTGCGAAAATTTGTACTACTGCAAGAGCACGGCCCGTCAGTTTGTGTCCCCCACAGCGTGTTACCCCCAAGAATTCCCCAACCCATTCTTTGTGGCATTTTGGTTGTACATTACCTACAAGTTCCAGTTTCATCAGAGTCATAAATTTCTGCTAAAGTAAATCGAATGCACATAAAATTGTAGAGAATGATACACAAATTATTGACGTCGGACCTCATTTGAAATGTTATTGATCCTGATCTGTCCTAAGCCTTGGGGAATCCTGTAGTCAATCAGTTACAATTTTGGGCTAGTTCTCATTTCCCCCATTCCCCCAAAGCAGACAATAGTGGAGTCTACCTGCCTGGATTCCATAAGCTGGTTGTAATACTTGTGTACAATGGGGAAGGTCCGATACCGGAAAAGCGAGTAATCTTCCGAGACCGCCATTTTTTTGTCAGCAAATATTATTTGCATTCATTTGAATGCCGTTGACACATCGGTTGCAAACGTAATATTGGTTAAGCCTCATAACGGTTCTTGGAAGGTAGTTTTCTAAAGCCTGTTCTATTAAAATATCGAAATAAACTGTAAAAGTTCGCGAATCAGGCTTAGGCTTTATTTTTTTGTGTGAAATATTACGTAGTCTTCTACTCGACGAACTTATTGAGGACGATCTTCGTTCAGTAGTTGATTAATTCCTCCAAAAAAAAAGCTACGAGAATTCGACCCTGCTCTTTTCTCATTGGAGTTTTCCAGGCAACCTTCTCCCCTGATACTATATCTGAAATGCAGTATGGAATCATATAGGAATATCGCCACTAGTCATCGAGGATATAGAGTATATACCAGAAAGTGAGGGTTTGTAGAACCATCAAGTATTTGAAACATTCCATTAAAGCAGAAAGATTCCCCTCTGAATAGGACCTTCGGCAAAAGAACAATTGGAGAGACAAGTATAATTGTATTACGAAATGAAAACAGGGAAGGCTTGAACAGACCGTCGAATGAAAGCATCCTATAAAAGTGAGCCAAGTAACTTGATCATGAGTTATGACGGACTGCTACTTTGAAATTGATATACTAGGCCTGTCTCAGGAATTTGAGAGGTAAGCAACGTCCATACGTTTTCATATATGCTTCCAGTACATGTCCACTGAAACATCAACATAGTTTCTCAACTGACTCTTTCCCCTTCAAATGTGTAAAATACAATCTGATGTCTCAACTATAATCAATGCATCAAGGGGAGAATGTCTGATAAAACCTTACTGTACTAACAAGCCAAGTCCAAGATCTCCGAAATGACTCTTATAAGTGGATGATAAACAGAGTGTACGGATCCGATGAACAGGAAAATGTTTTGTAATTGGATATAAATATGTACTAGAAAGTGGTACGATGAATATGAAAATATTCTGGCTCGGCGATTAGGTATGAAATATTGTAAATAAGATGTGGTTATGAAATCATGTCGTATGATACATGTCGATCGTTGAAATAATTAATCTTCCTCCTCGTAAAAGATCTGATAAAAATTGATGATTTGATATTTTTTCGGTTGACATGCCGAAAATCGCATATTGCCCCGCGAAATTTGAACTTTAGCTTAGGAACCCATACATCTAAGATATAAAGACAGAGAATAATAACAGATAACAAAAGTTCATAATATGGTACCTTATGTTAGAGTTAGATAAACACAAAACTCTCGTTTGATATTTCGGAAGAATTGTATGGCTTACATAGAAAAGACTTGTTTTAGTATAAACTAGTAAGTAATTCTTCGGAGCGGTTCTTTAGTTATAAAGCTGAATCTCCTCATTGACAAGACAACAGGCCATGGTACTTAAAACTACTAAACAGTGATAGCAAGGCGAGTTGTGATTGCTCATACACATTAAAACATCGCTTTACCGCTTTACCACTTTACCACACATACAAAAGTCCAAGTAACCTAGGGAATGAGGTTTAAAACGTATTGGTCGGTATGTACCTCCGAGAATATCTCTGGTAAATAAAGCTTAAATAATCAGGTAAAACATCCCCCCTTTTATTACAATAAAGGACTTATCGCCAGTTCGGTGGTTTAGTAGCTTTACCCAAAAAACTAAAAATTATAAATAGAAAACAACGCGCGTGGGTTTTACCGATAAGTGCGAGGAGTCGCCACACTAAAAAAAACCTCGAAGAGCATATCGGAGATATCGCTTTAGATAATAAATTTGCGATTGATTAAAATATTTATCAAATATATAAATTAACCATCATTTCTCCCCCCTTTATCTTTTTACTTATTTAATATATATTCCTACATCCATATATTTTAGCATATTAACACATATAAACACACAATGTCTGCTACTCAAACAGTTGGTGCTACTACCAAATTAAATCAAAATGAAATTATTCCTGCCAAATCTGATGTTGGTGCTTTAGCAAATAGAATTAATTTAGAAACTAAAAGTTTACATGACACAGTTGATAAGCTAGTAACACTTAAAATGGCTATTGCTCTTAAGAATTATAAAGTTTATCGTCAAGGTTTACAAGCATTCTATCATGTTTTTGCTTCTATTGAAAAGGCTTTATATCGTCAAATGGAAGCTAATGATCAATGGGCTGATATGTTAAAACAAGTTTGGAAACCAGAAGTTGCTAGAACAGAAAAGGCAGAACAAGATTTATTATTCTTTTATGATGATTGTAAGGAAAAGTTTGTTAACCCAATGTTACCTGAACAAATCAAATTTACTGAACATATTTTAGAAGTTACTAAAGAAAAACCATATTTATTATTTGCTTATATGCATGTTATGTATTTAGCTTTATTTGCTGGTGGTAGAATCATGAGATCATCTGTCACGAAGGCTACTGGTCTTTTCCCAAGAAAGGATGGCGTAAAACATGAAGAATTTGTTAAGTTGGGTGCTAACTTTTTCAGCTTTGATGTTGCTGATGAAGATGCATTTAGAATCATCTATAAGAGAGATTATGAATTGGTAACTAGAAATGGTTTAACTGAAGATCAAAAACAAGAAATCATTCAAGAATCCAAACTTATCTTTGAAGAAAACGCAAAATTAATTCGTGAATTAGAACAACATAACATGGATAAGGTTACTAATACATGGACTTATTATGGTATTACAAGAGGGTATTACGCTGCTTTGTTTACCCTTCTCTTGGTAGTTTTGCTTTACATTAAGAAGCTCGCATTGCATTTCCTTTAGATTTAGAGTCCGTTTATATGGTGTTTATTTAGTGTTTTCTTCTTTTTAGTTCTGGTTCCTTTTTTTTTATTTGGTTAATGGTTGGGAGTTCACCTATGTCTATAATTAATGTATATTAGATGGAAATAATTCAAAATTATGACTTCTTTTATTTCAATAAGATTACTCGTAGTGACCTTCCTCGTCACCTTCCTCTACTCCTACTTCAAAATCTTCGTCGTAGTCCTCGGAATCGTAGTCCTCGGAATCGTCATCTTCTTCATCGTCACTGGCGTCTTCATCACTATCACCCTGTTCAGCTAGCTTAGCAGCAGCAATCTCAGGATCCAACTCATTTGTGACCCCCTTTGGGTGATCTTCAATCCATCCAGAGACCCATGAACTAATTCTATCGACATTTTCGTCCATATCTTCGGCGCTATTTGAATTCAATTCAATGACAATTTCAGGCACATATCCATCTCTGGCATCATTTAAAACAACCTCCATGATCTCACAATCTATATTCTCTTGAAGCTTGGCTTCGTTATAATTCCTCTTCTTCAAACGATCATACAAGATTGAATTATCAGTTCTTAAAACAACAACTAAATCAACTAATCTTTCTGGGAAAATATCACAACAATGCCAATCTATTATAGCACCTCCTTTTTCCATATCTACTGCCAATGAATCTAACAATTTGTCTTCATCGACAACAGAGGTATCTAATCTTTCATCATATGATTCAATACATCCTCTTTCTTTGGCAACTTCACTTACATTCAAATGATTGAATTTGTTCTTGCCATCTTTTATCTCTTGGTTTAAATGTGATACAAGACTTTCGGAATGAGATGTCTTACCACAGCCTGGAGTACCAGTTATTATTATATTAGGAAGGAATCTTCTGGACATATCGTTTGACTCTATAGGGATTATCTAGTTGCTAAAGTTAATGATATACAATCAACGTATTGGTTGTCAAAATTTTCAAAGAGATGGGGGAAATAATTGGACCGTAAGGAAAGTATTCACGTGACCAGCAAACCGGAATTTTCATACATATTCAACAATTTTTCTTTGGTGAGTGTCTTATTTACAGACACCGCCGAATGGTAACCGTACAAGTAGACTTACAAAAGATAACAATAGATATAAAATCATGCGTATGTATTAATCAGATAATACAAATTGACCAATAGTACTTATATACTAACTTATAAGGTTTTTTTTTAGCTGCTGGAGTGTCAACTGAATCACTGGAAAATGATATGAGTAAATTTGGAATGGATGGACTAACATCTCTCGTGAGAATGGAACAATCGAACTATACAAACTTCGCCATAGGACAAGATATAAGTAAAGTAGGGTTGGATCTATCCAAAGGTTCTGAAATATTGAAAAATTTAGCATCACCCTGGGCAGAAACATCAAGATCTGATGTAGAACCTTATTTCACATTACCAAATGATATAAAACCGGAAAATATAATACCTCCACCAGGACCATGTGATAATAAGATTCAAAGTTTTACTGATGAAACGTTGTTTTATATATTTTATATGAGACCTAGGGATACTCTACAAGAATATGCTGCAAGAGAGTTGGTTGCTCGTAATTGGAGGTATCATAAGGATATTCAAGTATGGTTGACAAAAGATAGTAATGTGGAACCTGTATTAATAAGTCAAGATGTAGAGAAGGGGGTGTATATTTTCTTTGATCCTCATAATTGGGAAAAGATTAGAAAGGAGTTTGTATTACATTACTCTTCTGTTCAAGCTTAAAAGAAGAACGCTTTTGGAAATGAAATGTAAATTGTATTGGTATTGTATCTTATAAAATTTTATTTATATAATTAATTAATAAATTATATCTTTTCATTCTTTGGTATATGTAACCTTATCGACTTTAACTTCCCCATTCAAATATGTATAGATGTATAACACACATGTATTTCCTTGAGCATCCAACAAACAGAAAGAGGGAATGTTTGCATTCATTTCTTCAACTTCATTTAATATTCCTTTATTGATCTTATTATCCTCCGTCACATCTTTATCCTGTTCAATTGCCTCCCGCTTTTCTGCTTCTTCATTTGAACCCTTTTCTTCGTTCAGTTCTTTATCTATTTCTTCCTTAGGTTGATCTTGGTGTTCCTCTTCATAATCTTCATTATCAGGCCAATCAAAGCTAAGAGCCCCAGTTGCACTTCCAGGATTAATGAAAAATTTGCCATCCAATGTATATGCTTCAACTTTATGAGTTCCACCCCATATCAAAACATCAACATCTAATTCTCTTGCAAAAGCCAGTAACGACAATGGATCTCCTCTCGGAACAATTTGAAATCCATTAGTGTATCCAATACGTAAACCATCACAGACAAAAACATTATAATATGGGATAGGTTCTTCCTTCTTGGATATCAAACTCAATTGTTGAGATAATATTACTGAATTATCAAACTCTCCTTTAACTATACTGAATTGAGGTGATAAATTGTGTAAGAATTCTAAAGTCTTTTGAGAATTGGTTATATTACCTAAGCATACTACTCGCGATATTTTATTATTTGTAGGAATTGAATTTGGATTGGGGCATAAAAGCTTCTTAAACTTTGATGGTAAATTAATCGATCTTTCTGGAATGAATAAATCCCCAATAGCTAGAGTTAACATTTATTGATATGTGTATTATAGGTCGAGAAATAACTACAGCGAGAATCAGAAGCGGAAATTGATTAATGAATCTTTTTTTTGCCCGTAGTAAATCTCGCCGCTCCGCATTACTGGTCTTGTTTCCCCTAGTACGGGATGAATCATATTTGACTTGCGTCCATCGTGACGGAACTGAAGTACTACAGGGAATCTAAAAATCAAAGATTATTATCAGATTCAAGCATATAATTAATCGATATATGAAATAAAGTCCTATAAAGTATTAATACTAATATTGTAGAAAAAAAAAAGGGTTGTCTCTAATGATCAGTGGTGATCTTTTCCAAAACCTGAGGATAGTTTCTAAAGATTTCATCAAATCTCTGTCTGTTTGTCATTTGGAAGATTTCTGGATCCTTTGCCAATGCAACAAAGAAGGTGGAAATACCAGATTCAATAACAGTCAAAGTGACACGCGTGATTTGGGCTGCAATCAAGAAGGAGAATGCAATCACTGGGGCATAGAATGAACCATCATCATTATAGGCTGGTTTGGTGAATCTCAAATAGAAGAATGCTAACAATGCCACCACATAAGCGACAAATAAGGAATACAAATTCAAGGCTGTGTTAATAAACATATCATTTATAAGTACATCCATACCTTTGAAACGAAGTAAATCAAATGTATCCTTTGCAGCTCTAATATAACTCTTTCCATATAAAGCAACATAACAATACGCATAATGATTGAAATAACGAACCAACCAATCAATAAACCCAAGGATGAAATCAAGTACAATCATTCCACAAACTGCCCATCCATTCCCTTCTGCTGCGAAATTAGATCTTAAGATTGCAAATAATTGTCTTAATAACTGGATTAAAGAAACAATCAAGGATCCAAATGAGATTGAACCAAAACAATACGTTAATGCTCTCTTTAAAGAAGACAATGCGGGATGTCTTGGAGCGCCTTGGTCTGAACTAGCTAAGTAATACCAAGTTCCGTATATACCTGAGATAACGACATGTATTACATTTCTAATAACTTCAGAAATATAATATCCGGCAAAAAATACAAATACCAACACACCAATAAGCTTCGATTGGGAACAGCTTCCTCCTCCGACTGAACATGCTTCATTATTTGTATTAGGATCGAACTTGACATATGTTGCCACAATTACAACTGAAAATAATACACTGAATGCGGCACTGACCAAAAGTCCAATGAATGACGTCATAAGTGTTGATGGATACTGTTTCATAACATCAATCGCAATTGTCAATATGGTAGCACTCAATGGAATTCTACTACGAGCCCTCCAATAAGCCCATGCTCCAATCAATGCAAATACAAGGAAAACAATAGCAGCAGAATAATATCCAGCTACAAAATAATAAATTGCAGTTCCGATTCCTAAAACAATATTCAATATCAATCCGGAAATAATGAAAAGCTTTGGAGCCATTCTTGCAAACACGATAATTAAAGCAGATAAAACGATTCCCACTACAATGACAAATGAAAATAGAATGATTGTATTAGTATTCAAACTAAAAGTATTTCCGGAATCATAAATCGATCCACCTTGAAAACTATACGTCACGCGTAGAGCATTCAAAGTAATACCAGCAACCGCAACAAAACCTGCAACAACTAAAAGAAAGAATACCGTAAATGGCCAGTCATTAAATTTGGGTTTCTCAACTTTGAAACTCTCTTCAAAATCTTGAGCTGGAACGGGTTTCTCATAATAGGATTGATATTTTTGATTTTCGATATCATATGGTTCTTCTTGATATTGTGGTTGTTGTTGATATTGTTGGTTTGGGTCAATCTGTTGTTGTTGTCCGTATTGTGGTTGTTGTTGAGGGGGAGGGGGTGGTGGTGGAGGACGCAGATAATTTGGATTATCGTAGCTCATCGTAACTTCTTATGAGAAAGATTTGCAATAGGTAGTGATAGAATTGACCTTGATAGTAACCGATTATATGTGTAGCTTCTGTTACGTGTTGGTTATAAATTAATAGATGAAATGGTTAATAGCAATTTAAACTTTCTTAAATAAGTTGTTATGAGAAGAGAGTAGAAAAAGGGAAACGAGGGTTATAAAAAACAGAGTTTGTTACGAGAGTTCCAGAAAACACAATGGGGATTTGAAAGTTGAAATAAAATAACACAAAAAAATAGAACAATTGAAACTTGCAATTAATCATCTGAAATTTCAAGATTCACAATTGTAATTGGATATCATTCGGTTTGAGAATTAACACCAAAATAGTACCATTAATATATAGATTAATCTACCAATGATTCAACTTTCTTCTCAGATCAATTCCATAATTTTCTTGACCTTACACGGGGTTTACCCAAGACAATTACCGTTGTAAGGCTGAACACATTATTTTTTACCTTTGTTGTTCTAACTTTGTGCAACGATATTCTACACATTCTATCACCTTGTGTCGGCCTAGAAATCTCCATCTACAACGAAACAAAAGATAATATAAGAAGAATTGGCCCGTATAGCTCCTTTCATCGGTATTACAAACTAGGACAGATGTGGTATTCCAGATTTTATAAGATTTACTTGACCGGAGTTTCTCGTGAGCTCCCCACATGCATGTAAAGCCATATCACGGGTATTCTTTTGCTACAGTATTTCACATCTCTAAGAACTCTTGGGCAGGCACTTAAATAGTTCTGATGGTCTCCGCAAGCTTGGAACAGGTATCCAGCCTTGACCTGGGACCATTTCTTGAATCTTAGTATTGTATAATTATATTGAAAATTTTCTGCAGAAATTCTGCTTGAATTCAGATATACAAACTGAATCCCCTATCAAAACAAGAGAATCGAATAGAAGAGAATCAAATAGTGACCTAAAGGGGAAAGCTCTTCTGTCAAGGGATGACCTTCCGCTTCCTCAGCATCTCCCAATAATCTTCTGAAAATCTTCTTCTACTTGCAAATTTTCAAAAATTATCCTTATTCTCAAACTAAACCACGTCAAGACTAAAAATTCTGCCATGGGATTTTCAAATCATCAATATGCGAGGTTAATGGATTAATTTGGATATTTGAACATCATTAAAAAGAACAATTGAAACTAGAATCAATAGAATTTCACCAATATGAACACCCCAACTTTTTTGCTTTCAAACTCAACTTCATACTTTTGAGTTCATACCATTTTATACAATTCCGATATAGTGTAACGGCTAGCACGGTTCGCTTTCACCGAGCAGACCCGGGTTCGACTCCCGGTATCGGAAAACCTTTCTTTTTTCCTGTTCCTACTAAACTGTTTGGAAATAACTGTTGATATTTGGACAATAGGATCGTTCAAAGGTGGTTGCAATAATTTTTTGAATTAATTTTTTTTGTAGGTGGCAAAAAAAAATTCGCGCGCATGAATGTTTATTTGCAGCTTTTTATTTTTGAGTTGCAGTTACACAAAGGCTGCACGGAATCCTCCACAAAGCATACAGAGACATGATGATTCAGCTATGCTTCTATGACATAGAATGCAACAACTAGATTACAAGTATGAATATCTTTTGCTAGTTTGGAGGCGAAGGATAGAAGTACACAATATATAAAATACCGAAATAATATCTAAGGCATGTTGATTCCCAAATACTTGTACTCCTGGGTCCCAGAAACCCCCTAAGAATCTTCATTAATGCGTTGTTTTTCCATGCTCAAGAGGAAGTACACTCCTGGAATAAAAACCACTAGAGATAGAACGAAAAATAATCGATCGTTCAATGAACATGTCCTGTGCGATCAAAGTCTGAGAAATAGAAAGACATCGAACTGTTAAAAGGCCCTTTCGAGCACTCGCTTTAAGACCATGGTAAGCTCACAGCAATGGAGAAACCAATATGGTCAAAGAGTAACTAGATTTCTCTGTTTGATGTCCAAGAGTAAAATTAGACAGAGCAGCTAAAAAATTACACACAAAAACTGGTCAATCGTATTTTCCCGACTCCAAACTTTAGTTAATCAATATAACCCACCTGTCTCAGATTAGAATTCCAATCCTATGTTATGTTTCTGGATGTGATATCTGCTTAGAAATAGATTGAATAGGAAATAAATGCATAAAGTTTTCATTGGGGGAGAAACCACACAATATTATGCTAATAAGCCAGCCCAAGAACCTTCCCAGGTTATGCAGCAATTTCCTGAAAACTCCCCAGCATGGAAGAGCTTCTTAGGTGAACAGAAGAGTTTCAAATGTTGAGCTCACGGTCCAATTCATTCGCAAATGGGTATCGTACACATCGAAGAGTCTTAACAACTACTCCTACACACTTAATCTATAGGATGCTGCTGAAATAAGGTTTTAGGCAATGATGCTTTTTGCCTTTAATGTATATTGTTTTTCTGTTTGTTATATTTCTGTATGTTAGTATGTATATGAACTCAATAAACAGATTGTATATGTAAAAAAAAAAAAAAAAAATAGACGTTCATTAGCAGGATTGGAACCGGAATTGGTCAAAATATCACGTGACACAGAACCCTCGTAACTTCAAATTGGAAAAAAAGTCGCCTTTATGGCCAAGTTGGTAAGGCACCTCACTAGTAATGAGGAGATCGTCAGTTCGAATCTGGCTGAAGGCAATTTTTTTTTGAACGTTGATCCGTATTGCATCTCTACTTCGTAGAAGTTACAAATCAGCTGAAATCGAGGTAATTTCAAATACCGTATTTGCTATCGACTTTTAAACCTTCATTATTTTATTGAAAAGTGTATTTTTTAAAATTTTGGTATGCCTTGATTTTAAAGATAAACTGACGATAAAAATTTGCTGCAAAAAAAAATTGAGAATATCATAAACAAACTTGAAATTCAATTCCCTTTTTGCTTTTATTGAGTAATAACCATATGGATGAATATTCGCAAAGCAATCAACTAGATTCAAAGTACAAGTCTTGGAATATTGAAAATGAAGCTATGATACTTGATTCAGATATATGGGAAATATTTGTTGAGGTTGGAAACATCTTTGGGTTTCAAGATGATAACGTAAGCAATATGTTTGACCATTTTATGACCCAATTAGACTCCCGAGCTAGCCGAATGACCTGCTCTAAAGCTTTGCTATCATTGCATATGGATTATATAGGTGGTACTTTTTCCAATTATAAGAAGTGGTATTTTAGTTCTCAGCAAAAGTTTGATAGTGATCCGTCATGGAATCCTAAAATGAAAGTGAAAAAGAAAAAGAAGATCCAAGAAGAGGATGGAGAGTTCAGATGGCAAATGAAATATTTTAACCACTCTGAGAGGGATTACATACTACATATAGCACTATATTTGCTTATATGGGGAGAAGCTAACAACGTAAGATTCATTCCAGAATGTCTTTGTTTCATTTTTCAGTGTGCGCTAGACCACTTGGGACTACGGAAGGATGTCCAATTAGCTGCCCTACCTAAATTTCATTTTTTGAATCAAATAATTAACCCCATATATAATTTCATAAGGGATCAGCAATTTTCATTTGTAGATGGTGTCTGGAAAAGAAAAGAAATAGACCATTCGAAAGTAATAGGTTATGACGATATAAATCAACAATTTTGGAGTCCAGAAGGACTATATAGAATTAAGTTACAGGATGGAGCCAGATTGTATGATGTTCCAAAACAGGAAAGATACAGCCAGATTGCACAAATTGATTGGAACAATTCCCTATCAAAAACATATCGAGAGAGAAGAACGTGGGTTCACGTTTTCACCAATTTCAATAGGGTTTGGTTAATCCACGTTACAATGTTTTGGTATTTCATGGCATTCAACTCCCCTTCTCTTTATACAATTAACTACACTCCAGAGAAAGAACCTCAATTGCATATTAGGTTGGCAGTTGTCGCAATTGGAGGAACAATCGCAGGTTTATTGTCATTTTTCGCAGCCATGTCGGAGTATTTTTTCATTTCCCGAAAGATTCCTCATCGACAAAAAGTGCTGTACAGATTAGGGATACTTTTCCTCCTTATTTGTATCAATACTGGACCTTTAGTATACTTGTTGGGATTTTTAAGATGGGATAGATATTCATATCATGGAGATGTAGTGGGTAGTGTACTGGTTGCTATATCTATCATCACATTCCTTTATCTAGCATTAGCTCCACCAGGTCATTTTCCAGGTACAAGTTCAAATAACTCATTTTCAGCTTCCTTTCTGAAGTTAAAGCGTCGCAGTCGTCTATTTTCATATTTGTTATGGATATGTGTATTCGGAGCCAAATATTCAGAGTCCTATTTTTTCTTAATATTGTCGCTAAAGGACCCTATCCAAATCCTTTCCACCATTGTGTTAAACTGCCACAGAGGAAACTTACTATGTATCTTCCAGCCGAAAATCACACTAGTTTTATTTTATTTGACTGACTTGATTTTATTCTTCTTAGATACTTATCTTTGGTATGTTATTTGCAATTGTTTATTTTCAGTTGGATTGTCATTTTCGTTGGGGGTTTCAATCTTTACCCCTTGGAGGAATATCTTCTGTCGATTGCCGGATAGGATCATGACTAAAATTTATCACCCATCCCCTGCTGGTGACCCTAATAGTTGTCTAATTATTATATCACAGATTTGGAACAGTATTATTATTTCAATGTACAGAGAACACTTTATATCGGTGGAGCAGGTCAGCAAGTTAGTGTATCAGAGAGGAGTTACCGAAGAAAATACCATCCGTCCCCCATTATTCTTTGCATTTGAGGATGATAATACATTTCAGTTACATGATTTTTTCACCATTGGAATCGAATGTGAAAGAAGGATTACTTTCTTTGCTCAGTCACTTTCAAGTCCGCTTCCAGAACCCTTTCCTGTTGTATCTATTCCAGCTTTCACAGTATTAATTCCCCATTATTCAGAAAAGATTTTATTAAGCTTAAAAGATTTAATCAAAGAAACCAAATTTTCGAAATTGACACTTTTGGATTACTTGAAGCAGCTTCATGCTAGTGAATGGGATTCATTTGTGAAAGATAGCAAGATGTTACAAACAATTGAAGTTGATGATAAAGAAGGAACACAACTTTCTTTGAACCTAGTTTTCAAGAGCAACACAAAAGAGGACACTGATAGGTACATCAGAGATAAGATTGAAGATTTACCATATTATTGTGTCGGTTTTAAAGATTCATCACCTGAGCATACATTGAGAACAAGAATTTGGGCAGCACTTAGATGTCAAACATTGTATAGGACAATATCTGGATTTATGAATTATGACACCGCTTTGAAATTACTCCATAGAACGGAAAATCTTGGATTCTACCTTGAAGATCAATATCAATTGGAAGATGAACTAGAAGAATTTGTAAGTAGAAAATTCAATCTCTTGGTTGCAATGCAAAAGTTTCAAAATTTCACTCCCGATGTCGCAGAAGATGCTCGTATACTATTCAAGGCATATCCAAATCTAAGAGTGGCTATATTGGAAGAAGAAGATAATAAAGGTGAGAAGGAATATTATTCAACATTATTGGATGTATCCCAAAAAGATACAAATGGAAAATACGTGAGAAAGTACCGAATTAAACTATCTGGGAATCCAATCTTGGGAGATGGCAAATCAGATAATCAGAACAATGCGATAATATTCTATAGAGGGGAATATATTCAAGTGATTGATGCGAATCAAGATAACTATTTGGAAGAATGTCTCAAAATAAAGTCCTTATTATGTGAGTTTGAAGAAATGAAAATGGATATTACTTCAGGATATGTTCCCGGTGGTGACGCAAAACCAGAGAAGAGTCCAGTTGCAATTCTCGGAGCTAGAGAGTTTATCTTTTCTCAAAATATTGGCATTTTGGGAGATATTGCTGCAGGAAAAGAGCAAACATTTGGTACGTTGTTTGCCAGGACAATGGGTGAAATTGGATCCAAGTTACATTATGGACATCCAGACTTTCTAAATGGTATTTTTATGACAACTCGAGGAGGTATCTCAAAAGCACAAAGGGGACTACATTTGAACGAGGATATATATGCTGGAATAACTGCAGTTTGTCGTGGTGGTAGGATAAAGCATTGTGATTACTATCAGTGTGGGAAAGGTCGGGATCTTGGGTTTGAATCTATTATTAATTTTACGACCAAAATAGGAGCTGGAATGGGAGAGCAATTGCTATCAAGGGAATATTTTTATTTAGGTACTCAATTACCGATTGATAGGTTTCTTTCATTTTATTATGCACATCCTGGATTCCATATCAATAACCTTTCGATTATGCTTTCAGTGAAGATGTTTATGTTGTTATTGGCCAACCTTGGTGCTTTAAACTATGGAACTATTACATGTGATCCTGATGATCCTGGAAAAACACCCGGCTGTCATAATCTTATACCGGTATTAAATTGGATTGATAGGTTTGTTCTTTCAGTGTTTGTGTGTTTTTTTATTTCGTTTTTGCCATTGATTATTCAAGAGCTTATTGAAAAGGGATTTATAAAGGCGGTTTTTAGAATTATGTTCCAGGTAGTTTCACTATCACCATTGTTTGAAGTATTTTTATGCCAGATTTATTCTAAAGCACTCCGAGATAATTTGGTATTTGGCGAAGCTCAATATATTGCTACAGGTAGAGGATTTGCAATATCAAGAATACCTTTTGCAACTTTATATTCTCGATATGTTCATTCCACAATTTATTACGGTTGCGAAATTTTTCTTGTGATCGTATTTGCATCATTGACTATTTGGAGAAAAGCTTTAATGTGGTTTGCTATTACAATAATATCGCTATGTTTGGCTCCTTTCGTGTTCAATCCCCATCAATTTAATTTTGCTGATTTTTTCCTAGATTACAGACAGTTTATACGATGGTTATCAAGAGGGAACTCCAAACCAAAAATACTGTCATGGATACATCATACACAAAGGAGAAGATCTAAATTGACCGGAGAGAAATTGGGTAAATATGTACTGGGAAGGAATTCATCGTCGTTTAATTTATTTATAGGGGAAGTTGTTTCTCCATTTGCCAGTGTTGTACTTTATTTGCTTCCATATATGTTTATTAACCGATCAAGTAATTATTTGGAATTGAGTTTAAAAAATCCAATTCTTAGATTGGTTCTTATAACGTTATTACCATACTTGGAGAATGCAGTTACATTACTATTGTTATGGCCAATGTCAGTATTATTAGGACCCATTATTGGTTATTTTTACAAGACGATTCCAGCATTCATAGCAGGGGTTGCCCATTTCATGGCTATTGCATTTAATATTGCTAATTTTGAGATTTTATTCTTTTTAGAAGGTTGGAATTTTGTAAGACTAATATCCGCATCTTTGGTTATTTTCAATTTGCATAGAATGATTTCTAATTTTGTACTTATAATATTTGTATCTAGAGAACGTGGAGAAGATGTTACAAATAAAGCATGGTGGTCAGGTAATTGGATCAAAAGTGGGTTGGGATTTTTTGTGATTACCCAACATGTACGAGAGTTTATTGTTAAGATTTTAGAACTCAATAAGTTTACACTTGATTTCATTGTGGGTCATTTCTTATTATTTGCCATGTTTCCAATTTTATTCATTCCATATATTGATACTTGGCATACTAGCATGTTATTTTGGATTAAACCGACGCGTCAGTTTTTCCGTCCAATACTAAGTAAACGACAAAGGAGGAGACGTAATTGGACCATTCTAAGATATTTCATATTATTTTTGTTAATATTTATTATATTTGTTTCATTGATAATAATTCCTATGATATTGGAGAAGAATTCAAAGGATATAGTACCATTTTTGAAGAAGTTGGTTGGGAAAGTAGGTGGAGGAGGAGAAGAAAAGGTGTGAAAAAAGATCCAGAGCATTATGTTTTGACAGACATATTTAAAATAAAATACAAACTAGGGAGTTTTCCATATATAAAATTAGCTGTTTTCTATTTATATTTAGAAAAGTCTTGTAATTAAAATTTAAGTTTAAGTTTTTAAGTTTATACCAATTTGATGATTGCAAAATTTTTATTTTTTATTTTTTATCCTTTGAATTTCTTTGTTTTCATTTTTGGTGTTTTTGTTTATTTTTTATTTGTTTTGCTTGTTGATTTTAATTTTCAAATGGAAATGTTACAAAGCAATTTCAATACAACCCACCCATTCACCTCTTATCTTCAGGTATTTACATGTTACATCAATTGCATAAGGGAATTGCTATATAGACAAATACAAACACAGACAAGGTCTTCCCACCACATCAAACACATACGCCCACATAAACACACACACTGTTAGACACAGATGAAACCACCTCATGGAATCTCACCATCATCGAGAATTCAATCCTTAAATAAACAAGAAAGATTAAAGCAATTTGCAGATCGACAAGAAGATGAAATATTTGGAGACATAGAAGGCATAGATTTTGGAATCAGTCATCAAATGGAAAATACCCTACGCGTGAATCGCGACAATCCAACTGATTTGGAAACATTAAAATTGAATCAACTTTCATTGGAAGACAGCCCTTATGGAAATGTCAAAACACACAAGTACAACAAGGGCAGCAGGCTGAATAAAAGCGTGCTGCCTCAACTGTTTTTTCTTACTCCTACCAATCGTGAAGATCCACTTCCGAATTCGGGATCAACCAGTAGCGGCAAACGAATAACGAGAGAATATTTGAGTGAATACAGCGAGGAGAATGATACTGACGTTACGTCAGAGTTTACTGATAATGATTTCGATGGATGGGATTTGCTTACGAAAAATGAAGAAGGTCAAGGAGATCAAACTAGCATATATCAAAAGATGAACCAGCATTTAATCGCCAGGAAAGTTCAACAACAAAAGGAAGCAGAAATAGAACAAGAAGAATTAAGAAAACTTTGGATGGCAAAGAAGAAACAAGAGCAAGATTATATGGATCCTAATCAAACTATAAAATTACAAGATTTTTCTGCATATCAAGATAACAAACTTACAAATGAGAATTTGAGCTTATTTGATCTATTGGAGAATGAAAAAACCGTGAATTATGAATATACACGGGATGAATTCGATCAATTTGAGGATGGCCTCGATGACAACTTTGTAGAAGAACTACAAAAGAGACATGCTCAACGAGTTCACAACATTAATCGCAATCCTAAAAGTTCCTTACGAAATAAACAATCAATGCCTTCTATTGCAAGGACAAGCAAACCTTCTATAAAACGATTCCAATCGACAATGGAATTCGCAAAGCAAAGCGGATTGGATGGAATACAAGAAGAACCCGCATTTAAATATAATGATAACCTTAAACGAAAGCTTGACCGTATTCCTTCATTTTATAATACTCAAGAATCGGAAAAGAAAACCCAATTATTGAACAAATATCGTGATAACATAAAGACAAATGACAGCATCCATCAACAGAGTCATCATAAGAGAAAAATGGGTGTAGTCAAATGTCTCAACAACAATAGAGTAACACAAAACCCGTCATTTCCAACCCCCACCAAGAATATGACATTCAACTACAGTCAGAATAGATGGGAAGGCAACGAAGAAGAATTGATGAGATTTGAGAATCTCAGTAAACCTGCATTAATCACCACCCGCGAATTCGAAGAACCGGTATTAAGATTAGCTATTCCAACTAAAGGGGAAGGTACACATAATATGGCTTACGATAAGGAGAGATTATGTTGGGTAAATTTAGATGGAGAAGATGACGCTATATTTCATGACATACCTGATTTGATAGAAGCCAAGCCTTACAAATTGAATGCTCCGCCTCAAACAGTAAACAATTCCGCACAATCCATAATGAAACTAGCGCTGCAGCAACATATGAACTCCCCCACTATTAGGAGAGGTGCAAGTCAATTCACTCAAAGGACTACTTCTAATATTTCAACGGGGGATGTAGATGGAAGACTTGGTCAGAGAGTGGCTAATGATGACGACCACAATGAGTTTAAGTTGAGTAAGAAATTGATTGAGAAATTTGTTAAGGAAGATTCGAGAATTGAAAGAAAAACTCGACATTGGTTTAACAATAATTCAACAAGGAATTCAGGGTTCAATCGTGATTATTATTGGGAAATCAGAAAAATGGTAATCGAGAATGAGTAGGCGTTCTACCGACTAGCTACAGCTCAGAAGTCACAACATGTGCTAACAATCCTTTTTCACTATCTTAAGCATTCCAACTTTTCATAAATATGTTTTATTATTTATTTTCTATGTAATATTGTATTTATCTATTTAGTAACAATCTAACAAAACTTGCATGTTACAATAAAAAACTTTCAAACTTAGAGAACGAGCATGCAGAAACCAGCAAACATAGAAACACCGACGGTAGCGACCTTAGTCCAAGTGTTTGAACCGTATTGAGGAGCAGCACCGGACTTCTTGTTGTCACCAGTAGAAGAACCAGAGCTTTGAGAGTCAGTCTTAGAACCGGTTTGAGAACCAGATTCAGCAGCATCAGTTTGAACAGCACCAACCACAGTACCTAAACCTGAAACACCAGCAGATTTTAAGTAAGCGGAACAGGTTGAAGCAGTGGCAGCACTTTGAATAGAAGCACGACCATCGAAGTCACAAGCATCTTTAGCTTTATTTTGAGATTCGTAATAAAGGTTTAAGACGAAACTTAATTGTTGATCAGCGTTACATGGAGAGTAAGCACCATAATCACCAGTAGTACCATTAGCACTGATACCAGAACAGTCAATTCTTGAACAAACGTAGTTAAATAAATCTCCATAATCTGATTCCGCGACATTAGAATCAACAACACATTGTAAAGAGTTGACCATACATTGACAAATGTTCTTATCTGGGGTTGGTGGTAATTCAGTAGCAGCTTCCCAGTTTGAAGTAGAAGTTGGACAATCAGTATTGGTGACAGAAGATGAAGACTCTTGAGCTGCATCAACACCAGATGGAGAAATCTGCAAGATTTCAGATTTGTAGTTGTTGTAATCAACTAAAGTCTTAACATCACCATTTGAATCAATAGAAACTAAACCATAATCATTTTCTTCTTGGAAGTACATGTAGACAATACCACCAGACCAGACACCAGTCATGTCAGGACCGTAAAGAGTGGCGACTTCTTGGAATTTTCTTGGTTGGACTGCGTTACAACCATATTCGGAGAAGAAAAGTGGAATACCTATGTGCTGGTACATGTCAGTGATGTTTTCATAACCAGAAGTCTTGAAGGAAGAAGATCCACACCATTCATACATGTTAATACCGAAGAAATCGGCTCTAACATCTTCATCACCACAAGCGAAATATTCAGCTAAAGGAAGTCTAATATCAATATCATCATTAGCAGAATAACCAACAGGAATATCTCTATAGTTCTTAGCCTTAATATAAGCCTTAGTATCTCTAACAGCAGCTTTAACGAAAGCAGAAGCATCAGTGTTATTAACTGCATTAGTAACTTCATTACCAGCAAAGAAACCTAAAATATTGGTATAATTTTGGAATGAATCAACAACTGAAGTATATCTTTGTAATAAATCTAAATTCCATTCTGGAGTATCTCTATTAATAGATTCATCTGGTTGAGATAAATCAGCAATAACATAAATACCAGCATCTTGTAACATTTCCATACATGCAGTATGATCAGCAGTATTATCTAAAGCATAAACTCTAATAACATTAGTATCAACTGCTTGCATATAAGGAATATCTCTCTTACAAGCATCAGCATCAGCTAAAGGATCAACGAAGGTGGCGTTAGTACCATTTGGGTTTTGTTGATAAGCAATACCCTTGATAAAGAATTGTGATCCATTATTGGAATAAAAGAATTTATTACCAACAATTTCAATTGGTGGTAAATCAGCAACAACTGAAGTAATACAGGCGGAAATAGCCAAAATGGTGGAAGGAATTAAAGATTTAAACAACATAACGAATGACTGACTGTCTGACTCTTTATAAACCAAGAAAGAAATAAAAAAATTCAGATAGAAGAAGAAAACAGAAAAATAGAAAAAAAAAAGGGACAGACACAAGAAAATTTAAATGAAAAAAAAAAGATCGGGGCCCGTCAAACACGATCGAGTGATTTTTTCGTAAAAAGCTTAAAATAGAAAAAAAAGAAACAAACGGAATTAAAAAAAATATTTATCTTGCTAAATATAGTGAAAAGCCCCACCTGAGAAGAAGGAGGCACTGACGACGTGAAACAAACACTAGGCAAAGCTACTTTACCTTAAGAGAGTGAGAGGTTATCAGATTGATTACCTTGGGGGGTTAATCAGATGGGGGGTGTTGTAATCGATTATTCTCTTTTGTGTGAGAATCATAAATCAAACAAAGAAGTTTCCATTCAGTATTTTCTTTTCTATTCGTGTCCCCCTATTGTTGCCAGGTTTTTAAGTTAAGAAAGTATACATTACAGCAAATGCGCAATGACATAAAGCCAGATGATCAGCAACTTACCAAATAGGTTTATCCTATGAATGCCGGAGTTTTATTTGGTTGGAGGTAAAAGATTCCATTGAAACGCCATGATCGGATCATCTCGGCATCTATGGAGACTCAGTTAAAATGTGCATACATATAAACCACAAAAACAAAGAAATAAATTAGTGTGACTTAGATTTAAATTCGTCGTCTACGTCACATCTGGTCAGCCCAGTTGGCTGGGGAAGTTGCTCTTCTCCCGAATGAACCTTATAGTTGAGAGCCATCAGTACAAAACAAATGTATGTGTCGAGGATTTATTTTTTGGGAATTTGTCCAGAACCGGAAACCATATCGTCTATTATTTTTTCTAATAAATTTAAAATATTTTTTAATGGCTCATTGACTTGCAGAAATCATGGCTGTGCAGATTTTTTTTTTCTCTTACTTCAAATATGCAACCTCAAAATACTTTTGAAATTGCTGCTAAAAGTTAAAATCGTGATTCTTCGTTAAACAACTAAGAAAGCCAATATAAATGGCTATTTCTGTATCACCATAAAAAATCCTAATAAATTCACGATTTTAATGGGAATAAAGACAAAGATATGAAACTCAGAAAAATCCCTCTTGACTTCAAACGATTGCTATCTAAAAAGCCACCAACTCCTATTCTCACAATTATATGTCAAAAATTAGGGATTGAAAATGTGAGAACGCCTTGTTTGTTTGAAATAAATATGAATATTCACCCAGGAATACTATTGGATCTACGAAAGAGTCCACAGTTCAGTATGATATGTCTTCAACTGGTATTAGTGTCTATGTAGAAGAGAACCAAGTTAGCTCCTCTTAAAAATGTTTTGGGGCTGGCAAAAAACAGTTTTGAATCAGTATTCTCGAGTCTATTGGCTTAGAATTACTCAATATTGAACCTGTTATTCCACAAATAGCTTGTGAGTCGATTACAATAGGCGATGGTTGCGCAATCATTTCTTCTAAAATATATCTGATCCTATTGACTCAACAAAGAGAGAATTTCATTTCAAGACTAGAAAGTTTGGTGGTCATGGCAAATTGCAACCGAAGCATTTGTCCTATGGTGAATATACCCAGTACCGCAGGATCATCAACTATTTAGGCTCACTATTATAATTCTAACTTATCTGTTTTGATCTTACGTTAACCACGGGCCACTGGCTAATACATATACTTGAGAATATTGTAGTTTGTTTACTTCCAGAACATTGTAGTTCGTTTACTTCCAGTTTTCATTCTCGATCTTCGTTCACGGAAATACAGAAAACGGTAGCCGCGTTGAATTCAAACTTCTTTGGCGAGAATCGGAAAACTCCCTTTAGGCTTTTAATATCTAATTTAGAGCGGTACCTGTAACAGCCATGTTTTTCTTCGTCGTAATCTTCAAACCTCGAGAGAGGAAGTTCCATTTTTTCAGTATTTCCCTCTTATGATTCCCCTGTGCTGTTCATTCAAGTAGTATGTAGTGTTTTTTCAATTAGCATAGAATAGTATATATTAAGGAAGATGGTCATAACATAGCAAAACAATGGGAATAGTCTTGTGACGAATAATAGTGTAACCATACGACACTAATTGATTCAGGAAATGAACACATAATACGTACAGACTAAAAATCAAATGAATTTTGATGAACTTTGTAATAGAAATTTCCTTGACTTCAAGATTTTGTCAGGGTTTAACACGAAATATTCTTGAAAACAGGGAACGCGTAAATCAAATAAAGATAAATTCAATGAGAATCCTCATGAGACTCACATGAAGTCCATCACCACAAACAGAAATCTATTTCATTAAATTCTCGCTTACGAACAGACTAATATCGTCTGTCCTGCTGTTTATCTCTCTGCCTTATGATGATGGTTTTGTGTCTTTCTATTGTGTAAAATCAAGTTTTTCCGAAAAGACAAAGAAATTTTATTTTTTCGCGTTTACCATACAAATTAAATTTATTGTGTGAATTTTGGAGATTGGATTTGTCTTCCCCACCCAACCACCCCACTTTTACATACATTAAATTATTGTCTGAAGTATTAATAATTTTTTATTTAACACATTTGTGTTAAACGGGATAAACTACTGGATATGGACAAACCGTTATCAGGAAGATATGACATTTGAACTTGGTTATACCATCCTCTACAGTGAAACCCCAAAGATTGTACCCTTGAAATAAGTAAAGGAATTTAGATTTCGGACTTCGCAATTCCAGAAGCTGGTTTTTTTTTCCCATCAGTGGTGTGGTGTGTCAAGAAAACAGACAACTTACAGACAGACACTGGACACGTAAAAAAATAAAAATAAAAACTGTTAAGACACATAAATTGTCGGATGAATTGAAAATTATTAATTTTATTTAAATTGTAACTTAATTGCCACTTTTTCTTTTACTTTTTATTTAATCTGTAAAATTTATTCAATTTTCTTTTAATTGGTAGTTGGTAATATAGACAGAAGAAAAATGTCCGAAGATAATAATACTGGTAGTGGTAATGAAGAATCCCAAACGGGATATGTTGATATTTATTTAAGATTTAATGATGATATGGAAAAAGATTATTGTTTTCAAATAAAGACAACAACAACTTTTAGGGATTTATTTAGAATTTTTAATGAATTACCAATTTCACTTCGTCCAAGTGTATTTTATAGTGTTAAACCAATTGGATTTAAGAAATCTATATCACCAGGATATCTTACTGAAGATGGTAATTTCTTATTTGATTATGATTCTCAAAATCAAACAGTTCCAATTAAAGATTTCGATGAATTAATTAATAATAATGTTTGGCCAGGTCAATTAATTATACCAGAATGGAAATTTAATGATTTTGGATTTTATAGTTTTGTTACATTTTTAATTTGTTGGCTTTATACTGATTTACCTGATTTTATAAGTCCAACCCCAGGACTTTGTCTTACAAATCAAGTAACTAATCTTTTCGGATATTTAGCTTCTAGATTTGGTTATGGTCATATTGCTGATTTATTATTAGAAGATGTTTCAAGTCCAGTATCAGTTACTGGGCAAATCTTTTTCTTTGTATTTCATTTAATGAAAATTGGAATTATATTTGGATTATTTTATTCTGGTGCTGTTAATCCATATACTATTTTCACCCTTGGAAGAAATGTTCAAAAAGATATTACTAAGGAACAATTACTTGAATTAGGTTGGACTGGTACTAAAAAAGCTACAATTGATGAATATAAAGATTATTATCGTGATTATAAGACTGATGAATATGGTGGTATGGTTCCAGCTCATCGTGCTGGATTATTTAATACTATGAAACATTTAGGTTGTGAATTAGAACAAGGTGAAGGTTATAATACTCCATTAACTAAAGAAAATATGATTGTTACATTTGATGAATTATTAGAACAATCAAAACAACCAAATTTTAAATTAAAATTATGTTATGATTATTTTGCTGAATTAGGTCTTGTATTTGCTACTAATGTTGAAAATAAACAATCTTCAGAATTACCTGAATTCATTAAACAATATAGAAGATATGGATTATTAATTTCTAATGATAAATTGAAACAAATTGTCAAAGCAAGAAAGGGACTTCCAGAACCTGAACCTGAACTTGAATCTAAGCAAGAAGTGGAAAAGGTAGAAGAAATTGTTGATGAAAAGAAGAATGATGAAGATGATGAAGAGTAGATGAGGACAGTATGTCTAAAAACAATCAATGTAAGGGGGTTAGTATGAGTTGGATTGTTTTGTTTTAATTAGCATATACATATATATATATGTTTCATGTTTTATTCTTTTTCTTGTATCCTGTTAATTAATGTGTTTTTATATAGTAATACTTTCATTTGTAGTTTGGTTTTTATAAATTGTTTATATAAAAAAATTTTAATAATAAAATTTAATTTTAATGAAACAGATTAAGATGATCAATTATTTAATAACAGCTCAAGATAAATATTCAATAATAAATCAACTATTATCGAGGATAAATGATCAAGAACCAATAACATACATCAACTCAACATCGCCAGAAATACTATTAAATCTATCAACAACAATCAATCAAAACTTAAATTATGAACGATTCATTAATTTAAATCAAATTATAGAGTATATTGATAATATTGTTAATACAAATCATACAATCATAATTGAAGATTTATATCAATATGCCAATGTTAATACCAGTGATGAATTGAGGATCAATCAAACAAATTATTTACTTAATAAATTGATTCAACAATTGTATCAATTTAATGTATACATTATAGATTCAAAAAGAATTGGATTCATAGAATTATTAGTTGATAATATCGAGATTTCTAGGAGATAAAGCTTGAGAGAAGTATAAATGTCGATGACAGTTGATATGATGAGTTAACACGCTAGTAATTTGTTTTCAATTGGTGCCTGAAAACAAGCTAATATATGATAGATAGCATGGGGCGGGAGAATTCATAAGTGATGGCAATTGTAAGACAAATTATGTGAAACCCTTTTTTTTTTTAAAAGACGACGCCTGTCAAGCTAAACTGTCAAGGCAGACAGACATATTTGAGCGTCATCTTTTCATGTGCGCTACCACCAATTATAGTCAGCCGTCTTTTTATGAGAAGATTTTTTGTGTACAATATACGGAGTTAAATCTTATTCCATGACCAAATGGAAACTATGAAATTACAATACAGTACCCGATGAGAAATAAATTCGTATATATAGTCTCCTATTATTTTATATCACCCAATATAATTCAATTTTAGATCAACCATAATAATCATCAAATGTAAGTTTCATATATTGAATCAAATAATTCTTATGACATCAATTTGAAACTTTGATTTGAATCTTGGATATTGTAATTGTACATACAATACAATAGAATCGACCTTCCTTTATGTTTTTGTGATTGTAAAGTAATGAATCGGCAATCAATTAAATTGACGGAAAAAAAATGGTTTTCCTTTGTTTGTGTGTGTGTGCTTTTTTTTTTGGCCGCACCCGTATATTAATTATTTCGAAAAGGAACAATTGGTAGTGGGGAAGAGCCGCGGGGGGAACTTTTTATATTCTGGGCAGAGGCTTTATATAGCAACATCCAATAGTCCATTGTGATCCAAAGAGAAACAGGTGACTGGACGAAGCAACCGTATAACCCCCTTTGCAAGAGCAAACAAGTCACGTCTTTCGATTTTGAAAGTACTGTAGAATCTAAAGATCTTTTTCGGGCGGGCTGCAGATATGGATACTTTGACTCATGCCAAATGTCGCCCCACTCGTTTTTTTCGCGGTTGATCTGTTTTTGTTATCCGACCTATCCACAAACCGTTAGATATAGCTAGATCCTTAGATATCTATATATAGGATTTCATGGTCATGTATTCATTAACAGTGACTTTCAACTGAATGTGGTACGATTGAAAGTTAAGGTTTTTGCATGCTATTCGGAAAAATAGGCGATTTGTTTCAAGGATTATTTTTTTTTTTTTTTGGATTGTCTTAACTATTTTTTTTTAAAAAGCCAGTTTTATTATTTAGAGTTTTTGCTAAAAAAATAATTGAATTGTTACGGGTTTTTCCCCGTAGTCCCAAGAAATAAAAAAAGGGGAAACATACATACATAATAAATACAAAGTTATTTGTTTTCGACGACTTTTCTTTTTCTCTTTCCTTTCTCTTTCCTTTCTCTTCTATCGCTAAACTATCTACTCGAGTTATTTATATCGTTGAATCCTCCGGAATAATAAGTAGTACCGAGCACTAACCAAATCAAATCAAGAGAGTGTCAGATCAGATCAGACAGACAAACAACAAAAAAAAGAAGCAATACTAAGACACAACTCCGATATACGGTAGCCTAAGAAACAGATTTCATACCCACCATAAAAACATGTCCCTGACGTTATCACCTTGTGATTCTTGCTTAACTCTAAGTAACAACGCACCGGAATACAATAATAAACTAGTTATGAATTATGTTAATAGAAGACTATCTCAATATTCAAAAGTCACACCATTTAGATCAAGATCAAGATCAGCAACGACAATTGAAGAATCAATAACACAACAACCATCAATAATAGATGCTACCAATCGAGAATTAGAACTTGTGATGATTCATGATCATCATGATATTAATATAAAATTAACTGCCATTCATAATTTAATAGATACTCATAATAATTCAGTATCAATGTCAGATCTAACTGTTAATCATTTATTAATATTCTTATATTATAATCAATTAACATTATCATTCCCACAATTTTATATCAATCAACTTGAAGTAATTCATTTAGGTAAAGTATATACTTTCAATATGAATTCTGATTCATCAAGATTAGTTGATATTAATATTAATGCATTTAATAAATTCTTGGTGATTATTAAACCTGATAATGCTGATGGTATTTATAAATTCTTTGAAATGGAAACTTTTTTAAAACAAGATCAAAAGTTTGTTGATAAATCAACTGGTGAAGTAACTTATATTGATTCTATTGTTAAAAAGATAAAAGGAAGGTCTGATATTGATATCGATAATACTAATCAGAGGATACAAAAGAAAAGAATAAGAAAGTCGATCTTAAAAATATTAAAGAGACTTTATACATAGATAAGCTTGTACTGCTTAGTTGCTGCGTCTTCTTCTTCTTTCAATAGAATAATTAATATTTATTTATTTAAGTTAAGTTAACAATCTGTTTATGCTGCAAAATTTCTGCTGTAAACTTAGTTAAACGATCGTGCGATACTTAAAAAGAGAGATAATAAATCAACCAGAACCTATTTCGCTTTTATTTGCAGACGGGGAAAGCATGGGGTCAAGTGACACGTGAATACCTTATCAATAGGTTGGATATCGATCCGTCACGTACAATAGAGGTATCGCAAATCTAGAGCTTCAGGTTATCCTATTGCAATCTGCAATTCTACAACTCTACAGTATCTCAGCATTCTTCACAATTAGAATAAAATGTATATTTATAAGAACGGTTTCGTTTGGACGTTCAGTTTTTGTTGTTGTTTGTGTGGATGGTATGTGTGAATGGTATTGTTGGGATGGTAACCTTTGAATTTCGTAATATTAACAAATTTATATATATATAAAAAAGAATCACTTAAAACAAACATATGGATTTGGACCTGATAATGACAAAAAATACCCACAAATCAAAATCAATAAATAAAATACAAAGGATAAACTTTCATTTTAGATCCCCATATAAATGTTTTCAAATCCTATTTCATTAAACTTCTTAATAACCGAAAGAAGCTAATTGCTTAGCAACATCGGATTCAGCATTAGAAGCCTTAGCAGCATTAATCTTCTTAGTTAAAGCCTTCTTCTTGGCGTAGTATTCAGCAGATTTCAACTTTCTCTTTTCTTCTAATTTATCAACAACAGATTCGTATTTCCAACCAACAGCGGAAGATAACTTACCAACAGTGGTGTATTTTCTACCTTGCTTTAATCTTAAGACTCTTAAAGCTTGTGGAACAACAACTCTCTTCTTCTTGTCGTATGGTGGTGGAACACCTTCGAAAACCTTAAGTCTTTCTAAAGCAGCCTTACCTCTGGCGGTCTTGTGAGGCATCATACCTCTGATGGCCTTGTATAAAATTCTAGATGGGGCTCTGAAATGGAATGGACCATGAGTCTTGTTGAATCTGGTGGCCTTTCTTAAGTAATCATGATATTTCAATTTGTTTCTGAAAAATTCACCAGAAATGTTTAAGGCTTCACATCTGACGACGACAATCTTTTGACCGTTTAATAATTGCTTAGCAACAATAGAAGCTAAACGACCTAATAAATGGCCCTTACCGTCAATGACAACAACTGGTTCAAAGGTAGACATTTCGTTGATTAGTTATAATAAAGGAAAGAAAATGGGAGAAGAGAATTTTTTTTCTTTTAGTGAAGGTGAAAAAAAATTTTGTTGTGTGTGAGAGTTACTAGGAGGGTTTGGTAGTGGGTTTTTTGTTAGTACAACTGTAGATTATTGCACTAAACAACTGAGCGAACTCTTCTCAGCGAAAAAAATGTTAGCAATAATAACCTGTAAACGTTTGCAGAGAAACTGTAAAATTCGCACCGCTACGCATTTTGTGAGTGAAAAAAACTAGAAGGTGGATTCTTTTTCATTTCGTTATCATATGCGAAATCGTAATACTGTATACAGGAACCATCACGTGCCCATAGAATGATAGGGTAGAAGCCCTAATGAATTGTTGCAAAAAAAATAGAGTAACGATCTCAACCAATGTGAACCGAAGTTGGTTGCTAGTATAAATGTAACAATAAAATTTATATTGGTACAAGTCTTTCTAAAAAGTCATATCTATCTACTTAGAGAGAAAGTTCTTTTGATTCAATCAATGAATTAAGAACAGAAAGAATAGCTTCAATTGAAGCTTGTGAAACATCATTGTGGATACCACATCCCCATTTAGAAACCTTTTCATTAGAGGAGTTAACATATGTTAATTGAACATAAGTAGCAGCCTTACTACTGGAGCCACTTCCTAATGAGTGTTCACTATAGTTTTCAACTTCAAATAAGATACCAAATCTTTGATAAATTGCATTAACAAATGAAGAAATTGGACCATTACCTTGACCCTTAATTGTAATTTGTTTTCCATCTTGACCAAGTACGGCATAGATTTCACGATTGTTGTCCTTATCGGAACTCTTATTCTTGGTAATTTCAAAATCATTGAGAGCCAATGGGGAAGATGGTTGGATATATTGTCTCTTGAATAAGTTACAGATTTCTTCAGTTTTCAATTCCCTTCCCAATGAATCAGCTCTTTCTTGAACAGTAGCAGAAAATGCAACTTGTAATTGTCTTGGTAAATCTAAACCTAAAGATCTTAAAATAACCCAAGCAGCACCACCTTTACCAGATTGAGAGTTGACTCTGATAACAGCTTCGTATGTTCTTCCAATATCCTTTGGGTCTAATGGTAAGTATGGCATAGCCCATTTAATATCACCTTGTCTAGCTCTTTCATCAGACTTGGCGAAACCTTTCTTAATAGCATCTTGATGAGATCCGCTAAATGCACAAACAACAAGGGAACCACCATATGGAGATCTTGGATGAACATTGATCTTGTTACAACGTTCACTAACATCGATGACACTTTCAATATCAGAGAAATCTAAGTTTGGTGAAATTCCTTGAGTATACATATTTAAAGCAACAGTGACTAAATCGACATTACCAGTTCTTTCACCATTACCAAAGATACAACCTTCGACTCTATCAGCACCAGCTAAAATACCTAATTCGGTAGCAGCAACCCCACAACCACGATCATTATGACAATGGGTCGAGACAACAACCTTTTCACGTTCAGTAATGTGTTGACAGAAATATTCAATTTGATCAGCATAGACATTTGGACCAGCAACTTCGACAGTTGCAGGTAGGTTGAAGATCATTGGATTTTCAGCAGTTGGTTCCCAGGCTTGTTTGACAGCTTCACAAATTTCAACTGCGAATTCAACTGGAGTATCCGAGAAACACTCAGGAGAGAATTCCAAGTTCCATTCAGTTTCTTGCATATTTGGATCATCTTTAGTTAAAGATCTGACTAATTTAGTAGTTTCAATAGCCTTAGCAATAGCATCTTCTTTTGACATACCAAAGACAACATCACGGAAGACATCAGAAGTGGCTAAGTAAATATGAATAATCGCCTTTTTAGCACCCTTGACCGATTCAACCGTTCTTCTAACTAATGGTTCACGGGATTGGGTCAAGACTTGAATAGCAACATCTTCTGGGGCATTTTCAACGGCATAACGCGTGAAATCAAAATCAGTCTGAGAAGCTGAAGGAAATGATACTTCAATTTCTTTAAACCCAATCTCAACTAATTTATGGAAATATTCTTTCTTTTCTGCAACTGACATTGGATCAGGTAATGATTGATTACCATCTCTTAAATCGGTAGATAACCATCTTGGAGCCTTTGTTATCGTTTTGTTTGGCCAGGTTCTTGTAGGTAAGTTGATATGTTTTGCAGGTGGGTATTTTATGGATGGATCCTTAAGCATGTTTTTGTATTGGAGTTTAACAGGTGGGATCCTGCCAGTAGAGGCAGCCCTGGTAAAAATCTTGAATGTACGGTTAAGCATAGTCAGTTACACAAGTATCCAGAAGAAATATAACAAGATGACAGGAAAGAAAGAGAAAGAAATAAACACATAAGCGAAATTACAATTCATTGGATTTGATGAATCATAAGGTACCGAATGTGAAAAATTACCACCACAATGGATTTAAAATATATTTCCGGCGCGAATATGCCGGTACAGGTGAATCATGATTGTTTCGATCAAAAATTTTTTTTTTTTTCACTTCCCCTCTCCTCCAAGATAGATCCAACTACTTCTTCTTGTTCTTTAGTCAACTAAGTCTGTAAGTCCGATCATATTTTAACTGAAGAGGGGGGACTTTAAAATCGACTGAACAAGTGGAATACTTGCGGAGAATTAAGGGGGGCTTCTATATTCATACAAATAATGAAGCCACACATGTCAATTTATGACGTGAAAATAGGCGGAAATCAATACACGTCATATTTCAATCACGTGAACGATGCGCTACCTGGTCACATGATCAGAGTTTTGTGATAATTTTTTTTTTGGAGGAAATCAAAGAAAAAAACTTCCTTACAATGCTCATCTCAAAACAATTTAAAAATATTTATGAAAAATTTATTTATCAGTTTTCTTTTTGAAACTTCAATAATTATCAATTAAATAGAATCAAAAATGGCTAAATCATCAAGTAAAGTATCAAAGAAAGACTCCAAATCCAAGAAGGTCGAAAAGAAGGTTGTTGAATCCGAATCATCTTCCTCTGAAGAAAGCTCATCTTCTTCTGAAGAAAGCTCAGATGAAAGCTCTGATAACGAATCATCTTCAGATTCTGAATCTGAATCCGAACAAGAAGTAAAGAAACAAAAGAAGGTTGCTGAATCTTCTGATTCCGAATCTGATTCCGACTCTGAAAGTGAAGAAGAAAAGGAAGTCAAGAAGGAAGCTGCTGCCGACTCCTCCTCATCTGACTCTGAATCTGAAAGTGAAGAAGAAAAGGAAGAAAAGAAAGAATCATCATCCGAATCCGATTCTGAATCCTCCTCATCTGAATCTGAATCTGATAGTGATTCTGACGAAGAAGAAGAAGTTAAAGATTCAAAGAAACGTAAGGCTGAATCTTCCTCAGCTGAATCTTCATCTGAAACTTCCGAAGAAGAAGTTGAACAACCAGTTACCAAGAAAGCTAAGACTGAAGAAGAACCAGCTACTTTATTCGTTGGTAGATTATCATGGAATGTTGATGATGAATGGTTACAAAGAGAATTTGAACCATTAGGTGGTGTTATTAGTGCTAGAGTTATAATGGATAAGGCTACTGGTAAATCTAGAGGTTATGGTTATGTTGATTTTGAATCTAAAGAAGCTGCTGAACGTGCATTAAATGAATATCAAGGTAGAGAAATGGATGGTAGACCAATTAATTTAGATATGTCTACTGGTAAACCACATGCAGCCAAATCTAATGACAGAGCTAAACAATATGGTGATACCCCATCTGCTCCATCTGATACTCTTTTCATTGGTAATCTTTCATTCAACGCCGACAGAGACAGTTTATTCAATACTTTTGGTGAATATGGTAGTGTTATATCATGTAGAGTTCCAACTCATCCAGATACTCAACAACCAAAGGGATTCGGTTATGTTCAATTTTCTTCTATTGATGAAGCAAAGGCTGCATTAGAAGCATTAAACGGTGAATTAATCGATGGCCGTCCATGTAGATTAGATTTCTCCACTCCAAGAGACAACAACAATAGCAGAGGTGGTTTCGGTGGAAATAGAGGAGGTAATTTTGGTGGTAGAGGAGGAAACAGAGGTGGTAGAGGTGGTTTTGGTGGTAACAGAGGTGATTTTGGCGGTAACAGAGGTGGTCGTGAAAGATCATTCTCTCCAAGACCAACAACTGAATTCAAGGGTACCAAGAAGACTTTTGATTAAAGCAGACTAAGGATTTTAGAAAGAAATTAAAATTTCATGATTTTATAGTAAAAAGGTTTTTGTATTTTACATGTTTATAACGTTTTGTTGCATTATAGACTCTTATTTGATTCAAGGAAGTCAATTCGTATATTATTAGTTATTCTTTTTTAATTGTACATTTTTTATCAGGTTAGATACGAAGTAACTATCGAAAAATCTTCTATTGGAGGGGGGGAATTCAACGCACTTATTAAACCTGAGTTTGGATTGAATCTTTTTCGTCAGAGGCAGTGGCATAGGCTGAGAAGAAGAAGAACAAGAAGAAGAAGACGAAGAAGGAGAAGATGATGATCACGACGAAGAAATTGAAGAGTACAAAATCACGAGATGAAAGTCCGATCAATGAATATTCTATAGTAGTGTATAAATAAACCCGTGATAATGAGGTCTTTTAGTCAGATATTACAGTAATTTGCAGCAAGATACTCTGGTGGGTGTGGGTGAAATGCTTGTCATTTTCATCAGTAGACTTTTTGGTATGTCTTACCCGAGAACAGACAATTAACATTTCACACTTAACATCTAAAGAGTCAATGGGATAGAAGACTATATGACCTAGAATGAAGATACAACTTTCCTCATTGTTGATTGCCAACATGTAGGGTCTGTCCTTGCAAACACCAAAGGGTAGATTGAATTCTTACTAAGGGTCCGATCTTAATTCGATGCCGAGGAAAAGCCTGCAAATTTAAATCTCAGATTCATAACGCTTAATCAGGAAGTAAATTAGATGCTCTACTCCTCCTCGTCATATGATAAAAAAAAGAATTATAATCATCCGTTGATTACGCGTATTGTCCTTCAGGTTTCATCATGCAGTCTCTATGGCTTTGGGAAGCCGCGCTTCCCCTTATTGTCATTGTGCCAATCTCCACACACCCAACCCCCGCCTGCTTTACTATTATCAAGGGGAGGTATTATCGAATAGTATTTTATATATCGAGTGTTTTTATATTTTGAAATTAAATATGATAATTTACTTTCTTATCAAAGATCAATATAGAAATGTCGACTATAAGAAAAATTAATTATATTGGTGTATGCATAGATTTGCATCTACAAAAATAAATGATGGGGGGAAGAAGTTAGTAATGTCTGACAAAACCAAAAAAAAGCGTTAAAAAATAAATCAGACAAGAAAAAAAACACCCTCGTATTTTTAAAAATTGTGTCTGAATTTCTATCATGTTATTTTAACCTTTGTTTTTAACAGAAGTTTGCAACTTAAGCGATACATGAAAGGAAGCTCCTTTGATAGGTGGCAAAAGGATCTTTCAGTTCAGCAAAATTCAATTCTCTTTAAATGCAATTATCACAAGACAGGGGGGAAGGAGTTTCAGTATGAGCAATTCTATGTCTAAGCCTGGTGGGCATCAAAAAAAAAAATGTCCGAATGAATGCAAATTTAGGAGAGAGTACATTTCCAGTTCATATTTTTTTCATAGTGTTCATTTTTTTTTTGTTGTGCCCAGTTTTATATAATTTCTTTTTTTTTTTGATTATTTTATTATTTTTCCCCGATTTGCACTTAAAATAGTTCAGACAGAAAAATTAGTTTAGACAGACACATACTTCCAGTCACACAATAATTTCCTAGTTTTCATAAATTAAAAGGACATTTTAAATCACTTCTTTTTTTTTTAGTAAATTCATTTATTCATTATAACTTTATTTAAACTCACTTTAAAAACAGAGCAAAATTATAAACCAAAGAAACAGAAGCTGTTAATAATCTCCATTTGCAGATTGAAGGTTTTTTTTGTCAGATAAATATAAACAACAGAATCATCCAGAAGAAAAAACCAAGAAAAAAACGGATTGTCCAAAAAGAAATCTTGTTTTTTTTTTTTCTCCCATTATCCCACCAAACTATTAGACAGATTTAAAAAGAAGCTAAGAAAAAGCTATTCCCCCCATACAACAAGGTGACCAAGATATAGCCACAACAACATTTGCCTAAGAGAAAAACACAGTAAGATAGAAGGACATCAGTATCATCATCAATAAAGAAACAAGAATCACCACAACAAAGTCAAAAGAAAAAGAAGAAAATTAAGTGACTGTCATTTTCTTTAGTTGAAATTTTGTTTTAATTGTCCCTTTCTAAGAAAAAGCCAAAAACTCAATTTCTATTTATTAATTCAAAATAAACAATAAATAAGTTTAGTAGTAATAGAAGAAGAAGAAGAGGATAGAGTTTTTATTAAAGTCAAACCAAAAGTCACAACAGACACAAAAGACACAAGAAGAGGGAAAAATAAATTGATTGTCTAACATCTTAATTCATCAAATAAATAGACAGACAGACACGCATCATCATCAATTACCCTTAACCCTTTTTTTTTTTACTACCACCGCATAAACAACAACAAGAGTTTTAATAGACAAATAGAAACAGCATTTATCAAAAGGGAAGGAAGGAAGAAAGAGAGAGTCTGTGAATTTTATGAACCTTTAATATTGACAGAACGCTTCAATAAGATTTAACTAATAAACAAAGGACATGAACAAAATGAGGCGTGCCGTATCAAAGATACTCCCGACGCCTAAATTATTTAATAATGAAACAAGCAATCCATTTAGTAACTTTGGATCTAATTTTAGAATTGATTTTCATGCAATTGATGATTTTTATGTTCAATTAGATAAACCTCATCAAATTTGGTTACCAGGTGATGAAGTACCAGGACAAATTGTCTTGATTTCAAAGAAGAATTTAGCTAATATTGTTATTACATTATCATTGATTGGTTATATCAAAATTAATGCATCATCTCATTCTAAATTAAGACCAATTAGACATACATTATTTGATCATACAATTACAATTTATGGAGATGATAATAATAATACTGATGAATTTTCAAATGGTCTTTTAAAAGGGGAACATGTATTCCCATTCATTGTTAAACTTCCAAACAAACGAATATTCACTTCTATAGATTTCGGAAAAGGATCAATTAATTATGTGCTTAAAGCGTCAATTGGCAGTGCTTCCTCATATGCATCTCAACCTAGTTCTCCAATCAATTCATTAGCATCACCCACGACAACACCAGCACAATCTCCAAGTGAAACATCAGACACTACTACTAGCTCAATGTCACTGATAAGTGTAGATAGAAATGTGGCGAAAAAGAATTTCAAAATTTTACAAAATTCAACATATACTTCAGAAAAGTTAATAAATTTAGTCAATCCAATAGATGTATCAACATTATCTCGTCCCAAACCAAAGAGATTAATACTAAAAGACCCTCGAAGTACAGGAAAAAGATTGTCTCGCACTCAATCATCAACTTCAACCATCAATACAGTTAATACATGCAGTACATTCTCATCCAATAACTCAGATCAAATGTCAGTTACTGATAGTCAGCATCAACAGCAGCATTCACCACAGCAACCACAACAACTACAACATCAACAACAAGTGCAGCAAACATTAACGCAACCCCAGCATACATTAAATTCCAATCCCAATGGATTCATTGATAGCCATCAGCATTCAATTCATTCGCATCATCCTCAATCTAGCCAAGGACTGTCCTTAACATTGACACGACCCCCTGCAATAAATGTCATACTAGAGGTTCCACAAAGGGGTTATTTACGAGGAGAATTGATACCGATTAAACTTTCAATTAACCACTTGAAGAAAATCCAGGATTTAAATGGAATAATTATAACCTTTGTCAGAGTATGTCGATTAGACAATGGAGCAGATGGGGTTGTCGAATCATTTAGAAAAGATTTGCAGCAACTGGTATTACCATTGTATGTTGACCCAGTGACATTCCAATCAGAAATTAATACAAACATTAGAGTACCAGCTGACGCATTCCCTACCATTGTCGGATGTCCGTTAGTTTCCTTCCAATATTTTATAGATGTTCTTATAAACTTATCAGGCAAATCGGTTGGATTAGATTCTGACGCAGGCGACACCCATCTGCCTGATTCTGCTTCAGTGGCGACTGCTGTTGCTGCAAACAAGGTAAATCCTATTGCAGAGAACTTCAACGGTGGAACAACACCAGAACCATATAAATTCAATTTTAATTTTCACAATTCCAATACATTAACCTCATTGCATCATCAAAAGGAACGTTCCGGATTCATAAATACTGACAGATTTAAAAGACTGAAGAAATTTTTACAATTGACTACCGAAATTGTCATTGGTACTCATAGGCTGCCAGTAGATGAGTCAATAAAGTTACCTAGAGAACAGCTACTTCAAGGAGAAAATTCAAGAAGATCATCATCACTGAATTCGATAACAAGTCCTCCAGGACAAGGCGTTTTCCCCGGTTCTCCTGCTTCAACATCTCAAGTTATTTTAACAGAAGGAACCTCAGATTCACCTATTTCTGCACCAAATCTTCCAATTAATCCACATCCACATCCCCCAAATATCCCTTCACATCTTTCACAGGCAAGGACGCCCTATATCAACCCAATTCCCGAATCAGCAGAGATAAATAGTTTTCAAACTCCTCCCTACTTTGAAAGTAATGAGAACATTCTACCACCACCACCACCACCTACAGCCCCAAATTACGACCAACCTACCAATAGTAATTTTATATCCATGCTACAGAGTCATTCAGAATTGAGTGAAAAGGATAGAATGAGAGCTCATGAATCAGGATTATTACCTTCAGCTCCACCAATAGACGATGCTAGTATAGCACAAGATCAAATACAAGGTATAAATCAAGAACAAATTCCAAACAACCAGGGAAACAATCCAGTCCACATTCAAAGTGATCAATTGCTTGAATCTGGATCTCAGAATTTACAATCGTCAAATCAATTGAATTTTTTTACATATGATAGTACAAATATTACTCAAGAAAGAACAATTGATACTCATAATACAGGTGATGATTTATATCAAGTTCCTGGAGAGAATGGCGAATATGTACCTAATTATATGTCCTCAAAGGATGATAGATTACTCGTTAGTGGAAGTAATTGCGGTGGTGACCCTGTTAGTACTGGTACTAACAATTCTAGAGATGTATCTGAAAGGTGATAATCGATGTATTAATATATATAAAGTGTTTAATAGTATATAAATTAAATTATATTTATTTATTCTCGTTTATTAATTTATCCGGAATTGAAAATCCCATTTATATTTTATTTGCGCTAAACTAAAAAATATTAAAGAATTTGTCTGTCTGCCAAGACCCATAAAATTTAAAGTTCGCTTATCTAAAATTTTTTAAATACTGTAAATCAATTTTAGTAAATCCTGCATAATTGACAGGGTCGGTTTGATTGTTCAGAAAGCCTAAACAGATGAAAATTATTAATTTGATATGGCGCTTAATTGAATATTTGACAAGTATAGGGTGTCATTGATTTTATTCATGTCAGTTTAGGAATGGGAGACATTACAAAAGTTGACAATTAATAAGTCATTCAATTAGAAATATACAAAAGAAGGAGGAATACATAATCAGAAAAACAAACAAATCTTACTAAAACTATACCACAACGACAATCAATTGCCATTTTGTGCCAAATAAAGTTCCTTTTGCAATGATGTCACATGATCCTTCAACAGATCTCTTTCTTGTTTCAAAATATATAAATCAGCTTCAAGGTCCTTAATCTTCATATTGAAATGGGCTGTCTTAATTTGGTCTTCAGCCTCATCAATGTCATCATCACGCTGATGAGAATTAAATCCTTCACCTTCAGTTATAGGTGTAGTTCCTCTAGAACTAACCCTCCTACTTGCTTTCTTAAACATTTTTAATTCATTATTTTCTTTATTCAATTTATCCAATAATGATTTTTGATGTTCCAATTCCTCTTGATTCATTTTAAGAGCTTTACTAGTATTATTGACAGACTGTATAGCTTCTTTATAATTTACTTCGAGACTAGTTAATGAATTAATCCTTTCATCTAATTGAGTCTGCAAATCTTGTAATTCTTTACTTGTTTGTGCTTCACGTTGTTTACTTGCTTCTAATAAATCATCAATTTGAGTTTGTAATTTTGCAACAACAGGATTATTTTCAGGGGTGTGCACATCTCTTTCTGGAGTTGAAGATTGTGCATTCTTAACATTCCATAAATTAACTAAAGTTTCTAAACGGTTTGCAATATCATGTTTGGTTCTTTTGATTGATCCACTTCCTAATGATCTAGTAGCACTGCCTTCAGTATCTTGATCATTATCACCTTCAAATATTTCTTCTTCACTTGATTCATTTTCATCAACATGAATTGCTTTATAATTATCAAATTCCAATATCAAATTATCATATTTTGTTTTATAATCATTTAATTCTTTTTGAAGTGTTTCTTGTTCTTGTAATCTTCCAGTCAAATTATGAATCTTTTCATCTTGAGATTTGATAAGTTTTTGCAAATCATCCAATTCACCAATTTGATTATTCATAAATGGTTCAAAATCAGCAATTTTCGAACGTAAATTAGTATTTTCTTGTTCCAAATAAACCAATTTATTATCCAATTCTAATTTTTCCAATTTATAATCTACAGGTTCAACTGATTTTTGTTCTTCGACACCACTAACTTTCAATTGTAATTCTTCAATCAATGCATCCTTTTCTGCAAGTTGCTTAGCAAAGTTCTCTGCATCATGTTCTTGTGCTTGTTGTAATAATGAATTATGTTCTTCTAAACTTTCAATTTTTTCTGTTGCTTGTTGCATTTGTTCTTTAGTAGTAACCTTTAATGAATTCAATTCATTAGTTAATTGGGCCACGATTTGTTTGATTTTGGTGTCATCACGAACTCCAGGAGAAGGAGTGGTTGTAGCAGCTGCAATCGAAGCACCAGCGAAGGTCGCTGCAGCAGCACCAGCAGCCGCAGCCGGGGAAATAGCTGGAGACCCAGCTGCACTGGAAGAAGGAGAAAAATCTCTGGGCCTGGAAGATGTTTCGTTAGCAGTTTCTTCTGTTCCAGGGTATGGACTACCGGCGACGTTTGGTGACTTAATTTGTCGATCTTGGATGTATCCACCATCTTCAGGTATTGTTGCTTGAGTCAATTGTGGAACTTCACCAACGAGATTATTAGCTGGGTTTAAAGGTGAGAAGTTAGGGGTATTAAACTCTTCAGGTCCAGTAGAGCTACTTCTACGCAATCCATCTTGAGTAAGATTCGCAGAAGTCGCAATTTGTGGAGAAGGTGTACTATCCAAGAATTGGTCAACCAAAATAGTATCCAATTGATAAATCATTGTTCCAACTACTTGTTCATTATATTCTTCAAATGAATTCAAATTTTTAGGATCCAGATCAACATAATCATTCTTATCACCACCCATTATAATTAATTTATTATGCTTTGGGGAATAAGTCATTGAATGTCCACATCTTGGCCCAGGACCATTTTCTTCAGCTGAATCAGATAATTTAGACCAAACTAGGGTATTTAAATCAAGTACGTATAATGAACTATAAATGACTCCACTAAAGTCATTACCACCATATACAAATAATCGATCATTAACAATACAACTTGAATGTTCATTAACTGGAGGTGGAATATTTCCCGTAGTATTTAATCTAGTCCAAGAATCAGTACCTGCATCAAATAACCAAACATCATTAGAAATTTTTTCATTATTATAAACACCACCAAAAATATAAATTTTATCATGATAAATTGACATTGAATGATTTGTTAAAGGAGGTGGTTTAAAATCATTAGTTGGTTTAACTAATTCCCAAGTTGCTCTTGGAGATTTAAATGAATTTAATTCAAAATAATATAAATCATTAAAAACATCATTTTCTAATTGTCCGCCAAATAAGTAAAGCCGGGAAGAAGTTGGAGTTAATGAGATTACACCAATAGTATGACCATATCTTCCATGAGGTTTATTTAAGATATGACTTGGGATAGTATATTTATGATTGTTGGTATTAAACAAATAAAAGTTATTATCAGGAAATCCATTTGCATCAGTATCAACAGTATCACCTCCATAAATTATAAACGCATTACCACATAAAACAGCTGAATGTCCAACTCTTGCAGGTGGATTAATTTGATTAGCGATTTCTACATGTTGTGCAACATAATTGATAATTTCACCATCCATGTTTTCTTGAGGGGTAAGTTTCCAAGTATCATCAAATACAGAACCTTCTTTTAAACCACCCATTAAAAAGATTTCATTTTTTTCACTAGTGATTGAAGCAGCAGCATGTCTATAACGTGGAAATGGAGAATCAAAAAGTTTGAATCTATTCCAGGGGGTTGTGACAGCACTATTTTTCAGTTGAGTATGGAAGGAACCTCTTTGGGGAGAAACAACATCAGCCGTATATGATTTTGGAGATCTAAGAGGTTGCTGTTGTTGTTGCCGTTGTTGTAGTTGTTGCTGTGGTGGTGATTTCTGTTGGTTTTGATATTGATGTTGGTATTGTTGTTGTTGTTGTTGTTGTTGTTGTTGTTGTTGTTGTTGGAATTGTTGTTGTTGTTGGAATTGGTGCTGTTGCACTGGTGAATGTTGAAACAGCGGCATTGAATGAGTTTGAGAAGCCAGTTCTCTATAAGTTGAAGTTGGGGATTGAATAGCACTACTATTAGATTGATCAATTGGGGATTTCTTCTTATTTTTCAGACCTGATCTAATTGAAGAAGATCCTGATGAAACTGTATCGTCTGGATTTTGCTTGTTTTTCTTGTGCAAGCTTAATTTAAATCGAGCCATAGACAAGGGAGGAGAATGGAATTGAAAATGAAGTAATTCTTTCCTTAATCAAAAGTATTATAGAAAGTCAAAAATAGGGAGTAAATGGACAATTAATAATTTGATCAAATGGGAGATGTATGTTTTGTTTTGATGAGATTGAATTCAAATTGATTCAAATGAAATTTAAGCCAATTTGATTAAATTGTTCAACCAAAAAAAAAAAGAAGGGTTTTTTAGGGTTGTGTTGATTTTCTTTGCTGTGATAGAAATTCTTTGATTTTAATTTTTCTGAATGGATTTGGGAATTGATTTGTTGTTACACTTGTCTTTTTAAACTTTTCTTATTTATATTAATTGATTTGTTACTTTCGAAGAAACTGATTGGATAAAGAGAATTCACTTAATTCTAATTATCCTTAAGAGAAAGAGAGGAAAAGAAGGGGGGGGTTTGGGAGGATTATAAGTAAACTTGATATGAAAATAGGAAAAATCTTATTTGGTGCAAAAAGTTAATTGGAACAAAACAACAAAAAAATATCTTCTCCCGATTGTTAAGATTAATTGATTTGTACTACGACTTTCCCAATTGGGAAAATGTTTATAATATCAATTGTTGTTAACTTAACTTAACAATTGATCCATTCTTTATATGTATTGTTTAAATTGGAAATCTCCTAATTGGTATCCAAAATTATGATTACCGATTTTACTTAACCGAGGTTGGATATTTAGGTACCATAAGTAATTTCAAGTAAAATACAACCAAAAGAATATTCAAAACACATAGACATATATTTATTTGTGTCTCTTATCTTAACTTCTATTGAAGCTTCAACAGGCATATTTCTAATTCTCCACATTCTGCTCTATGTAATTTAATGTACAATATATTTGAAATTTGCACATGAGAACGCATCCATCGTTTTTTCGAAAGTAGAGATTATGGTAGATTCAATGTTAGAACAAACACACACACACCTCTTAGAAGGTTCCCCCCCTCATATATCTAATATATTGTAGATATCTAAGATGTATGCTAGATTTATTAATTTATAAATCGTAGATAGAATTTATATAAAGAAAATTTTAAGACAAATGACAAATTTAATTCCAAAATTTATCCAGAAGAAAATATTTTGCAACCAATTAAATTTTCTTTAGTTTTGGTAAAAGAAAATGAAATACTAAGGGAAATAGTAAGAAGTATAACCATAATTATCAATGAATTATTAATATACCTTTAGAGATATAAATTGTCATTTAATATATAAGGATTGGCATGTCAAGATTACTTTACTAAAAGATGTATACAGAGATTTTCTAAAGGTCTAAGGAGCAACTAAAAATTTCATTCTATTTTCTTTAACCACAAATTGTATAAATCATAGCTAAGTACTTGAAGATACTTCATACTGGCCTTATACAAACCGCACACCCCATTAAACATTTACAAACTGTGTGAAGTATATCAGTGTTGTTATTAACTTTCAGGAAACCTATAATGAAGCTAAGTTGAAATTATACCCTGAGACATTTAACATATCCGACATAATTGGGACGACATTTTTCGATCGTAAAAAAATTACAAACCAACCACTCACTACTGAAGGCTACAACTTCAACAATTTGACCAGAACTAACGATATATCAAGAATATAGGTATATATCGCAGTTATGGATACATATAACTTTGATCCAAATGTCTATCTCAATGAGATATTTAATTCTCCCGATTCTTTGAAAGAATTACCACAATTATTGGATCATACTCATAAATATAAACGTCAATTACAACAAGAGATCAAGATTGAAATAAATGAATATGATTACAGAAATACTTCATCTACTTTAAGCACAGAAATAGGGTCATTGATAGAAGATATCCGTCAAGTGAAGGCAAACTCAGCAACAACTCAAGAATCAATTACTTTAATGACAAGTTCAATTCAAAAATTGGATTGTTATAAGAAGAATCTTGTCCTTTCAATGACAATTATAAAAAGGTTACAAATGTTAGTAAATGCTCATAATACTTTGAGAAAGATTATATCAACTCATAATTATAAAGAAATATTACAATTATTAAGTGTAATGAAAGAATTATTATCATTTTTTAAACCATATCGTGCCATTGATGAAATTAATAAGATTAATTTAATGATTGTCAATACCCAAAATAAATTAACAGATGATATTTTCATTGACTTTGAAGATTATATGGAACATAGATATAATCGAGAAGAAGAACAATTGACATATGGGTGTGAAATTTTAGAATTGATTGATACAAAATATAAAGACAAGTTATTAAACTGGTTTTATAACTTACAATTGAAAGATATTAAAGCAATTTTTAACAATCTAGATGAAGCGGGATCTCTTGATAATCTAGATAGAAGATATATCTATTTTAATAAAATTCTAAAAGATATTCAAGCAAGATATGCCAAGGCTTTCCCGCAAGATTGGAGAATTGAAGTTGAAATAACAAAGATGTTTTGTCGATTAACAAAGAAAGATATCTCGAATCTATTATCTAGAACCAAACCAAACTCAAAAACAGTTTTGGATAACTTGACAACAACCTTGGAATTCGAAAAAAACTTGAACCAATTATTCCAAACTGGAGATTTCCATCAAATTATTTCCCTGGTATTCGAACCACATTTATCAATTTGGGTCCAGGAACAAGAAAAGCATCTTAATAGTAAATTGCTAGAATTCTCAGCTACTTCGCAATTACCTCCAGAATTCAAAGATGAGCAAGATATTAGTACCATATTACGTGTCAATAATGTCCCTAACATAGCCGTTTCATCCACGGAATTATTTAAAACTTATCATAAGATATTGACCCAAATTTTAAAATTAACCAATGGGGAAACATTGCTAGATTTAGCTAAATTATTCAGCAAATATTTATTTGAGTATCATAACAGGATATTATTACCGATACTTCCAAAAAATGATAATGATTTGGGTAGTGGTATTGAATCGTTAAAGTATTTAACAATGATATTGAACACAGGAGACTATATTGTCAATAATATTGATGATTTAGCTGGAAAGTTTTCAAATATAGTTCAAGAAGAATATAAAGAAAGAATACCCGCATTTGACGCCAGTAAAGAAATATATTTCCAATTAATCAATCGATGTATTTCCACTTTGGTTGTAAAATTGACCAATGACTATAAATATTGCTGGCGAGAATTTGTCAATTTTAATTGGCAAGAATTGGATGTCATTAATGATGTTTCTTCATATATGGCAGAGTTGAAAAAAGTCACAATAAAGAATATTAAGGTTGCTTTACCTTTGATCATAAGAGATAGTTATATTAGGAACTTTAATGATAGATTGGTAGAATTATTGGTTACAACAATCGCCAATAATTTGAAAATGGTCAAGACATTGAATGTATTAAGTTATGAACAAATACTTTTAGATGTCTCAAGTTTGAAAGAGTTAGCTTTACAATTCCCATTGTATTCTGATCCTAATTATGATGATTCAAAGGCAGCAGAAACACAAAGTTCAAAATCATATCAGAAATTTGTAACCAATCATTTCCATGACTTGGAATCGTTGTTAAAATTATTAATGGTTCCAACAATTCCAGTGGAAAATATAATAGAAAGTTATTTTGAATTGATAGGAGATAAATCGATTCAAAACTTTATTAAAGTGTTGAATTTAAAGAAGATTAATAGGAATGAACAAAGTATTTATGTGGAGAACTTCAAGTTACAATTAACCATTGAAGATGGTTCCTTAATTACCAGTTGTCAATTATTATCAAACTTGGAGGATAATGAAGACACCTTGAGTTCATCAACCCATTCTTCTAGAGTGTCGACTCCAGTTCCAACTGATATGAAGTCACCTAAGCTTTTGCCAGTAAAGATGAATAATTTTGAAAAGAATTTACGAGAATTTGCAATGACTGGTGAAACTCATGTTAATAAATTTAATGAAAATATTAAAAATTTTGGGAAATTTTTCCGTAAGGAAACCAATGAGTAATTAAATTTACATAGGAAAAATAGATAGACAAAAATGAATATCAGTATCAACCTTTTCTCTCTATTGTACATACAAGCATGCCACGTTTAGTTAAAATTTGTGGTATTAAAACTATAGAAGCAGCAAGTGTTGCTATTGATAATGGAGCTGACTTACTTGGATGTATCTTAGTACCCAATAGAGCCAGAACAATCTCACATGAAATAGCTCAACAAATTTCCATCAATGTCAAAAAGGCAAGGGAATCCAGAAATAGAAAGTTAAAAACACCAACTGAGATCCAAGAATATTTATCAATGAAATCATTTACAGATCCTAATGAATATTTTGAAACAATATCACAAGTATTGATTGAAAACGGGCCGTTTTTAGTTGGGGTGTTCAGGAATCAATCTATTGAAGAAGTATTTTCCATAGCGAATGAACTACAATTAGATTTTATTCAATTACATGGAAGTGAAGATAAAGTAGATTTTATAGAAAGAAATGGAGATTCAAGGTTTGGAATAATTCCAAGATATGTCATACCCAAAGAGCTTGAAGGTTTGAAAGTTCAACTGGTTGAATTAATGAAGAAACGTTCTTTAAGTATACCGTTGTTAGATTCCGAAGCTGGCGGAGAAGGTAAAGTTATAGATTGGGATTATATAAGTGAGAACTTGGGATTTACAAGAGTCATACTTGCAGGGGGTCTTCATCCTGGAAATTTAAAAGATACGGAAACTATTAAAAATGTCATTGGATATGATGTAAGTGGAGGAGTTGAGGATGAACAAGGAAATAAAGACTTACAAAAAATCAAAGATTTTATTAAAATTGGAAAAGCACTACCCTAAATAGACTATATATACATTTAATCATCTTGATCCCAATTACCTGGTCTTTGTTGTTTTGGCATAACTGGACCACCAGCTCTCTTGGCCATAATAATTTGATCAATTGATAAAATTGTGTTTGTGGCTTCAACAGCTAAAGCAATAGCAGATTTTTTAGTAGACAACACGTCATATATACCATTGTTGGTAACATCTATTAAATCACCCGAGTCAATATCAATACCCATTGATAAACCATCATCATTCGCATGAGCAGCATGGAGATTACTCAACATTTCAGTAGAATCAAACCCTGAGGTTTCAGCTAATACTCTTGGAATTACTTCAAATGCCTTAGCAAAGTTCTTAATTGCTAATTGCAATAAACCTGGAGTACTTTCTCCATAAGCAGTTATTCTCTTCATTAATTCAATTTCCACTGCACCAGCTCCTGGTAACAATCTATCATCCTTTAATAATCCCTTAATGGAGTTGACACCATCATCAATGGCTCGTTCAATATCATCTAAATTGTTTTGAGTAGCACCTCTAATAACAATAGTTGCTGTTCTTGATATGGATTCGTCTTGTCTAAAAATAGTAACTCTATCACCACCAATTTCTTTTGTTTCAATGATATCAATTTCACCCATTTCATCAGGCATAGGTGCACCTAATCTTGGTAATGGAGTAGCACCACAAACTTGACAAAGTCTTCTTAAATCAAATTTAGATGGAACTCTTAACACCAAGATTCCGTATTTGTTAAAATAATGTAAAGATAATTCACCGACATTTGAACCAGCAATGACTACTCTTACGCCGGAATCACTGATTTCTTTACAAGCTTGATCCAATTGTTGTTCTTCGCCTTTTGTAAAGTCAAGCATTTCTTGGGCATTATGCAACAACACAGTTCCCTTAGTTTCGGTTGTGGAAATATCAATTGGACATGTGAATACAACAACTTTAGATTTAGAAGTAATATTTTTAACTGAACCTTCAGGTTCTCTTGGGAAAACCATACCTTTAATAACTTGTGATTGAGATAAAGAGGATCCCATAATCTTGACGACTCTTATGTTATCAATATTGAAGGACTTTGGATTCTTTGGATTAATGATTGATTTGACGGCTTGAACAACTAACTTGGAGATTAAATCTTCATAACCATATTGTTTGGCAGCTATAACTGGTTTGACTGCTTTTATTAATTGATCTATATCTAATACTGAATCAACTTTATCCACAACGAGTTTTTCTAATGTTTCCATAACAAATTTATTAGCTAAATTAAACCCTTGAATGATTTCTGTGACATTTAATCCAAGCACTAATAATTTTTCAGCAACATTAAGGAATTCACCAGCTAAGATAATGACCAAGTTGGTATTATCACCCATTTCAAATTCTTGTTGTTTAGAAGCCATAATCAAGATCTTTACTACTGGATGAACAATTTCTAATTCGTTAAGCATTGTAGCTGCATCATTAGTTATGAACTTTTTACCCAACTTGTTAACAATGATCTTGTTTCTTCCACTTGGACCCATTGAAGTCAATAAAATTGAAGAAATTTCACGAACAGCTTCAATGTTTCTAACAATTGCTCCGTCCGCATTTGAGAAGGATTGATATCCTTGTTTGAATAACCCTGAATTTGGGGCTTGAGGGAGTTTAAGGGACATGGTTGCAGTTGATTGATGATTTCCTTAAAGAATTTAGATAATGTTGTCAAGTTTTCATAGAAGCCTTAAGAATTTGGAAAAACAAAAGAAAATTTTTTGTATGAAGATGGCTATATGCAGTCCGAATGAAATGACTGCAAAAATCACGAAAGTAACTTTGACCATATTTGAAACAGCGAGTTTGAAGCATAGATTGTATGATCGGAATATACTTGGTAGTGATTCAAGTGAATCGGCTGTGATAGGAATGCAATAGGTTTTGGAAATGGTACCATATTTAGTGTACATTGGTTGTTCCGAAACAACATCTTCTAACAAGGAAGAGCTACTGGCTTAAGCAGTGATCATTAATGAATCAATCAGAGTCAATTTAGTAATGTATTACTCGTGTTGAGTAAAAAGGAACGCGTTTAAGTGTTGTTTGGAAGTAGTTCAAGTCAAATCTGCAGCCTCACTTAAAACCACGAAAAGGCAAAAAAAAAAATTGAAAAATTTCTCCATTACCATCAAAGGTAGCAAGTCAACCATCGAGATGCTCTTGAGAACAATAAACCCTATAGGAATAATCAGGCCAAGATTGATCAGGCCTAGCATATTACATCATGTTCCAAAATTAATCACATTCAATTCTCAAATAAGGGCATTTTCCACTAAACCCGAACCCACACCCAAAATTGACCCAATTATTAACCACAAAAATCAATTATGGACAATTCCAAACATCTTAACATATACAAGAATAATCACTACTCCATTCATAGGATATTTCATTACTACAGGTGAATCTAAGGCAGCACTACTGCTTTTTACATATTCATGTGTAACAGATTTCATTGATGGATATATTGCTAGAAAATTTAATATGAAATCAGTTGTTGGATCTATTATTGATCCATTAGCCGATAAGTTCTTAATGACGGTTTGTACGTTATCTTTAGCATATGCTAATTCGATTCCTTTAAGTATAGCCAGTGTGATAATCGGTCGTGATGTGATGTTAAGTTTTATGTCATTTTATTATCGATGGAAAAGTCTTGATCATCCCAGAACATTTAATAATTTTATAAGTATTGGACAAAAACCAACTATCAGTGTTCATCCAAACTTGTTGGGGAAAGTGAATACAGCTTTGCAAATGTTTTATATCGGAAGTTTAGTATATCGTCCTTTGATAGAGACATTTATTGAATCCAATTTAGATTTGTATTTTCTGGGATTAGGTGGGATAGTTGGAATAACGACTATCTTAAGTGGAGCCACATATGTGTTTAGCAGAAATTCAATGAAATATGTAAAATAGATGGATCGTTATAGATTATTAATAAACTTTTTAAAACTTTAGTCTTTTGATATTTCATTACTGTTAGAACTTTTAGGTGGAATAATAATAGTAAGTTAAAACTATGATTTACAGATGCATTGAAATCTGTATAAGCTATGTTTTCCGATAAATTTTCAATAGAAACTATAGATTGTATCGTACTATTGGGATATGATATTTCATTATGCTTTAAATGTATGAGCTTTAATATATTGGATAAACAAAAACGTTCCACTTGTTTACGATTGAACTTAATAAATATTGGAAAAACCCACAATAATCTATTCTTGACGTTAGATGAAGAGGTTATAATTTCCTCAAGACATTTAATTAAGATTCTTTGTAGCAGCACAGAGAATATTTTACTTTTAATATTATGTTTAATCTTATTAGTAAATAAAAAGATTACTTGATCATGATATTTCAGGTATGGCAATTTTAAGAAATAATTAATGACATTAAGCATTTCTTCAACATTAGTAGTATTGTTATTTATTGTTTTGAGGTTGTAATTGTAATAATTGATGTTATAGTTTCTTGATAGAATAGCTTCAAAATTGGAATCAATTGGATCTCTCAATTCTTTGATTGTCTCTATTTTGGAAGCATTAGCCAGAGTGTTCTTCTTACATTTATATAGAAAAAGACATACCGTCAATGGGTTTTTGGTTTCTTTGTTTAGATCTAATAATGGACAATGCCAACAAGATCTTTAAAGTTAACAGCATAGATACTGGAATAAGATTAACCAAGTTCCAGTTTTTTTTTACAACCATTTTTTTTTTAGGTAAAGATTTAACGAAATTTTGCAACAAATGAAAAAAAAAATAGACAACATTCATTTTAGCGAAACAGAAACAAATATATTGGCAAAGACAGAATAGAATTACATTTGGTTCAGTAGCATATATGAATCCACACTCCAATGGGAATCCTGAGCATCACTTTTGTGACAATCTTGAATGCTTCACTATTAGTTTTCTAGACTCCTACAATCTAGTAGAATTTATTTAGTCGCCAAATAGAATAGAATAGTGTAGAGATTTTCTTGTCAATGCTTAGATCTACTTGGTAAAAAAGAAGAACTTAAAGCAACCTGATGGGAAGTATAGCAACGTACCAACTCGGAAATATATAAGTTAGTGGAGTGGGGGCAACTTAGTCTCCCCCACGTTGAAAATGTGTATATTTCCGTAAGAAAATAATTGATGAGTGTGGCGTTCCAGGGGAGTTATTCCGAATTCAACCATTATTAATGCGCCGCACCGCCAAGTTAAATTACATTTACATATAACAGAAGAAAAAAAGAAGGGTCTATTGGTAACAGGAAAGTCAGAAGCAATTGAACGACTTTTCTAATTAAGTTGCATTGCTTGAATGTGTATTCCCGGAGAAACTATAGAAGTCTCAATGGATATCAAATTGATTCGGAATACTTTAGATTATTTAGTAGTAGTCACTCTAAAAAATGACTAGAATCGGACCTTTGTCCAAATTACAATGGTAAAAAATAAATTAACATATGACGACGATCTTTTCTTTTCTGAAATTTGCCCTTTTCTTTTCCATTTTCCTCCTGATTTTAGTGTTCTTCCGTATTATTAATTGTTTATTGGTGATCATTTATTCATTGATCATTTTCTTAATTATCAATGTTGTTAATAGAACAAAGGAATTTATGAATTAGAAATAAGTTTTTAAGTTTCTATTTTTTGTTTTTGGCTTTCCAAAATTCTTTCTTTATCTTCATTCTTTTTTTTTTTTCAGATTATTAGTTTCATCATCAGGTTATTAAACTGAAACTACCCAACCAATATAAGTTAACTACTACATAACTGCTACACCCACCCACTCCTCCACCCCTGACTCAATTCGTTCTAGTGCACGATTTTTTAGTTTTTTCATACCCCTTCCCCCCCCCTTATTTTGCGTAACGCATTCCTTAATTTGTGATCATTCTAGTAGAATCTAAACCAATGAATTCCAATACCATCATATATGGCCAACCACAACCACAACAACCACAACAACCACAACAACCACAACAACAGCAACGTGAGATACTTCAATCGACACAACAACAACAAGTACAACAAGTTCAACAAGTCTTACAACAAGAAGTGGCAAATGAACAAAACTTTTTATTAAGTGGTGCCCCAGAAGTTGGTAAGTTAACTCAAGCAGATATAAAAGTAACAGAAAACAATCTGTTGATTACTCCTACATCAAATAATACAAATACAAACAATACTCCGATTACTACAATGGGTACAAACTCAATTATAGGAACACTGGGATCAGGTTTAAATAAACCAGTCAGACCTAATCCTTTCAACTTTTCCGAATTCTCATTCCATAGTCCATTTGATGTCAATTCATATCCAATCACAAACCCTCCAATATTCGATTCAACGTTACTCTTACCATTTTCTTCAGATGGCGTCCCAAGAAGAAGAAGAATTTCTATTTCAAATGGTCAAATTGGTCAGATTGTTAATCATGAAGCATATTTTGATAATGATGATATGAGTTCCATTCTCGATCAAGATTTACAATCTCTTTCTGGAACAAATAGATATAATGATTTTAATAAACCACGGACCGGAAGTTTAAGTGATGGTTTCAATCAACAAACAGGGCTTTTCCCTCCACCATCTCTGGGTCCATATTCACCATTATCTCAAAATACAACTCCGAACAATTCATCTCCTATTTCAGGAAATAATGTACAACAATTTCCACCACAGCAGCAACAAATTCCTCTTCAAAACCAAACCATCGGAGTTCCAATACAACAACAACAGCAGATACGATCGCAGCAACAGTCAGCACCTCCACCACAAATAGTGTCCGGTGTGGCTGGGGTGCCTCCACCAAATCATCAATTGATTTACAATAATGAGGTGATTTTTAACCCCAACAATGGACCAATCCCAGGAACAGCTGCTTGGAAAAAGGAGAGATTATTGGAAAGAAATAGAATTGCCGCATCCAAATGTAGACAACGTAAAAAACAAGCTCAAGTACAACTTCAAGATACTGTTACAAAACTTGAAAAAGATTTGGAAAAGAGTAAATCACAAATAAAGAAATTGGAATCAGTTTTACAAATTTATAATAAAACCTTAAAAGAACATTTTGAGAATGGTAGTGATTTAAATAAATTAAAAGAAATTGTTAGCCAAATTGATAAAACCCTGAAATCCTAAAGAAACAAGTTTGATATTCAATATTGTTATGTATATTTACTGTGTTTTCAAAAATTATTAAGTTATTTTCTATTTTTATATTATATGTATTAATTCTAAGCAATGACCTTTCCATCTTGGTCAATTAAAGATTCATTAGTTACTTGAGGTCCTCCTCCAATAGAAGTTAAAATGATTCTAGAAACACCTTTGTAGATATCAGAAGAAGTACCTTCAATAATAACCTTTTCTAAAGTTGTAGTATCAAATTTCTCCCAACCACCAACTTGATTGAAATAAGTATGAATTAATCCCAAGACTTTTGATTCATTAGATTCATCATAATAAATGACAGCATTTGGACCAGCATCAAATGTATAAGCAGCAATAATTTTTCCTTCTTGTTCATTTAATTTATGAATCAACTTAATAATTCTTTTGGAAGTATCATTAAGATAAAAGATTGGTGGATAAGAATCTAAACAAACAGCATGGAAAGAATTAGAATCTTTCATAGTTAATTCACCAAAAGTTTCAAACTCTTTATTTAAAATACTTTGTTTCATTTCTTCAAATCTTTTTGGAACAACTTCATTAATTCTATATTGGAATAAATCAGATGTTTTAACAGTAGTTTGCATACCAGTTGTACTTGGTGTATCTTTCTTATCATCACTAACAACCAAAATTGCCGCCTTCAAAGTGGGCCAATGTGATAATGGAGCAACTTCAACTGCCTTAGAATCTTCACCGTTTTTCAATTCACCCATTTCCCAAGCAACAAATCCTCCAAATAAAGATCTACAAGCAGATCCAGAACCTTTTCTGGCAATCTTGGATAATTCAGACATATCTTGAGGTAATTCATATAATTTTGCAATAGCAGTAATTAATGCAGCAAATCCAGCAGCCGATGATGCTAAACCAGCAGCAGTTGGGAAATTGTTTTCAGAAACAATACGTAATTTGAATTGAGATAATTTTGGTAAAGAAGTATTAGCCGCTTCTAATTCTGCTCTTAATCTTCTTAAATCGGCAAGACAAGCTTGAGTTCTTGGTGATTCTAAAGATTCTAAATTTCCATTTAAATATAATTCATCTTTGATAAATGATTCACACGTCGCAGCAGTAGTTAAAGTTCTTAAATCTTTTTGAGATAATGTAACTGAAATAGAAGAATTGGTTGGTAAATTTAAATCTTTATCTCTCTTCCCCCAATATTTTAAGGTCTATAGTTATTAAAGTTAGTACAAAAAAGTCTTTTCATAATTAAGTCAAGAGCCATTAAAAAGACATACCGCTATATTGACAGGAGCAGTAACAGATGCTGAATACATTTGTAGGATTAGGATGGATAGTTTTGGGTTTTGTTTTATAAAATTATAAAGAAATGAAAATTAATAATTTTTCAACAAAACCAAAGGAGATTTTCAAAATGAATGTAACATTTTTTTTTTAATTTACGACACGCGGCGGCGTATAATTAATTAATTTGGTCGTATAAAGAGATATGAGTTTAAACTTTAATACAATAATATAATATTGTTACATAAAAAAATCAAACTGAAATACACACACTAAAACAAAAATTCAATCAATAAGGAAATACAGACACAATCTTACAAATTGTAAGTAAATGGAAAGGAGTGGATATCTCTCTCTCTCTCTCTCTTTATGTCTATTTTTAAAAAATAATACAAACAGGCATTCTTATTCCATTCACACTTATTTTCTAGTCCATTTCCATAATCTGGCTTTACAATCACCACTACCAGTTGCAAAAATACCTTCAGTTCCTTGTGAATTTAAAGATACAGCCACGGAAATGACTGAGTTACGATGACCTTGTAACATTAATAATGGATTACCAGAAATTTGATCCCAGAAAATAACACCACGATCTTTTGAACCTGAAAGAATATATTCATTATTTGGAGTACAGCAAACAGATAAAACAAAATCTTTATGACCAATATAAGTAACATCACAACTTGATTTTTTGTTAGTTGAATGTGGGGCTGGTTTATCTTCTAAATTCCATAATTTAACTGTTCTATCTAAAGAACCTGAAGCAATTTGATTTCCATTAACAGAAAAGGCAACAGAATAAACAGAATCTTCATGGCCATTACCATTTTCATTACCAGAATCTAATCTTTCAACTAAAAATCCAGTAACTGAGTCCCAGACTCTAACGGTACGATCAAGAGAACCAGCAGCAATTAATTTACCATCAGGAGAAACAGCAACAGTAGTAACACCATCTTCAATTGAAAGAGTTAATGAACATTGAGATGATCTTAAATCCCAAATTCTAACAGTTCTATCACCAGAACCAGAAACTAATCTATCACCATCTGGGAAAAAGTCCAAGGAATAAATATCTTGTTCATGACCTCTTAAAATCTTAATAATTCTTTTAGTGGTTAAATCCCAAATTCTAATTAATTTATCTTCAGCACCAGTAGCTAATAATTTACCATCTGGTGAAAAACAGACTGATCTAATATATAAATCTCCATTTGCAGAGGATGCAGCAGCGGCAGCTTCAGGAGATTCATTAGTTTCACCTGGTTTGGTAGCATTATCACCAGCATTTGCGGCATTTATATCAGTTGAATTATTATCATCAACCAATTTTGCCACCAATTCTCCAGTCTCAACATTAAAAACTTGGGTAGTTTTATTACAACCAGTAGCAATGAATTTACCATCCTTAGAGAATCTAACACAACAAACCACTGAAGAATGATCTAAAGAATGAATTAAATCAACATCCAAGTCACGACTAAATGCTGGGTTATACAAGACATAATATTCAGTCTTTTGTTTCTTAAAATCTGGATTTGCTTTGGATACATCCAAATCTGATAAAAATGGAGGAATTTCTTTAACATGAACAGCCTTTTGAGCAGGATTGACAATATATTGAGATTTATCGATAACTGTTAATGCAGTTGAAGTTTCAGGACCGACAGTTGCAGGTTTAGTAAGTTCTGGTTTTGCAACTTGTGGAGAAATTGGTTTAACTTCTTGTTTTGGAGGAGATTGCTTTATTGGTGGAGGTAATGCTTGAGCAACCGGAGGAACTTGGGTTGGAGCAGTTGGTTGTTGGTAACCTCCATAAGGTAAACCATTAGGCTTTTGTTGAGCTTGTTGAACTGCAGCTTGTTGGGCAGCAACAGCAGCTTGTTGTTGTTGTTGTTGAGCTTGTTGAGCTTGCTGCTGTTGTTGTTGTTGTTGCTGTTGTTGAATTTGAGCTTGTCTGTCTCTATTTTCCAATTCAGTTTTTAATCTTAATATTTCTTCTTCATAAGCTTCTTTAATCTTTCTATGTGCCATTTCTAATTCATAAACCGTTTGTCTTATTTGTTGCATTTCAGCAGTTTGTTGATTGTACTTTAAATCATAATCTTCCTTAACTTGTTTAAAGCTAGATGCTTCATTTAAAGCATATTCAAATTCAGCTTTAACCGCATCTAATAATTCATGCAATCGTTGTTGATGTTGTTGTCTTTGTTGAGCTTGTTGTTGTTGAGCTTGCTGTTGCTGGGCTTGTTGTTGTTGTTGAGCCTGTTGAGCTTGTTGTTGTTGTTGCTGTTGCTGTTGTTGCTGTTGTTGTTGAGCAACAGCAGCTGAATTAGAAGTGTATACTGACATTACTTAACAATCTTATATTCAATAAATAAATTAAATAAATAAATAATTGATTGATTGATTGTTAATTGTAAAAAGAAAAATTCTGAAAGAGAAAAATGCAAAAATTGAATTTTTGATATTTTTAATTTTTGAAAGCCAAAAAAAAAAAAAAAAGAATTTAAAACACTGCTGGAGGAGAATTTACCCTTTTTTTTTTGAATTGAGAGACAACCACCAACAAAAGAGTGAAAATGAAAATGAGACACATAAATCAACAACCGACATCACCAACACCAAACAATTTTTTTTTTTTAAAGTTATCATTTTGGATTAATAAATTTCAACTGAGATTTGAAACCCCCTACACCCCCCCCTTTTTACCAGATAACAGGAACAGATATATATTTATCCATAATATTACCTCATAATCAATTGGTGTCGTTTCTATACAAGACTGCCGATTTTATATTGACACACAATTGTCATTCCTGCATTATCCACAATATTCTTTGGAACATCAAAAATTTACACCCCCTGTTTTCGGCGATTAATTAGTTTTTTTTCCCTTCTTTGCACCCCGTGTTGTTCTTTTTCTTTCGTTCCTGAAATAAAGCTCATCTGATTGGTAGTGTAATTAGTGACAAATTTTTACATACTCTCTCTCATAACAAAAATTATAATTTGGAACAGGGTTCTTTATTGCAGGCAACTCGTTCCTATACAAGGAGTCTCAAAAAAGATCTCATCTTTGCCTATACGAATACATCCTAGTCATACAATGGAATGGTACCCCAACTACAATTTGATTATTGATTGACAGCTGTGATATATTCCCAACCCCATTATTTTCAGTTATAGTGGAATTTTTGCAACCAGTTTTACAAATATCGCCAAATCCGCCAAAAAATAGTAGTGTACAAGCAAGTAGGAAGCGAAAACTTGGTTTAGTGGATGTTTTAGCTTGACTCATACCTTTCTGAAGGGACACCTCCCCCAATAATAGCAGCTTTGGAAACGGTAAATTGATTGTTACATCTATAGACCTTTTGAGCCTATTATATCAATCCATCTTTTATTCAAACAGCCATATGCCATCAAGTTACACCGAAATCAATGATATCACTCATGCTTTTTTGGAATCAAATACCTGGCTAACTATGTCCATCATTAGGGAGAATGTTCCACATTATTTTATCCAATATAAATTATCTTCTTTATGGGTGCTTGTAGCAGAATTCAAGATCCACTACCAACACCAAAATGGATAAGATAGAGATACGTACTCCCAAGATTGATCAATGAGAACTAACCCTATAGTATCCGGAATGTCATCAACTCAAACATCACTAAAGATATCTTTGAATTGAATTATCAATTGCTCCACCTTAAGGATCATCTTAAGTAAGCTGTCGTTGGAGATATTTAGATATCCATTTATTAGGTGACTATTTTAAGAGCAATTGCCAGCATCTTTCTAAACTCGAACGAGTCAAAATATAATTCTTTCTAGTAATGATTTCCGCTAGTCATAGTTATATAATTGATTGAGAACAAAATTGCAACTAAAAAAGAGATACAAATCAGTTAGAATTAATCAGGCTAGGCCATTAATACCGGGAAATTTCTACTAGATACCAGTGATTATCACGCACTGTAGCAATAATAGATAAAGTACATGTATTAGGCACAAAACAGAAAATGTTTATTTGCTAAACATCCAGGCATCCCGACATAATCTTTTCATATATTTGACCGATAAGGGCATGGTTCCCCCAATCTGCTTCTCCAACTATCTAGTATGAACGACTGCAAACTTGTCACGGTAGCTCCGAAATTAGCGCTTCTTCTAAGTCCGCGTTGCTCCTCAATGGCTGAGGAAGTTTCAACATCGCCATAGGACAACAAGAAATGCAGTTGGGGTTGCTGGCACACATTGTATTTCATCTGCGCTCATGTAGAGACGACAATTCGCCGCGACCGCCGAGTTTGTATTTCACATCAGCATCTGTGGCGGCATCGGTATGACGGCTACCGTACTTTCTCATGACGTTTCCGCACTGTTCTTTGACTTACATCTAAATGGCCATTGCCCGGTGGAGTTATGCCTCACGCATAACATGGCGATAGTTCTTGACCAACCATAGAGAGCACTTTTTCATCTTCTTTGAAAGCGTGATGTGACATTCCCCAGAAAAGTGTTCTACCGTTGTAAAATAAGCACCAGCTTGGGATAAGGCTCAATCGATATGCTCAACATAGGACCAAGCACATCAGAGGCACCCTATGTGTACTGCCATTTTGTATGCCGTTCCTAATGGACACAAAGCACGTTTTCCCTGTATAAACCAACTATTCTATTCACCTAGTGCAACAGTTATGAGGAACTATTAGATGAGAAGGGAACCTCTTCTTCTGAACGGATACTTGTTAGGCCACGTCTTAGTTAGTTAAGAATAGTCGCCTGCTTATCGGGGGTGGGGGTTAGGGGCACCAAGGTATGTGTTATTAGCTAAAGGCGTTATATAGTTTTCTTTAACTTGGATCTGGATGGTGCAATTGGAAATCCTGTTTAAGGATGTCGTTAAAACGTTCCATACAACTTCCTCAATCGTCGAAGTGGGGCAAAGTCTTTGAAGATTCGAAACCAAGCTTTAACCCCAAGCAATATTCAAGAGGGATCTGTAAACTGTCGATTCGTGTGATCTTTCGTATGCATTCTAACATATAGCTAAAACTTGATTCTAAATTTAGCTGAGAGTACGTACGAGCTGTATTATGGCTATGTATTCAATGGTTTTTATTATTGATTTTATTTAAAAATTGTTGTATTTAATGGAACATTAAAAGAATGTATAGTAAGTTGCTTGAAAGTTGAGGTGGAGATGAATTCTTTCAATGTGCAGTATAAGTGAAAGCACTAGATATGACTGTTTTAGAGAACCCAATGCGAGTGCGCTTTAACTCTTGACCGGTGGTATATACACCAGACACTATATGATTAATAATCCGGAGACCTATGGGTATGCGACCGAAATAGCATTTCCAAACTTGGCAGAAGAATCAGAAGCTTTTCCTTGTGTGACCTTGTTGAGCGAAGATAAAGGGCTGGATCAGTTTGACTTTGACCATACTGAGAAAGGATGCGCCTTTGTGATTGTTTACAAGGGTGGTTCTGTTCGGAATGCCATCTCATATAGGCTTTGCGGGAAATTACTACGTCGCATGTGTTTTCACTTTTCTAAACACGAAGGTAATGTGTACACGAACTCTATGAATAGGGGGCCCAGCAAATTCCATAAGCACATTGAAAGCAATATTCTGCTTGATGGAGTTCTGCAATGGAGCAAATTAGATTGCATGTTGGGGGTTAAAAAATGCATTGATCCGACCGACCAGTTTACTTAAATATGCATCATACTATTGTCTAGATTAAACAATTGTAAGAGACAACCAATTGGCTCAGATAATTGAATATTTCTTTCTGGAATTTCGAACCGGCCCCAAAGGCAAGGAATACTCTACCTCTCTTCGATCATTTCAAAGCAAAGGCAATAGATTTCTTGCCAGTCCATAATATTTCTTCCTAATCACCAAAAACAAAGCAATAGGGAAACAAAATTCTCTGAATTCTCTAGATTTTTGTTTGAACCATTTTAATTTGAATCCGAACGACGAATTGATAAGCAATTCAGACCTCGCGATCAATTCATCATGTTGTGACTAGAATACATGTACGCGAAGTGACATTGACTGTTTTAGAGTGTTTTGGATAATCCACGTGTTGTAATCGAAGGTAGACCTAGAAGGATACGCCAACTACGACATGGCTTGATAGACATCTTCATTTAAGTATTGTCATGGACTGGGATAATACGAAGTAAATAGCTGATACAGGATAACAAATTAAATATGACTTCCGAAATATATAATGTCAATTGTATTGGAATTTTGACGAATATTAGCTTTTGCAGGTTCACTGTCAGACTCAGCTACTTGATACCATATACAACGATTATCACCCTCTTCAATTTCATCATCGATATTATCTTGGAAATCTCCAAACAATTCTGCTTCTTCATCTGCAAATATGAAAAGAAATTTCATTGTGGAATGATATTATTTTGAGTTAATTCAACGTACCACGGGAGAAGATAGTAGCCCTGGTTAAATTCTAAATGAATCATTTTTATTTTTAAATTGTTCCATTGTGTAACGATTATCACTTTTAGTAAATGAATTCAACTATTAAACTAAAGCAAATCTCCAAATCGAGTTCGATAGGTTGATTTTTTGAACTATCTTGTTGAAGTTCCAAGTAATTAGGTCAGTTCTTTGTTGATAGCCACCCCCTCTAATTGAATCTAATAATATTAAATTACATGCTTATTCATAATTATACTCGATGGCTACATCTGATGTTGGTAATCCATGAATAGTTCAATTTAGTAGCATTTTCAGTTCGAAAATTGATAGTTGTGGGGTCGATGATCTAGATTGATAGAATCAGTTTACAAACAAAGTTTCACAAATCATATTGCAGTGGAAGGCAGTGTTGTTTGATCTTATTTAGTCGTTCTTGAATTAAATTGGGTACGGTAAAGATTGCAACTCAACCAAGCAAGTTTATTCAAGAATGAAGATTTATGAGACTGAAAAGAAAATGAATGTCTGTTGTCTCAGTTAAAAAAATAATTTCTGTCTGAATTTTATTATCGCATTTCTTTGCATTTGGTGGAGGGATCATTTCCACGACATTCGCGTTATTGTTTTTCATTAAATAACACCAACCTCATACCGTTTTGATCGAACAAAAAAAACCGAAGAGAGAGAGATGGACACTACGTACACCATATGTTCCTAGCTATACTGGCAGAGACTTAAGTGAGTATCTTTTTGTACAAATTAGGGCTTTGAATATCCTACAGAAATAGGAAACAAACAACTAGACACCATGTGTAATCCTCTATCTGGAATGGGGTCTCTAACAGTTCTCGCATTTTGAAAGCAAGTACAATTTGTAGATTTGTAGATAGTTTGAGTTCGTATAGGTAATGCTGATTAAAAGGACAATCAAGAAAATCAGTTATAGAAATAATAGCTCCGTATGATCTATATAAAAAACCCATGAGTATAAGCATAAGAGTATGTATGCATCTCATCTAAAGGCAACAGAAACGTTTTTTACTTTAGTGACGATTACCCGCACAAAGCCGACTGTTAATCGCACACATTCTTTTTTTTTTTCTCTTATAATTATCATTCTTGAATGACTCCTCAGAAAAGTTTACAGGGTGATCTGAGAAGCGATCCACAAGTGAAACTAATACCAAATAGCTCCCACAAACAAAGATGACCAAAATAAGGTTAGAAATACTCATTATTCCATTGAATTATGCAAATAAACCAACAAGCCAGATAGATCGACTGGTTTGTAAACGTTTTTTACATTTAGAAAACCCAGCAATTGATCTTAAAGAAGTTAAAGAACAACTTGATACTAGATACAAAAAATTATATCCAAATGAAGATAAGCTCGAGATTGAGGGACTTCAAGATACAGATCTTTGCGATTTAGATCCCGATTATTGTCTTTCTGATGTCTTTAACTCAGGTGATATTTTAAGAGTTACGGTGAGAAATCAATTTAAAAGTACTGGCTTATCAGTATCTAAGGGAAGAATTCAAGGTACGCAGAGCCCAAAAGTGCTTGAGAAGGCACCAATTGTTACTTGTAGTCGCAAGCGAGGTAACCAATGTCTTGATAATAGCGATACCAATGATTCTGTTAACCAATCAAAGACAAATACAACTACAGTGTTGCCACAGCCCAAAGAACACGTATCTTGTTCTGGACCACTTTTCAAACCTCAGATAACAGAAGCTATAATCGTTCCGGAAAAGAAGCATCGAGTGCCCTCATCTTCTCCCAAAGATAGGGGTAATGGCAAGACAATTGCATCAGCCACTGTATCTATCCCTGCCCAAGGCCAACTAGCACAAAATCGAAACCTCAAAAGGAGGGGAAGACCTCGAAATACCACGTACAGTTCAAAATTACAAAGCTTAGCCTCGGGTTCCTCTTCCCATCTACTTAGCAACAATAGAGGAACTTCCAAGGCAGGTCGTATATCAGTAGTACATCCAGATTCCAGTAACATTAAAGAAGTCATTGTTGTCTCAAGTGAAAACGAAGAAAGCACACTAGATTCTGACTCCGATCAAACTGGTCAAATTAAGTCAGTGGAATCTTGTGCTCCTAGAAAATACTGTTTTCATCCAAAACTAGGGGAATCAAACCAAACTCGTCCTAAAGCAAAACCTGGAAAAGTTGCACTAACGAAAGATGGCAGAGGCCATAGTCACAAAGCTAAGATACCCCGTCTGTGCAGAGCCACAAATTCTGAGAGCAGTTCAGAACCCAACGAGCCTAAACCCAAACCCAACTACCGCCCCCCCAAACTGGAAGAAGTTTTGAAGAAACTCAAAATAGATATGCAGGATGATAAGGGTGAATCAAGGCACAGTAGGCTATCACGAAGACTGACTTCCCCTACCTTATTGACTGATACTCCCAGCAACCGAGCAGCAAGGGCAGCTTCTCGTTCATGGTATTCATCATCAAAAGCAACGGGGGTCAAAGATTCAGAGAAGTCACATATTCCAGCCTCAGAACAAAACAAAACATATCTGGTCTCGAGATCCATGATACTGCAGAACTTAGTCTATGAGTGACTATGCTTAAGGGCTTGTTAGGCAATTAACTATGCAGTAAGAAAATTATAAAGAAAGTCAAAGTCAGGAAACACACCTCGTGATACTGAATCGAAATGTCCGCGGACGAAAAGCCCTTGAAACTAAATTATTTATAGTCTTATATAATCAACTGTACCAATGACTATAACCGTGACTGAGATTTCGGATATCTGTCAGCATGCTAAATTCGATTAATCATTCTTACTTCTCTGTAGTTGTTCTTGGTTAGTAGCCCGTATAGTAACTGAACCAGTGTGCATAAGTCGGTAAGCTCAAACACAATCATATGGTGCTGAACCGATTTTCTTAATTCCGCCACAGCTTGTTCAAGTACGGTTCGCCCACCCATATTCTTACAGTAAGACTTACACCAAGCATGGTGCTGCAACCAGGTCAGGGATCGTCGACACCACGAGTTCATTACTCTAGTACTACACCTGCCGCATATGTTGCTGGGCATAGAGGGTATTGTCGAAATTCGCACCACTATATAAATGTAATAAGTAAGTAGCACCAGGATTATCGCGTTCACTACAGGGATAGCATAACCAAGGTCTGGTGGTATACAACAGTTATTGCAGATTAAGTGATATGTGAGCTTACAAAAATAGAGGGTTCTCAACTCTTTTCGTATAAAAGAACTCTTATCGATGAGGCTGTAGACCTGGATGTTGAGGTTTATCCTCATCATGATGACCATTGGTATGGGAGCCTCTGTTATGAACTTGATGGATCTATACTACTAGGTATATCGATGATACGCAAAGCAAGTCCGGGATGGTAAAGGTTGGTACAGGAGAGAAGCGCAATATCTATACAGCAACTTAGTCTATTACAGAAATGCGAAGAGGTAATCAAATAGGTATTTGCTTATTGTCACTTCAAATGGAAGATGACTCTGCTGGAATCATTGCAAGGGCCGAGACACCGCAAGTTTGTGTGCTCGATTACTTGAGTTCATGGTCCACAAGTAGGTCCGCAAGCCTTCATCACGATAGGTGTAATTGGATTAGAGGCAGATCTTCATCAATGTTATTGATGTGGCGAATCCAAATGATTACATAACTTTATCTAAGTAAGAGGACCGGTTGCCGCAACAGAATATACCTGCGGAAAACCTAGAAATGTGATCTGGAATTACTGTTGAGATATGGGATAATGGAAGACTTCTCATAAATAGGCAATGATGTCTTGGGAATCTCAGGGTTCTTTTAGTTCTCTTTGAAGACTGCAAACTTTCGTCTGGTTAAATTAATTGCTTTCAAAATTGCCACTGAATAAGTAGGAGAAAAAGGATGAGAAATTCCGGAAAAAGATTTCTTATGTTTATGTAAAGGATTCTGATCCATAAGTTCTATATTTCAAAATAGATATGCTTTCTTTATTTTAATGCTCTAACTTTGAGACAGAGATACATTTTCAACAAAACCATAATAATTGGAGGCTAGCTATCTTTAAGGTTGTACGAGCAGGAGAGTTCTGAGGAATGTGTATCTGCTATCCTATTTGGAAGCTTGTGGTACGGCATCTAAGATTGTTTTATTATAAGAGACCCGCGAGCCCCAAGCAAGTATGAATGTTTGTATTTGTGATAGTAGCGAGAATTGTAGAAATTGCTCGGTTTTCAATTGTAAGAAACAAATACTTACTTCTATAATTAAATGCGTGAAATTGAATACAAAAAGACCTGGAAGGTCGTAATTGCCAAATTGTATGTAATTTTTTCTTGTTTGTTAATTAGGTAAGAATATGCAAGATCTACGTGCAGTTAGTTTATCGTGGAGGTCTCAATTAAAACCAGCAATTTGAATGGTAGTGAAACGTACTGCACGTAATTTCTAAACTGTAAATTCCTATGGTTCTATCATTGTGGGTTTTATCTGGAATGGCTGTGTTTAGTACGTGTGTATTCCAAATTAATAAGGAGATTCTATGGTGGCTGTTCAATGGTCACAAGAGGATATTAACGCTCAAGTATAAGGTATAGAGGCAGATTGTTTCTATCGAAGAGTTTTCGTTCGACTTGGGTGGTGATTTGGTGGTGTGACTCACTGCGAGTGCATACGACATAGTACTAGTGTGGTCTTCTTACTTTGCTGGTGGTTTGATGAGGTTGTTAGATTTGTCGGTCATCATGGCTTTGCTTAAGAATTTTCTTTTTTTCTACGATCGTTTAAATGTTATTTTTTAAGCTCGCTTAAATTTTTTTTTTCGCTTAATGTTATTTTATCTCTTCGCATGCAAGGGGCTAAGCCTCTGCCCTACACAATGAGTTGAAGCCTTCTGATTGTGTGGGACTCAGATTTGAGTTTCACAAATCTAATTGATAATTGGATCGAAATGTGACTCATACACTACCAAGTTTATTTGTATATAGTTGAAATTTGTTTTCATATTCTCGTTTAAACTGCACGAAGCTGCAGTATTTAATCTCATGTAAACATTCATCAATTGCAATTTAATTTTTCGTATTTAGCTTGCAGCTTGACGAGGTTGACCTTGTCGTCTTCTCTAACTGTTTAATCCATACACAATCGTTGGTGTTGGAGTTCTATCTTGAAGAAGTCTTGCTCAATTAATCATCTTAGATCGTTTGAGTGGTTTACTTAACTTGGCTAATTATCAATTACTGGCTAGATAATCTTTCTCTTCTATTTGATACTGATATTTCTCGTTGTTGTCACCCCCTTTTTCTACAAATTCGGCTATTTATACGCCCCTTCTGTTTGTTTGTTGTTTTAAAGAAATCGTCACAAGGTTCTTTGCATAGACGAGAAACTATTCTTAAGCAGAGCCTTTGGCCGATTTGATACTTTACAGGACCAGTATCTTCCAGAGCAATAAACCAAGCTTCGGCTAGCAAAGATTCCACTTTACTTCAATTATGACAATACTTTATCTTGTAATTAGTCAGTTTGTATCAATAATATATCCATCCCTAATTGATATTGCTGATTTGTTAGTTAGATTGGTAGAGTAGATTAGTCGCCCCATGTAATTGATGGTATTGTACCTTGTCTTGCAGTCATCGAATGATCAGTTAATTATATTTTCGTCTTATTGACGAAGCGGCTTGTGTTTTATTTCTTGTTTACAAAATATTAATTATTGTTTTCTTATTTGTTGTGGTTTACATACTTCGTCTAACATAATGCAATTTCTCTCGTCTTATAGATGATTTATAATAGTCTAAATTCCACTTTTTTCTTTAAATCCTGTTTCTTTTCCCTTTGATATCTAAAATTTATTATCTCTTTATTGCTTGGTCAAATACAAACAACTTTTGAATGATTCATCTGGTTCAAAGGCATAACATTCCAGTCTTGCAAGATGATATCGCGTTGATTCAGTTTGGTATGTGGGTCGCAGCTAGATCCTTTCTGCCTGAAACTTTACTGATGGTTCATACATTCCTTTATGAGTATTATATCATTGGCTGAATTACTTGACAACCATAAGGAAATGACGAAGTAATTATACCACTAGAAGCCAACAATAGTTTACGGTGGTTACTCCTTATAGGTGTTTTTGGGCTATCTTCTTGAGAGCTGGGTTTTGTTGCTAGTATCCATCGAAAGACTTTGGGAGTATCTTGGGACAGAGGCTCCATTACCATGGATTTGTTTGTGTCTTGACCACTTGAAAGATTTGTACCTTTCTCAAATATATGTCCTATTGAATCACTCGCCTTTAATAAAAGATCGCCTTGTACCAATTACCCCTTCACTAAAGCAGATTTTCTGTTTACTTTGCTCTTTGGTTAATCTGGGTTCTCATCTTGTTTGGTTATATTCTTTTTAAGAGATGGCTGCTGGTTTCCCTTATTATTATTTAATAATACAGATTCGTTGTTTTTATTGATTTAGAGCAGTTCGTGGTTGTATAATAGTTGATTAACTTAATATTAGTTCAATTATTATAATCATTAGATTGGTCCAATATGCGTTGAATGATTATATAGTTTTTACAGACATAGTTCTTAATGTAATTAATTGTATTGGTAAGTAGAATACCAATCTGTATATTAAATATTTAATTATATGTTTGATATCTTGTCTCATCTGTCACCTATTTTAATGGCCGAATTCTCTTCTTGCCCAATGGCATTTAATATATCAGGTAATATGTTATACATTTTGACAAAAGAACTTTTGGGAATTATCTATATATGGTTATTGTCTTCTATTTGATATATGTTTTTATCTTGGTATCTTTATTATGTTACTATAAATTCCTATTTAATGGATAGTTAACTATAGAGATGGGAACATAAAGAGGTGGTTGGCAATGCCTAGTATTTTGATCATTGGTTTTATATTCCATTCAATGATTCAATCTTCTTTGATGTATTCTGGATTTCTCTTAAACCTTATTGCCCCCAATAATTCACTAGTTTTGTTTCCATTCTTATAGTCTCATGTTATATTACTTCAATTAGATTTCATTTAACTCATCAACTTCAAAAGCATTGATCCATGATTTAGATCCTTATAATTTCTATTTCAGGATTTGGATTTCCAATCATAATTTCAAATATCGAGCTTACTCCTTCATTTCTTGAGATGAAACTGTCTGGCATGTTGCAGAAGATTGTACTTGTTTTGAATTTTCTTACTTGAGGTCTATGAGTCTTTGACAAATTATAATTATATTTTGGGATGAATATTCAAGTTTTCAATAATAGGTAGTCTATTTGTTCTTTTTCTTACTTCAAAGACATACAAGTCATACAGTGTGCAATGCTAATAAGAACTCTAGGCGATAGGTAGTGTTCTTATGGTTAATTAAAACTTCTGTAACATTTCTACAGTGTTCAAGTTTTGCATCTTGATTGGTTTTTGACAATCCCTAATTGGTTTCAGTGGCACCCAAACTTGCTAATTTATATTTTAACGATATGTCAAAATATAACACTTTGTGCACATTTCAAAGGTTTAATAGATGTGTTTGGATATGGAGATGAACTGATTGTTTGGGAATTTGATTGATGGATTTCATTTAAAGATTCAAATTTGTGCTAATTATGAACTAAGCAAAGATGATGTGGGATACGTAATTGTGGAATGTCTGATATGTTAAATAGTAGTACTGATAGTTATTCTGTACCAATGACAGAAAGAAGAGGTATACCATTTAGAATGTTATTTTCAAAGTTGATTCACCTAACTTCAAATAAGATTTTTTTAGGCGGGGGGAATTTTAAAGATCGGAAAAAAAATTCAATCATTTAGATTCGCGGCAATTGGTTAAAAAATAAATCAGCAGCGGATCATTTATCCGGAAAAATAAATATGCCGATAACGCACTACCAATCCCCGGGAGCAAACTTGTTGTAAAATCTAGTCACTAATAAATCAAATATGCCCTGTGTTGCCTAAAATTGAAGTTGGTTGTAAATGAAAACAGATAGAGCAATAGTTAGAACTTTAATCATAGGATCATGTGGTAACCTTACTCTAATTGCAATTGGGTAGTCCTGAACTTATTAATAGGGAAATTATAAAGGTTTGAAAAAATTATAACCATTTTAGATAAAATAAATACAAAAATTTTACTACATTTTCTTCATGACTAAAAAGAAGTAGTAGTTCTAATCAATTATTTATGTAGAATTTCGTTTTAGATTACAACGATGTAGGTCTGTTATACTATGTAACTAAGGTAGTTCGATTAGAAGTTTATTCGGGTTTTAATGTTACTTTGGCTTCATAATATTCCAAAATGCAGTGACCTTTAACTTCGGAATTCAGCTGACATTGAAATGATAATGCCAACGATTCTATTAGATTGGTTCAGTCATTAATGATTATAGTTAGAGAAGCATGGTAATATTCGACGGTATATTTCTTGTTCAAGATTTCATAAGATTGGGAGAGTTAGTATATACAGATGATCTATATGTTGTAAGATTAACTAATTACTTATTATACCAGTCATCTGACTTTATGGTGCAAATATTTAATGAATTCGTATGTTCCATATTTGATATGATCGTATAGTACTTGAATTAAAGGAGGTTTAACCAAATCTGTTGATGTTTATTTTTTCTTTCTAATTTTTTTTTTCGGCTAACCTTCTACAATTATTTTCTAATTAGCTCTCGTTTACGCAGTCACTGGTCGCTCTTGAAAATCATACATGTCCTTTCACCTGATACAGTACACGATACAAATTTCTTTTAAAAAAATAATTGGAATCTGTCTATTTAGTTCATTTCTCTATGCAATACCCCTTCTGCCTTTGCTATGTGATCGTTTGTTTTTATGAACAATCTTGCCTCTTTAAATGTAGTTTAATATTCAAAGTCAATTGGTAATTGTTATCCCAGCCAACACTTTTATTTTTACAGTAGTAGCCATGGCTGATGTCTGTTTATGTACATCAATGTTCTATATATAAACAATCGCGTCTGTTAAAACTTTTTGGTGAACTACTCTATTGAAATTAAGTAACAATCATTAAATTGATTCAATCTTTCATTCTCCCAGTTTCATTAATCTGTTAAACTACCACAAATTGTCAATTCCTAACCATGTCATTTGTAGATATCCAATCAGATGATGCAGCTTTCTTTGCCGATATTGATGCTTGGCAAAGTGAAGATGAATTAGAATATGAAGAAGACGAAACTCCTATTTTTATGGCCGAAGACCCTAATCCAAATACCGTCCAGACTTTCCATCCAGAGGGTAATACTGTTCAACAGGTTGTATCTAATCTTTGTGATTCTCAAGGTGTACAAGATGAACTTGCTAACGCACAAAATATGATTGATAATCGTGAAACTATTGATGGTTCCGTATTGCTTCCTTTTAGTCAAAATGATTTGAATATTGATGATGTGAGAGAAGGAGATGAAAGGGCCTTTCCGCGTGCCACTATTTTAGGTGATGATAAATTGATTTATCTCATGGAATTTAAACGGAAACTGTACAAAAGATTCATTTATCTTCATGGATTAATTATTGATAAGGATGGCAAAATAGTTAATCCCTCAGCTAGATTCCAAAGGAACAATGGTCAAGTCATCAAATTTCTTAAAGAAAGAAAACACCCTTTTATTATCTTAGAATCCGTATATAACAAAGATACTAGTTTATTCCCATTCTATCACGAGGCCCTATGGAATTATGTTACTCCAAGTTTCTTTCAGACTGAAACTGTCGGCACTGATGCTTTTCAATACAGAAGATATGTCCTGCACCCATTGAAAAAATCATCTTATCAACAAATAAAGGGGGCATTGGTTACCATTGGTTCTAATCAATCATTTGTAATTCATGTTCCTTATGATGATTTCTCCAAGGAAAATATAGCTGTCACTTATGAAGCTCCCGAATATACCCTGGTACATACCGAGAATCCAATTGATCAATCGTTCCAAGGTTTGACCTTCACTGAAGATGACTTTAATTATCTTTATAAAGGAACAATTAAAGAAAGGTCTGAAGAAGGAATGAAGATTTATGCTATGATTTATAAAAGGGTGATTGGAAATTCTGCTCATTCTCAATACTTTGCTAAGTCCTTTCATGTGCCTAAAGATAAGGAGTTTATGTATAGATATCATCAACCAGCTACAATTGATAGTTATGCTGGTCTCTTTGGTCGATTCTATTGTATTATCAACTGTTTTGAATGTTTTGGCTTTATTGGGAATAGTTATTCTGATCAATGTAAAGAATTGGTGGCTGCTATAATTAAATCGAAAAGCAATGAAGCTCGTCTTGAGAAAATGATTGATTTATTCATCTATTTCAATACTGAAGATGGTGGATCCTTTTTGAGATGTTTATTATACCCTTACCTAAGAAAGTTAAAGAATGGAAAGTACTTTGGAACAACAACTTTAATGGTTAGATTGGATGCCATCAAAAACTTCTACAAGTTTGCTATATTCATTCGCTCATCTGAAGAAGAAAGGACCGCTTTTTCTTTAGGAGAAAACTGGCCAAGGAAGTATAAAGGATGGATGTTTGTATGCGAGTTGTATAAGAATCTAATGAATATTCGTGGTGATGGGCTGATGAATGTATCTGCTACAGGAGTTCCTGGAAAATGTACTGTGGATGGTCAAGAAGTTGATAAAAATTATTTGGTTGAATCGTATTACAAATCCGCAATTTTTTATCATGAAAAATTTCAAGAAATTTGTCGTATCACTGGGAAAGATATTTTAATATCAGAAGTCTTTCAAAGATATCAAGATGTTTCAAAATATGATTATCAAAGGAACGCTTTAGGTGAAAATGTCTTTAATAGATACTTTTCCATTGAAAATCTTTCTGAATCCCAAAAGAGCAAATTGCTTAATGTGATTGATGACATGTCCAAAGCTCTAGCAACAATAATTTTCATGACTTCAGCTAATACTTTTCGCTCAAGCGAACTCCTTTGGATTGCCACTCAAGGTGATAATTATCAAGATCGAGATTTGGTTTATTTACATGGGTCTGTGGTTATTAGGCTGACCTACAATAAGAACAGGTCATTTAATCGTCGTTTGCGCTTCACTACAAAGTTAGTAACAATGTATATTGTTAATCATGTAACAGCTGTAAGAGCTTTGTACCTACAGCTCCTTCAACCCAATTATCCTTCACTTACGACTACAATCTTCGATGTACAAGAATTAAGAGACCCATCAAAATCATCTGAAGTTTTTTATAAGAAGTTTTTATTTGTTAGTCAACATGGACGGTTGATTACTTTGCTGGACTTGTATGCTTTTCAAGCTAAAGTTTTAGGTATTAATCGACGTGACGTTTTAGGAATTAGAGTCCTTCGGCAAGCGATTACTATGTTTATACGTGACGACGTGGAAGTAGGAAATGAAAGATACCTTTTACTTTTGAAAGCAATAGACGATAATAGACAGGGACATACTTTCTTAACAGCTGAGAGTGTATATGGTAGAGAAAGACATACTAATGAATCTATGCATCTCTTACAAGATGTGAAGTTGATGATTGGATTTTTCAATGACTTTTTTAGATTTTTAGGAATTACACATTGGTCACCTAATGGAAAGTTACTTGAGGCAACTAAACCCAGAATAATTCCCACCAGTTTTAATCAACTTCGTATTTTGTTGACGGAAGATATATTAGATGCAGCTCAGATGATTTTACCTAATTTTGAATTCAGAAATCCCGATCAGGCTACAGGTGTTTCAGATGTTGCTTATGGCCTTGAATCTAATAGGTTCATATTAGCTCCTACAGGTTTTGGAAAAACGTTAATCTTTTCTATCCCGCTAAAAGCTTTTGCTCGATATCACGAACAAAACCCAAAATCGTTTAGCCGTGTATTATCAGTTTTGATGCTTCCTTATTCATTTCTAGTGATTGAAATGATCGAACGACTTGGCAGTTATTTAAATGTACAAAATGTAAAGGATTATGAAACGTTTCTTCCTACAACGGATGTATTGGTTGGTGTTTACAATGATTTCGTTAGACCAGGTTTTATTAATTTCATAAGAGGATTCAATTTACGATACGAATCAACTAATGTTCTTGGCTTAATAATCATAGATGAAGTGCATTGTTTGTTGGAAGAATTTGCTTTTAGGAAATTGAGAAAATTTTCTGGTGGGACTTTAAATCTTTTCTGGAAAAGAATCTATCTTAGTGCAACAGTAGAATATGATTTCAAGGAGGAGCTTTCATCAACTTTTAATTTACCTGAACCTCAACGTCTTAACTTTGTTAAGAAAGTTCCGAATGACGAAATTTTTCAATTAATCCTTCCTGAGCAAAGTGAAGCTCTGGATGTCTGGATGTTTCTCTGGATGTCTGGATGTTTGGATGTTTCTCTGGATGT